AAGAAACAGCCTAGTAACAAAAGATCTTTGAAAATACACAGCAATTGTAACCCGAAACGTTATCTAATTTTTATTCGTATTAAATTAATTAATTTTCCTTCGTATGCGTAATAAAGTGGAAAAGAAACAACCTAGTACATGTAACAAATATGTTTGAAAATACTCTCCGTGGGTAGGGCTTGCATCGAAGTTACCAAAAAGTGCATTTCAAGGCCTTTAAAACATAAAAAAAAATCATTTAAAATTTTCTAAAACCTCGATTTAACTAAAATATTTGTCAAGAGCTAATTCAGTTTACCGCACTGCTTTTTTCACAATCAACATTGCTGGTCTTTACTTTTCATATTTCAACCTTGTTTTTTTTTTCTTCCTACGGTCTTTAAAAACAGCAACAACATAATTTTCATTAATTACTTGTGTTTGTTTATTCTAAGGGAATAAACCATATCGGTATGTTTTCATGTTTGTTTCATTGCAGAATAAACCACATATTCATGAAATATCCATTGTTAATTTATCACAAAAACTATATAACTATCTTCATCAGTGAATTATATTTTTTATGTTTGTTTATTTCTAATGGAATATAAATCATATTTTCATGCCAAGTGATAATATCTATGAGGAATGGAAGCCATGTATTCGAGGCTCAACATTGTGGAATTTGCAACACTTGTAATATCATTTAAACAGAGAATGCATCTCTCAGTCGTATACATATACCATTTTGTATTTAATTCTTTACTTTATCAGATTATAAAATTAAAATCTCCTGATCAAATTTATCTTTGACATTGTGCTTCTTTTTAGGCTTTTGTAATCTCAGTCTAGTTTATCTTCTATCCTCTTTACCCGGGTCTGCGTTTATTTATCGAGAAATTCACACCTGACATGCACTAAATAAACAAAGGGACTTAATTTGTATGCATTAGATAAACAAATCCTTTCATGCGACCAAATTTTATTCGGTGTATATGTATCAGAAAGCATATTTTACGATCTTTACTTGGGCTATTTATTCATCAGTTGTTCATTTATTTTTAAAAATGGCTGTACAAAAAGGGCATGACGCCTTATAAAAAGAACATTGCGCCACATGAAAATGGCATACCGCTACGCCATGCTTAATCCTCAAGGTAAAAACTACTTCTATGGTTCAGTGTTGAATGAAAACTGGCACATGTGGCAGATAATAATTGAGAGATACCGCGATTCGAAGATTGCAGCCATGGCCGGAACCAAACTTACAGTAAAATCCGGAACCAATATTATGATTTTAAGGTTCCGGCCGGAACGCGAAGTATCCGGAACGTAAATTATGCGACACCGTCCTCGATTTACTATAGAAAATCACGAATGTCGGCTGACCCCTACCACATTGCATGGCTTTGTTCTTTGTATATTCCTGAATACCAGCGATAAAATTTGTTGAATCTTATGGTTTAGATATCAATTAATGATTTGAGATGAAAAATTGTGCTTAATTTGATTCTTCATTTTTTCACATTTTTTTCGGGGCCCATAAGTGCACTCGTTCTTTACGATTCGCTTTCTATTCTAATTATGAGTTTTTTTATATCAAGAATGAACATGTATAAAAGGCTAGAATTTAAAACTATAAAAGTGTGGCAACAGATGGATTCGAACCATAAGTATCCACAGTGTTAATACTTAGCTGTTTATATACCAATCGATCTATTCTGACTATGAAAATAATTGTTACAAGTGTGAACCGGGTTGTCCAAATCAGGTTTCCATATTTTTATTTTATTTTATTTTATTTATTTATTTTTGTGAACTTCTATCTAAATCTTAAATTATTCCTTACATCACAACATACCAAAATATCATAATTTTATTTAGGGACAGACCTGCCCTGAAGGAGTTCTAGGCCAACATTCGTGCAAAAATCGGTGTTCTAACGGAAAAACGCTGTTTTGGCCAACTTTGGAGGTTAAATTTAAAGTTGTAATAAATAATATATTTTAGGTTCAAAATACAAATTTGAAAAAAAAAAATTGGACCTATATACGATAGAAAACAACTAATTAACATTGATTTTTAAATGTGACTTTTTCCGGGAAATGGTTATCTCCTAGAGGTCTATTCCTTTGAAATTGTGAATACATCCTAACACAGGTAGATTTTTTTTTATTTTTCAATATTTCGATTCAACAGTAGAAGCAAGGAAGACTTTATGTATAGGTCTTAAAAATTAACAATCATTCCGGAAAGATTTTAACATTAATTAATCGACTAATATTAAGTGCGTCTTTGGAGTTTGAATGTGTATTTCCGACTCAAAGTGCTGATAACCGTATGGAATAGTAAATTTCAACATTGAGAAATCATTACCCGCTTCCTATCTCATGAAAGGTTTTTCTTGTGAAACTTGGGAATTACCATGTCTGCCTAATTAAGCCATGCGTCGTTACTGACACATAAGAATCAAACATGTTTTAAAACTAAATCGATACCAAAAAAAAAAAAAAGGAAAAAGAAAAGAAAAAAAGTGAAACAGTTAAAATCAAGACTAAGAAACATCAATTTTGACACCCAGATAAGAAGCAATTTTCTCCCAGAAATGTAAAGATTATTAAACTTCTTGCGATAATTAAAGTTTGTTTTAGCTTTGAGGATGAATTTAAGAAAATAGTTATTATCTTTTAGCTTTAAATCGGTACTTGTTACCTCGGAAAAATCTCTTAATGGAACTTCAAAATTACTATATCAGATTAATTGAGCCAAGGTTTATATGAATTGAAAATGTATTAAAATTTGAAAGAGGCAAGGAAAATCCAAATTTTGACATATTGAGCGTCGACAACATGCGATAAAGCGACGGTAGCAAACAAGAAACATTGATAAAGGCGTCAGATTTGGGCCGCAGTTCTTACATAAATTCCAGTACTTAGTCTCACTACATATATAAAGAACTGCATTGATAATTTTATCATTCTTTGTTATATATATTTCAAAATAGTTAATACCACATTTAAATATAAAACATACCAAAAACTAAAAGGAACTTTTATTTTACTATAACTTTTTTACGTAAAAGAGATTTCTAGAATTTAATTATGCCCTAAATGTTAGAAACATTCCATGCATATTCAAAGCATTGTGCTATTTTAGACAAAGGAAATATATCTTGCAAAAAGGTCGAAAATATTTTTAAACTTTTATGTTTTATAATTACTCCTGTCTTTCCATGTTTTACATCAGATCTGCAATCCAAAAACATGTCGGCCTATATGTATTCAAACAAGACCCAGAATTGCTCATGTGACCGTAGTCAATAAAAAAAGAAATTTTGTTTGGACTAAAAACCAGAAAATCGGAAAACATTGACAGTGCATAATCAAGGGCAATGATTCCAAAATGGACGATCAAATACCTTAGTTATCGAACTTATTAAATATATGGGTTTTGGCTTGTTGACCATTTTAGCTTCTGTGAATTGTTTGTAGAAGACACGCACCACATCAATACTATAAAGTCTCAATAAAATTTGTCTAGTACTTTCAGAGAAGAAGATTTTTTGAGAAAATTATGTTAACGACGACAACGAAAGTTTCACAAGGCTTACTGACAAATAAAGCAGGAAAGTTAAGGGTCTGGTGGTAGTCAAGCACTGTATGTACCGCCTAATAATCAAAGCACGAGCTTTCGCTTTACAATAAGCGCGAAGTTTACTTGTAAAAGGTACCTCTTAAGTTTACTGTAAAATATCTTTAAGCTAGACTGGTTTCTTTATTCCTAGCGAATGCAACGCTGTTTTAAGTTATTAACGTTCGGTAAGCAACGGAAAATCTTGAATAATGACGCATCCCTTTACAAAGTGGCGGTCATTTTTGTAATGCTAAATTCCCGTCGACTTTGAATATGCCGCTGTGTCAATACAGGAATCTCTTCAAAGCAGAAAGTGAGGTGGAAAATTATCTATTTATTGAACCTAGTTTAAAGGCCAGTGTATTTTTGTATTTTGATACATATCATACAATATTTGGCAATAGTGAGTAGTAAAAATTCCAACTATTGATATAGGCCTAATGTTAATTTCTAATATTATTATGATCCTTACAGATGGTTGATGTGTTATATGATGTTGTCATTAGTAGATGCAATTTTGTTTACTAGTGCAAGATACAAATTTGTAGTTATAATTATCTAAGTTACATTTTTAACGTGATCATGAAGTCTTTACAGTAGGAGGATTAACGCACTATTATATTTCATTCTCTGTAAACATCAATTACTTTCAATTCCCAGTAGAAAAGAATGCAGTGTACATTCGCTAAACTCTTGTTTAAATGAAATCATATTGCACAAATTTAATATGAAATCTCTCCAAGCCTACGTTATTTCCTGAGAAAAAAAATATAAATGATAATACAATTGAAAGCATTTCAAGCATTGATTTTTTTTACTGTTTTGTCAATTGTCTTTGCAAATAAAAATGCAGGATAAGGGATGATAATGCAGTTCATCTTAAAGTGTAATGTAAAATGAAAATTTCTGAGCCATTCTCTGGGTTACATTTTCTGGCCCATTATGTGCAATATAAACAGACATTTGCAAATAGTGAAATTCTGGATGACCTAATTTAAAAATATTAAGCATCAAATCATACAAATTCAAAATTCAGTAAGCTTAAGGACAGATGATACAAACAAAAATGGATGGCTGGATAGGTATACATTTTTGAACCAAATTTGATTTTGAATGATGCAAATAATAAATTTCTAAATTATTAAGAAATTGTAAACTTTCTATGATGTTCAAAATTTTCTACTTTTCTGCAACCATCCTTATTAATCTATACAATTTTTTGTCACTTTAAATCCCAATGTTGTGAAATTTCGAATGAAAAATGTAAAGCTATGCGTTTAAACTTATTCCTTTTACTGACATAAACATGATTTAATTTGTTATTTTCAAGATATTTGATAGAAGTTTGTTTGTATCATCTGTCCTTAATGCTTATACATGTAACTTACAATGAACCATTTGGACCCAGTTGCCCAGTTAGTGCAGCTATTGTTGCGCCAAGCAAGGGGATTCCAAATGTCCACAATAATAAACGGTAGTCTTTTGTCCCGAATTCCAGATTACGGTTGAAGTACATCAGTAGAAAAGCATTAATTGCAACAATGTTCACGAGAAGGTTCTGGGCTGTGATGAACTCGGCCAGCATCAGACCGTAAAACTGACAGAGGGCTTTAGGATATACGTGATCTCTGGTGACCAAAATGTGAAAATGGTCTGTAAAGTGTGCCAAATTGAAGGAACCATCACAAATAGCAAGATAAACAATAAAACGCTCACTCTTAGTCCATTTGAAGAAGGTTCTAAAATTCTTTGTCTTAAAAGACAAAACCAGCACGGTTACAGCTGATATGAAACTACAGGTAATGCATACAAGGGCCGGAATGTGTAAGGAATAAAACAAGTACGAGTCTCTTCCATAAACGTCCAGATCATACCCATCGTGTCTCTTGTTGCTGGCAACACTCAGGTTCGACATTTTGTCGCGATCTCTCTCAGTTATTTAAAGCTGGAAACCCGCATAACTTGAGGCTCTTTATAGAGCGTTCTCTTTATTGATTAACATCCCGAGATACCATAGTTCCATCATCTGCGTTTCATTAAATGGAAAAAAAACACTTTAAAATAAATATCTTTTTTTACATAATTCAGAAGAAGAGGTAAATGTAAACATACTCGGTCAATAAATGTTTTCTTTGCCTTCCTACCGCACATCACCAATTATAAGATGTTTAAACAGAAGAAAATGCTTGTATTGGTATGAACAACAGAATTGGGTGTCAATTGTATTCAATCAAAAATGTTGGTTGACACAGGCGGAACAGCCAACTTGTATTTAACAAAATGCCAGTGCGAGAAGAGGAGCACATAAAGTTTACAAGAGACATTTTTCTGCAAATGGCGAACTTAAAGAAATATAAGGAAAGATAGGTTTGAAATAAGATCATACAAGAATATTGTAGCTATAACAAAACTATCTCTATACGGTGTACTGGGATTGAAAACAAATCTACCATAAACATGAAATGCAGAAGATTGCAATGGGAAGATAGGGAACTTCTATTGATTTCAGGAGGTATTGTTATTAGCTACAAGATTGCAGTGGCATATATCCTGATCCTACCGCCTTGAAGTGAAATTGTTATTTCTGGTGATATTTGTCTCAAAGAAAAGGAAACAACACCCAAGGGAATCGGACTGATTGAGCCAGATGAAACATTCATCAGATCTGATAGAGATTAATACGAAACGTGCTTTCTAATGTCAATAATGGCCTTTTCATAAGAATAATGAACTTATCATCAGATGTAAAGGTTTTACACAATGGAAAAGTATTTGCCACTCTAAGACCAGTTGAACAGATTATTGCATGAGATTCCACGGACTTGAACAATATTAATCATGTACCGGAGGAACCGACTGTAAAGCGAAAGATCAACCCCAGGTCACATTGCTTCAGAAACATTTAACTCGATCTCTTTTTGCTACTGATAGTAAGGATTTTGGAAAAACATATATCATAAAGCATAAATATCGCACCTGTTAAATAACCACTGCGCAAAATAACTGTCCATCTGCATGAGGAAGTAGACAAACATATGGATGACATGTTCGAAAGAGGTTCTACAAGTCCCTGATCAGCTGGAATAGTGAAAAAGAGAAAGACGTTCACGATTCCGTATAGATTACTGAAACTTGAATGCCGCTACTAGTTTGTTTGTGTCACCACTTGCCGGTGGAGGGCTGCAAATTTTGACCTGTGCTCGGCACTCCGGCCAATGAGCAGTGAGGGATTTTTTTCGTGCCAGCACCTACTGCGACACGGGACCTCAGTTTATACGGTCTCATTCGAAGGACCAGTCCGCTATCAGTAATGATTCATTAAAAAAAGAACAGTTAGACGTATCCTTCTACCACTTATCTAGAGCTGTCTGCTCTTAACATTAAATAAATGCTCTGGGTACTGGCAAGTTGATATGTATTCAACTTTAAGAGGACTCTTTCAAAGTACATGTAATGCCATTCCATTTACGCAGCGCCTCAGCGACAATCGAAAGTCCATAAGAGACCATACCAGTGGTCTACCGTGGGATATTCAATTTGTTTTAATTAGTGGATCTGGACGAAAGTATTTTCATAACTAAAAATTTGATGAAATGGTTAAGAATTTAGAAGCTGTGTTCGAGTCTCAAACTGACAGCATCAAAATGTTTCCTTTTCTCAGAAATAGCTGATTGAATAGGCCATGTAATATTAGTAGGAGGCATCACAACAGATCAAAAGACAGAAGCAATAAAAAAAAATTGGAGAAAGCCAAGTAAATTAACAGAAGTTAGATCATTTTTGGCATTTCTGGGATTTCTAAAGATGTTACAAAAATTGTCACAATTACAAAGAGAAAATGAAAGAGTTATAATTTACAAAAGCCACTATTAACAAAGTCGGAAGGAAATTACTGTGAAACAAAAAAAAAACTCCATGCCATCGTTACATTTAAGAAATGTATGATTTTATTTATGTCAGAGCATCTTGAAAATCGATTTGAAAATAGTGCATTATTAGTAGTCTATTATTGTAGGACCAACATGCTAAAAACCCTCCCAGGAAAGATCAGAAGTGTTCCATGTTCTAATTCAAGACACTGGACTTAGAAGAGACACGATATGAGGTATGGATTGAGACCACTCGAAAAGAGATTTCGATGTGTTTTGTGTAATTGTATGCATTGGGCATGGTTGTAAAAAGACAGGGACCAAGAGTGTTTAATGGATGACAGGGTATTGGATTTCAGTGATATACATTAGATCATTGGAACAATGACAGAACATTCTGGGAGTAGCAAGTCAAGTTAGGAAGACTTGTCTTACGAATACAGTGAAAATACTGAGAAAAAACATGCTCTGAGTACGATCAATTTTTAAACCGAGGCAGGCTACTGACAAATAAGTTGATGTTACAGGAATATTATCAATCTCATTTGAAGTCAGCATTCGAAATTCTAAGGCCATTATAATGGCCTTGTTAGGAAATAAAACCTATCATTGGGTCTTTTTTTTTGATTGTCATATTTCGTAACCATTGCTTTGCCTTTGTTTTTATACTAGTACTAAATTTGACTACGGATTATTCCGTCTACTTGATCAATACATAGGGCTCACGGCGGGCGAGACCGGTCGACAGGGGCTGTTTACTCCTTTCACACACCTGATCCCACCTCTGAAATTATCAGGAGTGTTTTTGCCCTGTTCACAGATATTGTATTGTTTATAAGTTTTTGAGATTGATCACGTTTTGGTATTTTTACCTTTTTTATTTCATTAAATCTCCCAACGAACTTAGAGTGCTACACAAAAAAGTATAAGGATCTTCGGATGAGATGCAAGGGGATTTCAAAGTTAGGAGAGAAGTTAGAAAACTAAGGAACCCACACCTATTCCTGTTCCCAAGAAAATAGCTGGAATAAGCTTTTAGAAGACTGATAATTCTATGAAGCAGTTTGGGAAAACAAAGATTCCTAGAGGTGAAGGAAGTTTTCAAACTTGGAAGTCCAGACATTGAGGTAGTGACAATGAGTGAGACTTCATAAGTCTTAAAGGTACATGTTGGTGAAAGACCTTCTCCAAAAGAATAGTTATTTTGACCACAAATGTGAAAAGAGAGACATAAGGACATGTAGAGATCATTGAAAAACTCGATGAATGAGCAAGAGACAACTTTAATGAGGTTGACAGTTTAGATCAAATAAGACATTGGATCTAGACGGAAAAGTTGTAAGCAATATAATTGTTAATGTAAATACTTAAGTTTTCTTTATATCCAAGCACCGTTTTATATAACAACAAAGAAAAAGACATTCTTTTTTATCATGTAGGACAGGAAGTGAGGAATGAGGTGTGGGTAATGCGATGGTCAGGGAAAATTCAAGTTAATGATTTGGAACTCTCTAATAAAGAGATCAAATGATAAGTCACATTAAAAGTTCTGTCTGTGGAACAGCACAGTGGATAAGAATAAGGTTGCTGAAGAATAATGACAGAGATTGGGGGTCAATGAACAAACGTTTCCCCTTCCCTATCCTACATTTTAGTTAAACTTTTCTGTAAATAAATTGAACAATAATTATAGTTGAAACAGAAGTAGAAACATAACTGAGACAACTAAATAGAGCTTATGTTTATTTAAAAAAGATATTTTAGCTGTGTTCTCAGATGTACTCTGTCAGTTTTCCCACTTTTTTGATCAAGTAGCTCCACCTAAATTAAGAAATAATAAACTTGTAAATATTTTGAGTATTTTTGGAATATTCCCTTGGTTACAAGTCACAAAGAAACATTCACGGTAAAGTGCGTGAATTATGAACGAAATATTCACTTGGAGTAAATGTATTAGCTGATTTTTACTGCTAATATAAAAAGGAATCTTGATTTGTTTGTTTATTAATTCTTCCTCCTGGCCTCTTCTTACAGGCCTTTGTAAAATATGGAAATAATTTTCGACCGATTGAACCATGAGAATAATAATCCAGGAAAAATATTTACACGTGTATTCTACAATCTTTTAATCTACATATACTCGCATAAACCTAAAACAGTAAAGAAATGAATTTCACAAATATCCCACGATATCCTTGCATGATAGCAGTTTTACCTAAAAGAATATAAAAAACAGATTACAATGTGGATGATATGAGGGGTATCCTGTAAATACAATCAGAATTAACTTGTCGATCGTGTTCACTGGACACGGAATTTTGAATACTGGTACCCTAAATAAGGACATAACGGTAGGATAAAACCAAAAAAAAAAAATGCTACCATTTACACGCCTCTCACAACAGGAAATTTTTTATGTTTTTTTTAATTAACCACTTTAAAATGCAACTGAAAGGGAGCCGTCAGGTTTGCATATCAAGCATTTATATACAAATACTTGACACTTAACACGGAAGTAAAATTTCTTTGGAGTATCAATTAATTTCTCTTCCTCAATGATCAGAAATGTCTGACAACGACAGTTTCCCAATCCGCGACCCTCAGGTCCTGAGGGATGGGTATGACCTGCCCGTGTATGGCCTAGCTTCTGGGAGATTTTATGCATTACATATACCAGCGCTGATCTGTATCTTCCTCAGCTTGATTTCGGTTATTGTAACTATTGTTCTGAGTTTCAGAAAAAATCCAAAAAAATCCTTTTTTGATTGGACAAAAAGCGAGAGATTTATTGTTTATATGGCGATTTGCGATGGTGCTTTTAACGTGTCGCATAGTTTGGACCATCTTCAAATCCTTGTCACACGGAACCATGTGTATCCCGTGACACTTTGTCAATTTTATGGTGTCATGTTGTTAGAGTTTATCACGGCTCAGAACTTAATGGTTAATATTGTGGCAGTTAACGCATTCACTCTAATGATCTTCAATAAACAGCTGAATTTTGGAAAACGAGATTGGAGACTTCTCCTGTGGATTTACGGAGCACCTTTCGTCTTCTCAATGATAGCTCTTGCAACTAAACAGATTGGTCCAACGGGCTCAGCGTAAGTTTTAAACTTTCCCTGGTAAGGTTATAAGCGTACATTCTTAATTTAAGGGTTAGTTTTCGCAAAGGGAAATTGTACACTGATAGTTATTTCTCAATGAAAGTTAATATTAGTCTAAGGATATAAGGCAGTGATATGTTTATTGCAAATCATAGGCTTTTTAAACCGCCAGTTTTACGGAAGGAAATACAGCTAAAACATTAACCCGTTTTTTCCTTAAATTTTAATATGCCAACAAAGGAATTGACGCGGTTAATATAAGTAATAATCTTAATCACAAAAGGGTCCAGTCTTGTATTCCACCATATTTCCAACTGGAGACTATACCCTGTATTTCCTATAAATATACATCGACTATTGCTTCGAAACTTTTTAATTACAAGAAAACTTTACAGAGCCTGGACTTTACATATGAAACATAATCTACCACCGTGTTCATGTTCTTCTTCACCCTCAACTACACTCCTGCTGGACACATTATTACTGGTGACGTAACTCTGTCAGAATGAATTAAATGTATCAGATGTATGTTGAAATCTCGAATTAAGCGGTTTAGGGGCAATATGAAAAACATCTATCCTTCTGTGTTCAATAAAGAATTAGATAGACTACACAATCGGTATGTACTGGTCCAAGCTGACAAAGCATGTAACAACATTGTCTTTGTTTGTAATGCTCATTATTTTAATTGTATTTTAGAACTGGGATAAGTGGCAATCCAACTTATAAACATAGCTCCCTAACTAAGGAGGAAATTCTTCAAAATCGTATGTCAGTTTTGAATATTTTTGATATTCCCAACAACCAAACTGAATTTGAATTACCATATTTATATTGGATTCCGAAACTTCATAAAAATCCGTACAAACAAAAACGCATAGAGGGTTCCAGTAAATGTCCTTACAAGCCTCTTTCTTTACTCCTCACTAAAACATTAACAGCAGTGAAGGAGAAACTTCAGGAGTCCTGTGCAAGAATATATTCGAGAAGTGGTGTAAATCAGATGTGGATACTTAAAAATTCCAAGGTACTTTTGGAAAATTTGAAATCACAAAATTTTACCAAAATCTATAACATAAAAACTTACGACTTTTCAACCCTGTATACAACCATTCCCCACGATAAATTGAAGTCCAGGCTTTTTGACATCACTGACAGCTGCTTTTTCAATAAAAATGGAACTCGAAATTTACTTACTTTGCCATTGGTCATTTGCAAAATTATTTTGTTAAAAAACATTCTGATAGTACACACAGGTATTCAGAAGTTGATGTTAAAAAGATGCTTCAGATTCTGATTAACAATATCTATTTGGTTTTTAGAGACCAGGTCTTCCAACAATCTGTTGAAATTTCCATGGGTACCAATTGCCCCGTTGTTAGCAAACCTATTTTTGTATTCATATGAAGCAGACTTTATTCAAAATCGTATATTTGAGAAAAAGAAATCTCTTGCTGTGGCCTTCAAATCGACATTTAGATATATTGACGACGTATTATCAATTATCAATAGTTATTTCCATTCATATGCCAACAAGATATATCCTAGTGAGCTTGAAATAAAAGATACCACAGAGTTTGACACATCTGTTTCATATTTGGATATTTTACTAGAAAAAGACGTTGATGGTAATCTAACTACAAAGCTTTATGATAAACGTGATGACTTTAACTTTTTAATCGTCAACTTCCATTACTTTTGCAGCAATATACGTACGTATACCCTTATCACCTGCATATATAGTGTATATCTCTCAGTTGATTCGATACACAAAAGCATGCTCTACGTATGAACAATTTCTAAAACGAGGTAAGTTATTGACAAACAAGTTGATAAAACAAAAATACTGTCTCGTTTATGTCATCATTTCGTAAGTTCTATGGTCGATACAATGATCTTGTCAGCAAAAACAACCTATCATTAAGTCATATGCTGAGTGACGTTTTTTATACTAACTTTTAGGCCATTATTTACACATTAAATTGTCGACGGATTTTTCCGTTATTTTCCGATCATGACCAGGAGCATTCAGCGGCTGTGACCGGTGGGCAGGGGATGCTCACTCCTCCATGGCACCTGATCCCACCTCTGATGTTTTTGGTGATTCTGATGGCAATTGATCAGATTTAGTCGGTGCATACAGCACATACTACTATACGACATAAATACGTACATGCTTCATCTTCTTTTTTCAGCCACATCATCTGTAGAATGCCCTAATATATTTGTTAGTTAAAGTAACAAAATTTTGTTTCTATGTAGAAAATATGATACAAACAGAATCAGATATTTCTTTCAGTTGCTCGTTTGACGGCGTAAATGGGAAAATGGGATCCTTTCTTCTGACGACGCTTCCCCTCTCCGTCATTCTGATTATGAACACAACACTCTACATTTTGACGTGGATTAAACTTCGTGCTATGGAACAAATGTTGAAGAAATCACTGGGTAAACAGTCATCTGCTACTCGAACAAAGCACGCAGCAGTTCGTGCCATGTCGCTGTTTGTGCTAGCTTTCATCATTCAGTGGTGGGCTATGGCTATGCGTGGTATCTGGGGGTTCGCCAAACCAGGCGGTGTACCCGCTGCAGTTCACCATACCGTTACCACATTTTCCAACATCGGTGGGATATTAAATCTTGGGGTTTACCTTCTGATCAGACGACAAATGCATCTACAGACAAAATCGGAGAGTAGCTCGGGCACAAAACGACCTGGGACTAAAGATACAAGTGACACAGAATTATAGAATGCTACTTCACTGAGTTTTTTATTACCTTTTTCTATTTTATGAGTTTATATAAAGGTTCAAGATAAAAGAATGCTTGACACTTCATGCCATTCTCATGAGTTATAATATTCAATGGGAAAAGATGATGGTACAAATATGATTATCATTATTATTCATGATTTCACGCCTTTTGCTGTTTGATAGTAGTTCCAGTCCATTGGCGCAGTGGTTACATTGTTTGCTCTAGAGTGGCGTCTTAAGGGGTTGATCCTTACGTCGCGGGTTCGAATCCACTGTGCGACATGGAAACTGGTCCTTCGGATGAGACCGTATAAACCAAGGTCACATCTCGCAGTAGATGCTGTCACAAAAAGATCCCTCACTGCTCAAATGCCGTAAGTGCCGAGTACAGGTCTAAATTTGCAGCCCTCCAAGGGCAAGTGGTGGCATCTCAATATAAGTGGAAAAAATCTCGAAAGGGACGTTAAACAGCAAATAAACAAGATACCAGTTCCAAAGGCCTCCAAACGCAGCTGTCATATTTTCTCCCACTAGCATTGATCTTTCCCCCAAAACCCTGAATGAAGCTTATGTCACATGCTGTAAGTAATAGAAAGATCATATTAAAAGAAATCTTCGTCATGAAGAATGGGCGGAGCGGAGCCCATTCTTCATGACGAAGATTTCTCTTAATATGGTCTTACTGACTTAGAACTGAACCCCCGTTCTACAAATCAAATCAATGATTCAAAAATAAACTCCTGATTGTGTCATAATAGTGTCATGCCTGAATTGGCTGCTCATACTATATAAAAATAAATATTAAACACAAACACACACAATATCGAACACGCGCAGTTTCAAAATGGACCCCAAATCATTCACGATATGAAGTTGTTCTTGATTTACTGGGAGACTTGAATGGTGAGGATATTAAAGCTACTGAGGCAATGAATATCCTTGTACCGAGAATCTTTTTATCTTTTCTATATAATTGTGGTTAAATGACAAGGCCGTAGCCAGTAGGAGTGGACATCGCTCTAACGCCACATAAAAGTATCACCGGAAACATTTTCCTTACTGAAGGAAATAAGAAACACTCTCGCTCCTCCTGTGCCCCCCCCCCCCCCAAATGAGAATTGGAAATATTTGATTGGCTGAATAAGTGGGTTATGTTCTAACCATATTGAAATAATTCAAAAGTGGTTGAGAAACCATTTCTTACCAACATTCCCTTTAGAACATAACCCACTTATTCAGCCAATCAAATGTTTTCAATCGATTCTTCATGGTGAAGAATAGTTCTTTTTCTGAAATACTGAACGGTGTTTGATTGGTTCACTTAAAAGTTATATGGGCGTTTCTTTATTGGTTTTATTTCTCACACACACACAAAAAGATAATGCAAGACTCACTGTTTTAAAATCATAATGAATTTCTCCGGGGCTTGGAATTCACATTTTTTTTAATGTCCACTGTAATTTTTTGTCGCCTTTCTAAGTATAAGTTTGTTTTACTGTTTTCGTCATTTTTTGGCGCAGGAGGAGCGAGAATGTTGCTAATATTCTTCAGTACAAGAAAACGATCCCGTTGGTATTTTTATGGCGCTAGATTGATGCCCACTACTGATGGCAACGGCCTTGTCTTTAAACCTCAATTACATGTATATAGAAAAATAAAAAAAAGATTCTTGGTAAAAGGATATTCATAAACTCGGCAGCTTAAATGTCTTCAACATCCCAGTCTCTAAGTGAATCAAAATCAATTTCATTTAAGTCGTTGCATGCTAACCTGAATGGGTTGGAGGTAAATTTTGAAACTGCCTGTGTTCGATATTGAGTGGGCCGTCACGGTAGCTCAGTCGATATAGCCCTTGCTCGGTGATCGGAAGGCCGTCAGTTCGAATCTCGGCCGCGACTGACCTAAGTCGATAAAAAATAGGTAGCAACTGTTCCTTTCGCCTGGCTCTTGGCACTTTGAAGTGAAGTTGCGGGTCCTTCGGATGAGACCTTAAAAACCGAGGCCCCGTGTCACCGCAGACGTTGGCACGATAAAGATCTCTCACTGTTCAATGGCCCGGAGTGCCGAGTAAAGGTCTAAATTTGAAGCCCTTAACTAGTATATGGTGACATCTCTATATAAGTGAAAAATTCTCGAACGGGACGTAAAACAACATACAATCAATCAATATTGAATGTGTGTTCTATATGTAAAATGAGCGGTCAATTCAGGCATGACACAATCGTGGAGGAGTTTATTTTTGAATCATTTTAATATGCTCCGCTCCGCTTCGCCGAATTCTTCATGACGAAGATTTCTCTTTATATGTTCTTATTATTACATAACCAGAGAATGTGTCAAAATATATACTCATCTATCACAGAAAATTTTTATTTTATTTTTGGAGAATGCAGAATTATCAGATTCACTGTGAATTCAGTGAAATGAGATATCCATTACTGTGCAAATTGCTTGCGTTGTTAAATGAATATGTAGGTAAGTTATCAAAAATATCATTAAAATTTCAAAAATAGCAACATTTACTGAAGTAACAACCATTACAGAAATTATTTCAGGAGTAAGGTTATTTCAATAGTGATTGCAAAGTGGTAATTGATTTTATACATTTTTTTCTGTTCTTCAAATGAATTTCAAACTTGTTTCAATTGACCGTTCAGGTGACGTCATGATTTTTCTCAGAATATTTTTCCCAGAAATGTCACACTTCTTACTTTGTGGTTTTTATACTTACTCTTATATAATATATTATTCTTCACATCAAAATTATTAAATTTTCGTACTTTATATACATTTTCTATTTCTATTCTACTAAAACCTTTTGTCGTTCTGTCAAAGGATTGATTAAACTTATGAAGTAACCACTTTTCAATATCATTTCATTCAACAACGAGATTTTCAATTAATTCAAACAAAATCATTGTTAAGAATATATTCTAAGATGGCTGGTGGTAAATCTGGAACGAGATGGTCTAAAACATATTCTTTATGACTGTGTAATAAATAAACCATGGGAAAACATTCAAATAAAACAAAATTTCTTTGAATTTGTTTCAAGATCTTTTAATGTCTCAGTGCAATCAAACAGAGGATTGGAAAATATCTCAAAGAAAGAAAGAACAGATCTCGTTTAGTAAAACAGTAAAAGTTTTACGATTGTCACATAAACAAACACCGTCGTCACATGTCGCATTTCTACCCATACGCTGCATGGGAAGATTTTCCTTGGTTTTAAAAAGTGTTTGAAAAGAAACGACTCTGTTTCTTATCTTTTCTTCTTTCTTAAGATTATCATGCTCTACTTTCAACGTATTGAATCATCACTTTTATATGAAAAGGTGTCGAAAAGAGGTTTTAAGGATGTTCAAAAGTAGGACTTCGCCAACGTTTAATATTTTTCCAAAATGACTGCAAAGTAAAATTTTACTTATTTAACAGTTGACTTTGACCATATTTTTCAACTGACGACAGAACTCCATTCTATTATTAATTCTGTCGAAGATTATGCCAGATATTGGGCTAAATATGAAAGGGAAGACCTGAATAATTTATCAGAATGTATTGAGTGTGTTAGAAATATATTAAAGAGTCGTGGTAGAAAGTTAAAAAGTAATATGCGAGCCATCTGTCCTTCCCTTTTCACTTAATCGTCAGTGAGAGAAGAATTAGAAGGACTATATGAACAATATGTTATGGTTCTAGCAGACAAGGCATGTAACAATATTGTAATCACCTGAGTATTACTGTACAATAATTGTAAAGGATGAAATAAAATAAACATAAATTGAGAGGTGAAGATACATGTCACCCAAAAGCAAGAGAAATAGGATGACCAGGGATCAACCGAATAGTTTGTCTAGTCCAGTATTCATTAGCATGTAATTGCAAATGCTAATACACTCCAATTTGCCACTATCACTATGCAATATACCGGTATACAAAACAATAGTGGGAGAGCTCATACAGTATCTGATATTTGATTAATACTAGTATCTTATGTATTAAGATAACCTGCTCAATATTTTTATCTAATTTTTATTATTTATTATTTTTTTATTTATTATTTTCTCATTTCTATTGCTATCCGTTTTTGTCTGTACATGTCGTCATGCATTTTAACATTTTCAGCTTCTTCTCTGGAACTACTTGACCAATTTCAACCAATTTTGGAATATGGTATCTATGGGTAAAGGAGAGAAAAAAAAATTATGAAATTCATGACCCCTGCCCCCCTGGGGCCTGAGGGGTGGGGCTAAAACCATCAAAATTAATGCAATCTTTAAAAATCTTCTTCTTTACTCATGGGCATCGAGCAATCAAACTGTTGGCATGATTGAAATAAGCATAGAGCCCTCTACCAAAGTTGTAAAATTCATGGCTCCAGGGTCAGGGGTTCTGGTACTAGGGACGGGGCTCTGTTGAATATATAGTGAATATACATTATTTATGAAAAAATCCTCTTCTCTACAAACTAAATGCATAGTTATAATGAGCAAGGATTTCTCTTCCAAAATTGTGAATTTCATGGCCCCTAGTCAGGGGTTCTGATCTTATGGCGGGACTCTAATGATTATATAGTGAAAGTTCATAAATTCTTTGAAAATCTTCTCTGCTCCTTGGTATTAAGCCGATGAATTAATGCATGATGAGCAAGGATGCCTCTTCCAAAATTGTGAATTTCATGGCCCCTGGGTCAGGGGTTCCGTGGAGGTGGGGGCTTATTTATTATGTACTGAAAATGAATTAATCCTTTGAAAGTCTTCTCATCTGCTCCTTTGTATTAAGCAAACAATCTAAATGCATGGTTATAATTAGCAAGGGTGCCTCTTCCAAAATTGTGAATTCCATGGCCCCTGGGTCATGGGGTTCTGATATTTGGGCAAGGCTTTATTGATTACATAGCAAAAATGCATTAATGCTTTGAAAATCGTCTCGTCTGCCCCTGAGTATTAGGAAAACGATCTAAATGCAATGATATAAATGTAAATGAATAAATATTAATGTGCCTCTTCTCTTCTCATTGATATCTAGGAGGCAGAGTACAAAATTATGTGAAGTGAATGAGAGTTACTCATCAAAAAATCCTTGTACATATTAATAGATTACCAGGTTATTTGATTGAATATATAGATAGATAGATAGATAGATAGATAGATAGATAGATAGATAGATAGATAATGAAACAAAATAAAAATAAATGTTTGGTTTGAATGAACAAAGCATGCTGAAGTTGGATTCTTGTCTGAAAAGCAATATAAAAGATTGATATAAAGATTATATATTCAGCAAAATTGCCAGTTGTTAGGAGTGTGTACACTGTGGTACGTGTCCTGTTTGATACTTGATAGTTATTGTCAAATAAAGGTATGGAGACCATAGTCTATTTGGTAAGAGACTGCATAAAGTTGTTTTGTATCAAAGGGACCAGATGATCACAGAGATCCAGGGTGACCAGGGGATAAGTTGTAAGTTGCGACAAGGGGGAAAAATAGCCACATTGAATAGCCAAGTGGTGAGTGCTGGTAACAAATATTACCAAGTTGTTTGTATAGCCAAGAGGCAAGTGTCGGTACCAAGTGTTACCAAGTGGCAAGCAACTAAGTTGTTTGTGTAGTCAAGAGGCATCACCCCGATTAAATTTACAGGCATTATAGATTTGTCTTTGTATACTTAATTGCAGCACTAGGCAAGTGACAAAGACATATCTGTATATTTAGTATATTGAATACCTTTCACACTAAGCAAGTGTCCATTGCATTTATATGTTTTGCAGTCATCCTTGTAAGACTTGGGCAAACCAAGAAGATCGCTCGGGTCTCGGACATTTCAATAAGCAAGGGTATTTTTACCATATTTTTTTTAAATTCTTGGTCAACGTAGCTAGCTTCTTCTATCAGTTAATTTTGTTTTAAACTTCTATGACTCCTTTACAGTTTGTATTATACTCAGGTTACCGTTAAGGCCCTTGGGTCTCTTGTTTATATATTACTCACAAGTCTATCTGACCATTGAAAACTATTAAAGTACTTTACAAATTACATTACAAATTCTTGTACTGTGTAATTCTTTTATTCGTTTGGCCTATCAGTTACATTATTTACTGCGATTAATTATCATCTGTGAATAGCAATGGGAAATAACTTCTCTCAGTAGAGTACAAATTTCCTTACAGATCAATAGAACCCTGCCCAGCACCAGAACTCTTGACACAGTGGTCCAAAATTTCACAAATTTGGTTTTAAAAAAAGTTCATTACAACTTCGTACTCTGTTGAGCCCGACCTTTCACCAAAACCCCTGACTTAGGGGCTAGGAATTTCACAATTTTGGAAGAGGTATCCTTGCTCATCGAAACCATGCATTTACTTTGTTTGGAAAGTATACAGGGGGAGAGAAGAAGATATTTAAAGAATTTATTCATTTTCACTTAATGATCAATAGAGCCCCGCCCTTACAGCAGATCTCCTGTCTCGGGGTCCATGTTCACAATTTTGGAAGAGGCACCCTAGTTTATATAACAAATCACTTAGTTTATCTGCTAAAATATCCAGGAGTTTCACATTTTTATTGATTAAATTTTAATCCATTTCCTTAAATTAATGATTTTAAAATGAAAATTAGTTTGTGCACCAATTGTCTTGCGAATTGTTAAATGTACAATAATCTGATAGTTAATTACAAGTGCACCGGCCCAGAAAATTCTTCCCGGCGAATCGAAGATTGTACTCTAGGTGTCTGAAAGGGAAGCAATCGTCTTCTGATGTATAGGTAAACACCGAAATTTAAAATTCCTCCGACATTTGAAAAAGTTGTTACTAAGTGATAAATCGGGGCTGGAACAGCTTCTGGTTCTATAAAGGACCAGAGTCCATAAACAGCCATAGCCCACCACTGGATGAGAAATACAAGCACAAATACAGACATTGCACGCGCAGCCGCGTGCCTCATTTTCGTGGTCATCGTCTGCTTGCCTAACGTCTTTTTCAGTTCTTTCTCTTTAAGGTATATATTTCTGAGTGTCATGCTGTATAGTACGGAGTTTAGGATAAGGATGATTGTTAGAGGTACAGTGGTAAAGAGGAAGTTCGCCACTGTCCCCTTCACTCCGTCAAAATAGCAGCTGAAAATAAATAGCATTGTGAAACATTAGTCAATAATATTTGTCAAAGTTAAAAAAAATATCGATGATAATACAAAGAATGCACTGAATTCTTTCGCTATTGAAAAACATTTATGATGATCTCGTTTTAGGAAGCGTTCTATACTCCATTAAAATAGATAAAAACGATTTACTTACAATGATCCATTGGGTCCAAGCTGCCCTGCGATTCCTGCAACTGTGGCACATACAAAAGGAGTTCCAAATGTCCAAAGTAACAAGCGATAATCCTTAATACCAAAGTCAATCTGCTTGTGAAGAAATATCAACACAAATGCATTGACAGCAATTATATTAACCATCAGGTTTTGAGCTGTTATAAACTCGGCCAGCATAAAACCATAGAACTCACACAATTCTTTGGGATATACGTGATCTTCCGTAATAAGAATATGAAGATGGTCCATGCTATGCGCCAAATTGAACGCAGCGTCACAAATTGCCAGGTATACGACAAACCTCTCGCTTTTGGACCGCGAGAAGAAGGTTTTATAAGACTTTTGGCGGAAGCTGAGGACCATGGTTAGTACTGCGGAAGCAAAACTGAGGAAAATACATGATAGTGCGGGGATATGGAGCGTGTAGAAATGTCCTTCGTTAAGTCCATATACCGGCAAATCATACCCGTCACTCGGCGCGTCATTCCATGTGTTATTCTTCATAGCAATAAATTTCTTATTTTAAAAATTAAATTGGAGGAAATATAAAGTAAATGATAAATTCCATGTCGCTCATTGATAATTTAAATGTAACTGATCTTCATAATAAAGTATAGACCAGTCATATGGTCATTATTGATAACAATGATAACTTTTTATCAATGGGAAATGAGGAAGTAGATAGTAAGGTTACCAAGTAAAATTTAACCTCTTCGCAGGTGTGGACGCTTTCGTTTTGGCATTTTGGAAATCTGTGTCAATATCTCAATTTCTTATCATAGATAATAAACTTGTTTTTAATCGTATTCTCTCAGGTAAAGTTACAAAAACATTATCGAAAAACCCCAATACAATGTTGAACTTTACAACTTTAATGTATTCTTTATTTTTGTTACAGTAGAAAATACCTACCATCCGGGTTATCTGATAAATGTCAATCTAACTATATTTAAATATATAGTTTTAATTGTTAAGTATAGTATAAACATCTGGAAGACAAATGCCGGTATGAATTCTTGTGTTCAGATTCAATGATATTATTGTATACATGTAATGGTTCTCATGGTAGTTTTGTAATGTAATCTAGAAATTGTTATGGTAAATCAATAGAGATATTTTTGTGAGTAATCAGAGTGATTTCTTTTCTAGTAACATGTTAGAGATTGAAGTTGATACGTCATAACTACTTTATACAGAGAAATTTTAGTCCTCATTAACAGTTGGTGAATTCAAAACGGGAATTGAAGAAAGACGGTGTTACATTTCTTTCATTACAACTACTTCTGGGCGAATTTTAAAACGGGGCAAAATCTTCTGCCAATTTGAAAGGGCGAAAAGATATCCCGGTATATAACGTATGATAAACATCTCCAAATTTTAGTTTAGTTGTCATTTGAGGCCGTGGAAAAAGATTAGGCATGAAAGTAACAAAACCTCTCCTAGACGAAAGTAACAAAACCTCTCCTCTCCTGGACGAAAGTAACAGAACCTCTCCTCTCCTGGACGAAAGTAACAAAAGCTCTACTGACTTCAAACTATCATACATATTCAGGCCGAAAAAAAAAGAAATGCTGAAAACATGTTTCAGTCGATCAGAAGTCAAGGAAACCATGTACAAACCATACTCACTCTGCAGTAAAATCTGATTTCAATAATGTCATAAGGAAGATTGTGCCAAATCCATCGAGGAACTGATCAGCTTAAAATAAGTTAATGTGATCGAAATGAAAATAATAATAATACTCGGTAGTTTCTTAAGAAAAAAACGACGGGGCCACTCCAGAATTTTAACAAAAATCATCTGGAGAAAATAAAGATACTTGTGTACAAAAGCTACTTGCAATCGAAAATTGCCCGAGACATACTTTACCAGTATTTGGAGATTATTTTAATAAATCACTTCACAAAAGCAACAACACAAATAAAAAAAAACTCGTCGGGAGAGAGAAAGCAACGCAAAATGAACAAAAAATTAACAAAATCAAAAAATATACAGACACATGACGGGGCCTAAGAAATTGATCACACGATTTGCTTTCAGAATAACGTATCTCATGCACTTAAGCATCAAAGACGTGGTGGAGAAAAGCCGGATAAGTTGATAATGCAAAAACGATGTTTTTCGCTCATTGCTCGGTTGACACACAACTTAACATTATTCAAGCTGAATTAAAGTGACTCAGAAGGAAAATTTGGAACAACATTCCGAGCTGTTTGGAATAAATTATATTTAAGTAGATTCGGTGATGTAATTCAAAGTTTTGTTGTTTTTTTTTTTTTTAATAAATACAGAAACACTTTTCAAAGTTAGTTATCCCTATCATTCCTTTCACAACGGAATGCTTAGAGGCATATTTGTATTAAAAAAAAGGAGTCGGCAGAGAGATTCCGTCGTTTTAAAAAGCTTGGAAAAGCACATATTTCAAGTAAATATCAATTGTGATGCGACGTCTTAATTAATGTTCAAATGGAGAGTTTCATTAAGACATGGATCGCGTTCACACGGATAATTTATACCAATTACATTAATTCTAATAAGTTTACAACGAATTAATATTTTAAAACTTCTACTCGCACCTTGCAGTTCACCTTAAAGCCCACTCTCACCTTGAAACCCACCTTCACCTTGAAGCCCACCTTCACCTTTAAGCTCGCTCTCACCTTGAAGCCCACCTTCACCTTTAAGCCCACTCTCACCTTGAAGCCCACCTTCACCTTGAAGCCCACTCTCACCTTGAAGTCCAACCTCACCTTAAAGGCCACTTTCACCTTAAAGCTCACAGTCACCTTTAAGATCAGACGACACGTTCCTCAATAATATATAATTTTTCCCAAGAATTGGTCATTGAAGTATTGCTTCTAAAAACAAGTGTCCTCACAAAAAAGTGAGGCACCTTACCAGGCATTTGTGCAAGATACCAGATGTTGGAGTTTTCTATATAATCCTATTGGAAATCTCTTGGATTGTCAATGGCACAGTTTTTTGTGTATCTTTTTTAAAGACATTTTGAAAACAGTTTAAAAATCACAAGATGATAATAATTAAGAATAATTTTCAATATATTATGAAGAAATGTAAAACAGATATTCGAGGTACGTGTCGTCTGACCTTAAGCCCGCTCTCTGTGAGCATCTTCTGATTTTTAGCTCACTTTCACCTTTAAGCTCACTTTCAGTTTTAAGTCCACTCTTACTTTAAAGCCCACTTTTCCCTTTGAGCACTGTAAGCCCACTAAACACGAAGTTTATTTTCATTTTCTGTTATTTAAAATGGTATATATTTCCTTGTATTTGATTTTTTCTGGAATGTAATTATTTCCCCTCTCTTGTCCATTCTGTCATCTTTTCTTTCTTCTTTAAATGCCGATTGCTGTGTCTGTGTTTTCTTCCATTTTTATATCAAATGGACCTAACTGCATTCATTTTCTCGGTGAAACAGTACTCATGTACTTCTTACCTCGCAAAATAATGTAAACCAAAGTTTTCAATGTCTCAAAATCCGCTATCCCTTTTTCCAGCATTAACACTGTGATTTGGATCTTTCCCTAATTATCTCAAAACATCACTCTCCTAGTAATTCTGGCTTCGGTAGAACCTTCTGCTGAGGAAAACTAAACGCAGATCGTGGCGCGAAACTTGCAAAAAATTTTGACTTGATTTGTTAATTGTTCAGAAACGTAAAATAAAATGAAGGACAATTGTAAAACGGTAAGTATATATATCGCCTGAATGTGTAACAAAATGCAGCTCCTCCTTTGACTCTGCTGGTCGTGCCAGATTGCCCGCTATTACTTGCCTCTCTAATTCTTCGCTGAGTTGTCTGTATTTGTATTTTTTTATTCTTCTTTCAAAATGCTATTTTTCAAACTTAACTGTCTGAATTGTATGAAACTTGACGCGGATCCAGGATTTTGTACTAGAGGGGTGCAATTGGAAATCTAGGGGTCTTGGTATCGCCAAGGTTCAGATTCCTCCTCAGCGGTCAACTGAGGAAAGTGTCTCCAGAGGAGGACCTTGGGTCGAAGCCCGGATCGTAAGCTTCTAAGAACCAGCAATTAGAAAACCTTATTCTAAAACACAAATGACTGTAATTTTACCTTTTTTGTATGACAGTGAAAACTATATTTGATTTTCTTTTTTTTTGGGGGGGGGGGGTGTTAGAGCCCCCGCCTGAATCCGCGCATGTTAACAAAGGATCTGTACAACCTTTATTTAAAGATGCATGATTCCCTAAAGATTTTTTTGGCTGTCTTTTCATTCTAAAAGTAGTAAAATAAAGAAACATTAAAATAATTCTAAAATGTATTAAATTTTGAATCAAAATATATTAAATTAAATTAAATTTTAAGCTGGATTTCTGGAAATCGCCCAAATGTAGAGAGAGAGAGAGAGAGAGAGAGAGAGAGAGAGAGAGAGAGTGTGTGTGTGTGTGTGTGTGTGTGTGTGTGTGTGTGTGGTTATCAGAATTAACTGACATATTTATGTTATAAATATTTATGTCTGTCGTCTTTTTTATTTTGATCGGGATCGGACTCCATGATACTCAATTGACAACGGAGTATTGATACAACATGTTTATTTACTCATACACGTAACAGTATTGGCCGTCCTCCAGGTATTGCACTGACATTCGTGCACTGACAGTCCAATTGCTCATTTGCATGTGCTGCTTTTTTCATCTATGATGCTATCATATTAATGGGTTAACTGGGAATTTGTGAGAAATCAAAATGGTAAAAGCGATTGAAGTAATTTAGCATTTATCTTTTGAAATAACTCTAGCAGCCGTTAACAGGTTAAGATTCTTTTTAATGGTTATTTTTAGATATGATGCGTTTAAAATATTTTTTAAACTCAAAATGCTTAAAAACATGTACATGTAAATTTCTGAGTAAACCATTATCAAGTCTGGTACAATCACTAGATTTAGCTATGTAGCTTGAATTACCTACATAGCTCTATTTACCTACCTGAAATAGCTTTATTTAGCTACCAAATCAAACTTATTTCTTAAATTACCATTTTTCTCAGAAAGTGCAGAAAATTGCACTTTGATGCAGTGATAATTTTCAACTTTGAACTCATCTGAAAACAATTCATGAAAAAATCACTCTTGGAGATTTAATTGTCTTTTTCTGCGCAATTGCAATCAAAGTTCTAAAAGTTTTGGTGCTATATATAACAGTTAATGTGTGACCTAACAGTTACTTCTTGAGTGAAATAACAAAGAAAACCAGTTTTGATTAACATGAACACAATGTGAAGAAATCATACTTATCCAAGCCTCGTCGCACCCAAGGTGGTGTACAGTTACTCAAACAATGGAAATACATCCTTTCCTTATAAGTGTTCAAATGCAGCAATGTTAAAACTATCTCTGCTTTAGATTGCTTTTGAAATAATACCTAGAATAAATATTAGTAGACATTTACTTGCGATTTTTTTTCTTTTTAAACATGTTAAAATAAAAAGCAAAATTGTGAAAAATTGCCTTGAAATAGCTAAATAAAGCTACCTGAGGTAGGTAAATAAAGCTAGGGTAGGTAATTTTAGCTACGTAGCTAAATGTACTGATTGTACTGGACCTGATAATATTTGATACGTTTTAATGATCTGATATTGAAATGTTATAATATGCTTTACATTAATTTTATTTTATTTAAATTATTGCAGGCAAATTTAGTGAAATTGAAGTTCTCAAGTTTTGATTTTAAAAAGGACGAAGATGGTGCATTTGAGAACTTCTTGCAGGTAATGTCAAATTACCATTCAAATGATTGCATGGATGGTGTATCATATACACTCATTGCCAGTCAGATTGCAGATGCTGCTTGTTGTTTTAAATGCTTAAACCAGTTGACCAAACTCTCTTAATAATGAAAGTTAATACACAGTTACCAACAGTTATGCTTTTGTTGTTGCATTTGATTCTTGGTTTGCTACATAAGAAGCTGCAGCCCAAAATTAATGTAATTTCCTATAAGTTATTCATATAGGATGTCGAGACTTTGCCTCACTTTGGGGTGAAATCCAGTGTGATGGTAAATTCTTGCTGCAGCTGATGGATCTGCCATTTCTATATAATTGTTACATGTAAAATTCTTAAACTGTATGAAACTTAATATCAAATGTGCATTTGATTTTAATGACCAATATTGACAGGACCTTGAAGAAAAGGGTTTTAAACAACTTATTGGTGCATCAGACAAGCCAGAGGATGAAGATGAGAAAGTATACCCAAGACATGTCCAAGATCTCATAGAGTAAGTGTGGAATTTTATACTGAAGATCCAAGAACTTATAGAGAGAGTGGAGAGTTTTATACTTAACACATAAATTCCAGCTAGTAAACTTCTGGCAATCCAGAGTCTGTTTAAGATGGATATTGCTAAATGGTTTATATTTACAGAAAGGATGGGAAAACAACTGAAAAACTTCAGAAAGAAGTCATAGATCTATTTATTTTCTACCTTACAAAGCTGCCACATGTACCCGAAAAATACTTTGATGACTTAGAGTCAGCTCATAAAAGGGCATTAGAGATCATTGAAGATTGCTGTATATTCAAGGTACATCATTCCTCTCTCTCTCTCTCTCTCTCTCTTTCTCTCTGTGCATTGAATAATACATCTGACCTCACACATGAAATTCAGTGTAAATTTGTGACCCTTTTCTTCCTTTCTCATCTGCCCCCCTGATCTGTGAAAGAACTTGTGATAATCCTAGGAAAATGTAAACCCTCAAACTCAGATTCTCAATGTCAAAAGGCATGAATTGATCTCTTTTGGTAACTGACTACTGCAAAACTACGATTTTTTTTTTCAGTTGGTCTTTTATTGAATGTAGAATTTTAGATTTGTGAAAAAGTCATCTCCATTTTATTTATATATTTTTTTGCAAGGGGGAGGGGTCAGCACTGGCTGAGTAGGGGATACACATGTATACCCCACCCCTTGAATCTACAACTGGTTTATTGATGTTCATTGATGTTCATTCCATGTCTTTTGAGCAATCTTCATTGGATATGTCCTCCACCTACACCATATATAAATCCAACTGGCATGATTGCAACATCCAGGACTTAAAATCCAAATGTTGGCATTTTTTAATTATGTTTTATAAAACGATACTGCAATTTTTCAATGCAAATTTTGTCCAGCATTCTACCACATAGATAACAAATAAAGGGATGTGAATTAAAAAAAAATCAATCTTAAATAAAATTAAATTAATGATATTAAAGGTGCTGGAAAAAGGGGCCAAAGTATTCAGCTTAAGTGGAAACATCCTTAATTCTAGTTGTATGTTTGACCAGTTAAAAAACTGAATTCATTTTACAACAAAATGCATCACTAGACATGGTACAGGTGACATAGGTATCAAAATTATCATCAATCCACAACTTGATTTTATTACTTAACAGGGAAAAAAAAAAATTATATCCATCTGCCCTTTGTCGTCAACCCTTTCTAACTACTTCAGGAACAGCTCTTAATCTCCCCGTTTTCATTCTTTACATTTACTTTGATGGCATTATTTCAATCTTACATGTTATTACTGCAGGGCTCTGTCTTTGATTTCACTGTGATTATACTATCAATACGTTAGTTCATTTATTTATTTGCTTTAACAAGTTTATTTATGCCCTGCCATGAATATGGCCGGGGCATATAGTGTTTGTCATGTCCGTCTTCCGTCCTTCCATCACACATTGCTTTTAGCTCTGTTCAAAGCTCAGTTTCAAAGAAACTATCCAAGATATTTTTATCAAACTTCATATGCTGATAGATATTGATGAGGGCTATGCAATTGCATCAACATTTTTTGACTTTGACCTTTCCTTTGACCTTGACCTCACTTTTCTTAAATTAGTGTTTAGCTCTGTTTTAAAAATACCATTCAATATAGTGTTGTCAAACTTCATATAGTGATACATACTGATGAGAGCTATTCAACTGCATCAACATTTTTTGACCTTGACCTTTCCTTTGACCTTGACCTCACTTTTCTTAAATTAGTGTTTAGCTCAGTTTTAAAGATACCATTCAAGATATTGTAATCAAACTTCATATGTTGATACATACTGATGTAAGTTTTTCAACTGCATCAACATTTTTTGACCTTGACCTTTCCTTTGACCTTAAATTCATTTATTTTAAATCATTGTTTAGCTCAGTTTTTAATAAACCATTCAAAATATTTTTATTAAACTTAATATGCTGATACGTATTTGTGAGAACTATTCAACTGCATCAAAAACGGTTGACCTTGAATTTTCCTGTGACCATGACCTCACTTTTCTTAAATTTGCATTTTGCTTAATTTTAAAGAAACCATTTAAGATATATTTATGTAAGCTTATGCACTAATACATAATTTGGTAAAAATTTATCATCTATATGCAACTTTTTAGATTTCAATTTCAATTTTAAAGAAACTATTCAAGATATTCTCATCAAATCTCATACACTAATACAAATTTTCATTTTGCATTACTAATATACCCTCGGCAGGGCATTCTTGTCCTATGGACATATTTCTAGTTTTAATTTGACTCTAAATTCATCATAATATATACTGCTTCTCATCAACTTAAAATTGCTCGTTTTTTAAGTATGTCTGTAATTAAAATCCATATTCTTAAAAAATGAATTGAAAATAAGATTAAACTACTCAATATCATCTTTTCCAAGAACATGATTGGAAATTTAAATTGTTTATCCATTAATATTTATTTCTGTATTATTTTGGATAAAAATTACTCTTTTGTATCCCTTTACATACTACATTCATAACTGTTATTGAAATAAGTAAATCGATGTATTACTTTATGTACATAATTTCCAGGATCTGAAGGATTTAGAATTTCTGAGATCCATGTTTAAAACCCTCCAGGAGTTTATAAGTGAACCAGACTTTCCACAAAAGGATGAAATAGTGTATGTCACAAGGAAAGCAGTTAAGGAATGCCTAAATGTTTTGTAAGGATGATGTCATTTGTGTATTAGCTGTAACCGTGGTAACTGCCCTGCTAACTGATCTTAAAATCATTTCAGTTTTACATTTATATCCAGAAACATGCATTTTATCATATGATTGATATTCAATTGATTGAGGATTCATTTGGAGTGAAATTTGAAAAATTTGAGAAATGTCACTGAAGAAACTTAATAATCTTAAGAAAAAAGACTGCAAACTTTAAAATTATTAATTGTGGATTCTTGGTTAATCAAAATTTAAGGCTGCAAATAGAAAAGTAGAAAGGAAGTAAAAATTGCAACAAGTGTTAAAACTATTTTACATCATTTTAAACAATTGAGAGAAATCTTGAATGAAAACTACTTTTAAATTAGTTATAAATTAGAATATGCCAATATGTTATACATATTTCATATAATCAACTGTGGTATCGGTAAGTATGAATAAGATATTTCATTTCAGGAAAAGAGATAAACCACTTGATGTATATGATATGACCCTACAACTCTGGAAGGCTGTGGCCATTAGTCCTAATGTTGACAAGTTCCTTGACCTCATCATGACCTTTGATGAACTTACAAGTCATCTTAAAGAACAACACATTAAGGTGAACTTTGAACACTGACTACAACCAAAGATTGATGCATGAAGTTCTATCAAGTTTGAAATACATGTATAGATTATGCAATATGATTTAACAGGAATCATGATTTTAGATTCAATTTAGAAAGATTATTGAATTTTTAGTCACTTATTTGAGTGACTTTGCTGACTCATTGTTATCTGTTTTGACTATGGAGTGCTTTGAATGAAAATGTTGTGTTTTCCCCTCAGAAACTAATAAACTAAATTTAACCAGATCTGTAATAGCATCTTTAAATGAAGGGGACCCCCCTCCCAAAAATGAATTTCATATATCAACCCTCAGGAGCTTGAGCATAGGGCCAAAACTTCCCAACATGAATGAATTCTTGAAATCCCTATACTTTTATATAGCTAGCAGTTATACCAACAATGAGTCCTTTATCAAAGTTTTTAAAAATTGCTTTTCATATCCCCAGGGTCATGTGTTCATGCCATAAGGGGGGGGGGTGAGAGTTATAGTTGATGATAGACTGAGTTTACATAATACCTTCACTAAGAATCCCATGGAAATCAATGTTTCCATAGTCATGGTAATCAATTTAAAGTGCATAGTTGTAACAGTTCATATCCCTAGGGTCATGTGTTCATGCCATAAGGGGGGGGGGGGGGGGGGGGGTAGAGAGTTGTAGTTGATGATAGACTGAGTTTACGTAATACCTTCACCTAGAATCCCATGGAAATCAATGTTTTAGTTACAGTATATGGAGGCTTGTTTTCAAATTTAAATACATGTAACTGTACTTTGTTATTCTTGATGAAGTCTTTATGATGCAAGATCATTCCAACTCCTGTGGCTTTGACGCACCCAGTTGTGGAGTGATACTTTCCTATTGATATAACCAATTTGGACCTCTATTAAGGCCAAATCCTGGCCCCAGTAACCTGATTTTTTGAATAGATTTAATTCTGCATAGGGAAGCTTGCATATCACTTAGAAAAAATTGTGGCCCTGCTATTCTTGAGCAAATCCTGAAAGCAATGAATTGCAATGAATCAGCAAGTTCTAAGTTGAACTTAGACTACATAGGAATACTTGCACATAAATTGAAATCAGTTATGGACCTGCTGTTTTTGAAAAAAAAATTTGGATGTTGACCATATTCTTCCTCCTCCTCCTCCCCCCCCCCCCCCCCCAACACCAACACCAGTTATGCTTCTATTCTAGTCCTAGGATTTATGTTTCATATTTATTTTTAAATAGGACTCATAAACTTTACATGTTGTAGGTCACACTTTGTATGAGAGAAGTGTTTTGTGAAGGCTAATGTTGTGGTGGTCATGTACTTCATGACAATATATGATTGTCTTATTCAGAAAGAACCCAAGCTGTTTGAGACCTGGGCACCTGTGGCCCTAGAAGTATTGGAGAAAGGACTTCCATTGGTGAAGACAGGAAAAATCATGAGATCTATGATATATGATTTCAGAGATTATGCTAAACCTCAGAAGTAAGTGGAAATTCAAACCATTTTGATCTGCAAAAAATTCTGGCAGGCCTCTATGTGACCTATAAAATTAAGGCACCAACTGGCTCTTAATCAAAAAAATTCAGTTGCCACAGTAAATTTTTAGTCACCAGGAAAATTTTTAGGTGTCATGCAATGATTCTATCTTTCGTGTGAATTAATATTTATACAAGTAATCAATAAATTAATGTGAAAAAAAAACTTTCTTGTGTTGTTTACCAGCTCATAACTAAGAAAACCAGGTGTTAGGAAAAAACTTCAAACTAAAATCTGTAAATGTTTAAAAAATGGGTAGATTTTATCAGAATACTTTCATTAATTAAACTATTTTCCTCGTTTTCAGACATCAGTTTCTACTCAAACATTCTCTGATCTCTTTCAAATCAAATTTGAGAGCAGAAGTGATGATTTGCTGAAAACAATTGCAAAAAATCTGAATATGCAAATGTCCCCAATTACTATAATAATTTCAAGGTCAATACTGCCCTTTTCAAATTCAGATTTGAATAATAAAACTTTTTTTCATAAATAAAAGAAATGATGTAAAGTATGAGTTTGCACATGATTAGTCCCCTACCAGTGAAATCAGAGGGCACTACAGGTTTGCTCTCCATCTGTCCATCCATCTGTCTATTGGTCTCTCCCTCTGTCTGTCAGTCATACATTTATCTGATTTTTGTTATGTGAGTCTAACTTGAAGAGTTACAGATCAAGTTTGGATTTTCTTCCATTTAAATGATTTTTGACAAAATTATGGCCTTTTTAATGTTTAAGTGGAACCAGTTTACCCTTGCTGGAAGAGAACTAATATTGTTTGTGCAATACTCTCAGAATGCTTGTTCTTAGAGTCAGTCCACCTGAGGGCTCAAATTAGTATTTACTATATCTAGTCTTTGTTATATTTTCTAAATCTTACAGACATTTTCAGACCTTTGATTGGGTTGAGTGTCTATTTCTTCATTTAGTACATTTGACAGATTGGGCATGTCTTAGAGAACTTCGATCATGTATTATTTTTGAGTTTTCCTTTTTGGATTTCAGTCCTTTCAGGCCTTTGATTGTTATTTGTCTCCTGCAGGTCATATGACAAGCTGTGGATACCAATCTTAGTTAACTGTGTGAAGTGGCAGATTCCAGTTACAATGGAGGCAGCTTGTAGAGTGATTAGGGATGACCAATGGGTTCGCTGTCTAAATTGGAAGGTAGATCAATCCAAGAATTTTGTTCTTCTGAAATACATGTGATTATGGATGCTTTTCAGCTCGTATCATCAGAAGCTGTTGCATATACATATATATTAATATACTTTAATATCTTAATACCTAACCTGTTAAATCTTGACAACGTCTATCCAAAGCCATAACGGTCCTAACAATTAACGACTTTTCACGAGGCTTTCTAGAGCCTTGAATAGATTAAGGATTTCATATTAACTTACATTTATGCCTTATTATTAAATTAATATAAATGTGTATTTAAAAATGTGTAGATTAGTTGTATGATGAGTTCATGATGACTTTGATGTCGTACTGATATTTGTATAAGTATAAATTGATCCAGCAAGTTTATATATAGGATAAGTTGAATCTTCAGAATATGTTTTAATTAGGGATGTCAACGAATAGTCGACTATTCGACTATCAGTCGAATGGACCGACGATCGAATAATGAAACGACATTCGAATATTATTTTAACTAAATAAATGCAATAAATGAGTGATAGATGAGATGGAATTCTCATCAAAAAATGAGAAACAGTCTTTTCTCATATACAGTCGATAATTTTCCTCAACAAAAAACGGTAGATTTTCCATGTACGTATAGAAAGTACAGCAATTATAAATGCTTCACTACTGCGAGAATTAATTGTCAGTAACTGCCTGTGTTGTTTTTGTAATAAATTCACCAATATAATGGGCTTTGTTTGTAAAATTATTCATTGGACAATTATCTTTTGTTTTTTTAAGTTTGCTCAAATGCAAGGAATAAACCTGTTTTGATACATCGATAATTATTAAAACAGTGCACTTACATTTTATTTCATAATAAGCTTTAAAAAAAAATATCAGTTGGCAATTTTTTAATGCTTACTAAATAAAAAATTGACCGCATGTACAGGCCGATTTATGAATTCTATTTATGGAGAAATAATAAATTTTGGAGAATTAGGTTTCTAAATTTATTTCATAGAATCATGCTAATAGATCCACGCGTTACCTTGCATTAATTTTGATGTTACTTTTTAAATAGATTTAAGTAAAAAGGTTTCTGAGTATGTACCAATGAAGTATGAAATAAAATTTTATTTTCAGAAAATGTTCCGAATATTCGACTATCGTTCGAATAATGCAATTGAATGATCGACTAAGGAAAATTAATATTTTGACATCCCTAGTTTTAATCAACAGGAAAACACAAAGGCTGCCCAGGAAATTTTGCAGACATTGATTGACATGGATTTCGATAAGATCAGTGAAACAAATGAATTAAAAGAAATTGCAGATGTGGGAGGGGACATTGTGAATTACCTCATGGAAAAACTCAAGTAAGTGTGCTGAACAGGTCTTAGCAATTCATGTACAATTATTGAGGCAAAGTGTGCTGGTCAGGTCATGTGGCCTGTAGTTTTCTTAAACCATCAGAACAGATGTGTGCACCACTGTAGTTACTACAGCTACTGAATGATGAATGCAAAAGTAGGAAGAGAGGTCAAAGAAGAATAGCACGGACTGTGTGTGCATTTGTTGTTTGATTGAATTCATATTTTAATGATGTATGTGCAGAATAAGTGATACATAGAGTACACAGGCACTTGATTGGGTAATAACTGTTTTATCCCATAGTATATAAATAACACAAGGTATCCAGCTCCAAACCCCCTCCCCAGAATCACTCTCTTTTCTCTTTTACACTTTCCGGGGAAATGCAGTGGCAAACTTTATTACCACTGTCTTCTACGGTAATTTATCTACACAATCATATGTGGCATACTTGTCTTTATTTTCTTTTTTCTCTGTAAACAGCGTCAAAACTCTGCTCGCCAAGTGGAAAAGTCGAATTACACCATGAAATGGTATGTGCTAATCCCAGCAGAGATTTTGATTGGCTATAAATCTGTTTCTAAAATTACGTCGAAAAAATATTGTAGTGATTTTATGGAAAATAAGACGTAAACAAATTTATTTATTCACTGCAATATTCAAACACTGGAATTGAATTTTTAAACCCCCTCATTTTTCAATTTTGCTCTCTGCCCAGGCATGTGTAATAAGGTTTTATTATACATGCCAAAAGGGACTAGCATTGCTTATGCAATACAGTAAAAATGCTTGTTAAAGTATAATTATGACAGTTATCCTCTGTTTTTTGCAGTTATCCCTGTCAGTATAGATTTATGACTGCCACAGTTATCCACTGTTATAATAGTTAACTGTAACAGTTATCATCTGTTAGTATTGGTATAATTACCACTGTAACAGTTATCATCTGTTGATATTGGTATAATTACCACTGTAACAGTTATCATCTGTTAGTATTGGTATAATTACCACTGTAACAGTTATCATCCGTTAGTATTGGTATAATTACCACTGTAACAGTTATCATCTGTTAGTATTGGTATAATTACCACTGTAACAGTTATCATCCATTAGTATTGGTATAATTACCACTGTAACAGTTATCATCTGTTAGTATAGGTATAATTACCACTGTAACATATATCATCTGTTAGTATTGGTATAATTACCACTGTAACAGTTATCATCCGTTAGTATTGGTATAATTACCACTGTAACAGTTATCCTATCATTAAAGTATAACTACCACAGTTATCCTCTGTTATGAAAGTATAAGCTAACTACCACTGATATCATCTGTTACTTAGGTATTATTACGACAGTTATTCTCAGGAGATATCAATAGTAAAAAAGTTTTGTAAATCAAAGTGAAAATAAATCATACATACAGTAAAACTTGTCTAAACTTGACACCACTGGTTCCATAGAAATTGGATTAAACAACATTATAAACAATTGAATTTACGGGAAGGGACTTAAAGTTTACATTGTATTAGGCACAATTTCAGAATACATAACATCCGTATTAGACAAGTTTCATAATATTACATTTGCTGAGATATGTGAAGTTCTTCTCTGTGTGGAGTCAGGAGTGCATGGAATACTCTTACAAGATTAAAAAAAAAAACTAAACAGGATTTCATTAGCATATACTGAATGACTCTCACTTTAATTATGTATAGAATCTGCAAAGCCCATAAAAGTTGTGAGGTACTGGTAACAGAGCTGTGTATGAAACTCTTGGAGAAATATGACCTTGTGGAGGAATTATATAAACTGACAGATGAAGCTGCCACAAAGGTGTCACTAAAGGTGAGGAAATATATAAACTGACAGATGAAGCTGATATAAAGGTATGATTGAAGGTGAGGAATTATATAAACTGACAGATGAAGCCACCACAAAGGTATCACTGAAGATGAGGAATTATATAAACTGACAGATGAAGCCACCACAAAGGCATCACTGAAGATGAGGAATTGTATAAACTGACAGAGGAAGCCAACACAAAGGTAAGACTTAGGTGAGGAATTATATAAACTGACAGATGAAGGAGCCACAAAGGTGTCACTGAAGGTGAGGAATTATATAAACTGACAGATGAAGCAGCCACAAAATATCATTGTGGGAATTTACAGTGCCTACTTTTGACCCTTGAATGGCTTCAAAGACTTTTATAGAATATTGAAGTCACTTGACTGGGATTTAACAGTAGGCTATTACCCGAGGCCTTCCAGGTTGCAAGCTTGCCTATTTCAAATCCCCAGATATTTCAAAGGTAATAATCCCTGCCCCACTGATCTCAAGATAACAAGGTTTGACTGTATTTATATTACAGTAATATGTACTTATATTACATCACATCAAAGGTCTGATTGGTCAGTACCTGGACCACTTTATGACATTGATATTTAAACTGTATATTTATATTACAGTACAACAAAGATCTGATTGGTCAGTACTTAGACCGCTTTATGGCATTGTTGAAGAATGAAGATGTTCCTTGGGACAATACTTCACAGAGCTATCTGAGTTCTGTTTTCATCAGCTACCTTGTTGACTCAATTTATTATGAGTAAGTACACTCAGTCAGTCACTACCCAGTTTCATATCATACATTTAATACATGTATTTAATCTGAAAAAATAATCATTTTCACTATACATATATACAATTTAACTGTGGTACCTCAGACATTGATATCTCAAATACCATGGATATGATGTAGTGAATTGGAAGTCCCAACTACTTTCTCTTTATGTATTTTAACATCAATATCTTAAACACTAGGCTATCTCAAAGTTTTTAGGTCACTTGAGCCGAAGGCTCAAGTGAGCTTTTCTGATCAAAATTTGTCCATTGTCTGTTGTTGTTGTCGTTGTTGTAAACTTTTCACATTTTCATCTTCTCAAGAACCACTAAGCCAATTTCAACCAAACTTGCCACAAAGTATCCTTGGATAATGGGGATTCAAGTTTGTTCAAATGAAGGGCCACACCTTATTCCAAGGGGAAATAATTACGAAATTGTGAAAAATTTATTGCATCATTTAAAAATCTTCTGAAGAGCCACTGTGCTAGAAAATATGAAACTTATGTGGCAGCATCCTCAGGTAGTGCAGATTCAAGTCTCTTCAAATTATGACCCCCGGTGATAGGGTGGGGCCACAATGGGCAATCAAAGTTTTACTCAGGAATACATAGGGAAAATCTTTAATAAATCTTCTTCTCAAGAACAGCAAAGCCATGATTAGTCATATTTATATGGAAGCATCCTCAGTAGTGTAGAATCAAGTTTTTTTTTTTCAAATCATGACCCCCGGGGGTAGGGTGGGGCCAAAATGGACGCTCAAAGCTTTACATAGGAATATAGAGGAAAAATCTTTAAAAATCATCCTCTCGAGAATATCAAAGCCATGATTGGTCATATTTATATGGAAGCATCCTCAGGTAGTGTAGATTCAAGTTTGCACAAATTATGACCCCCGGGGGTAAGGCGGGGCCACAATGGACGAGCAAAGTTATACATAGGAATGCATTGGAAATTTTTTTTGAAAATCTTCTTCTCAAGAACATCAAAGCCATGATTGGTCATGTTATATGAAAGCATCCTCAGGTAATGTAGATTCAGATTTGTCCTAATCATGACCCCAGGGGGTAGGGTGGGACCACAATGAAAGTTCAAACTTATAGGGAAAAAAGCCACAGTTAGTCCATCTTCGCTAGCCAGGGGTTTCTGATCCACTACTCTCCTCATAAAACCCTTGGCATACGGTGCAGTCAAAAGTTGGGATTGTTTACGACACGTGATCTCGAATTTTCCAACATACGCACAAATTGCATCATCGACAAAAATAAAAGGCGTATTTGAAAATTTTAGTTTTTAAAGAATAATTAACAAGAAGATATCAAGCAATGTTTATTTGTTATTTATCGTGCAAATTTACATCTACAATAAGATTCCTGATCACAATATTTGTACATCAGCTTAAGATTGGATGACACCATATCTATTTATAGAGTGGCATGTTATCTTACAAATTGTTGTCTACTTGTGTTTTTCATTCCCGAGACTAAAAAATCATGATACATCCCGAAGGCAAATATCATCATTTAGAAAAGCAATTGCTGATTGGTCGAACGATGTCGATCAACTCCAATCACACTTCGAGAAAAAAAAAAACTTTTGACTGCACTGTATGCCAAGGGTTTGTGAGGAGAGTAGTGGATCAGAAACCCTTGGCTAGCGAAGATGCAGTTAGTCAAAGAAATATGCACTAAGCATCCTTAGTTAGTGTAGATTCAAGCTTGTTCAAATCATATCCCACTTTTAGAGGTAGGTTGGATGCATTTAAGCTTTTTATACCCCAAGCAACAAGTTGCAGGGGGTACAATGTTTTTGACCCGTCCGCAGTCATTCAGTCCTTCAATCCTATTTTTTTGTCAGCGCAACTCCTCATAAACCGCTGCACAGAATTTCATCAAACTTTGCAGATATTTAGGACACAATGTGTAGATGTGCATATTACCAGGAAATTCCGATTCCTTTATTTTTTCTGGGAATTTCGGCACTTTTCAACTTAGATTTTTGGCCATATCTTGAATATAGAGATGAACAGTTTGTCAGCGCAACTCCTCATAAACCACTGCACAGAATTTCATCAAACTTTGCAGATATTTAGGACACAATGTGTAGATGTGCTTATTACCAGGAAATTCCCATTCCTTTATTTTTTCTGGGAATTTCGGCACTTTTCAACTTCGATTTTTGGCCTTATCTTGAATATAGAGATGAACAGTTTGTCAGTGCAACTCCTCTTAAACTGCTGCACAGAATTTCATCAAACTTTACAGATATTTAGGACACAATGTGTAGATGTGCATATTACCAGGAAATTCCAATTCCTTTATTTTTGCCCTAAGAGTTTTGCCTATTATTGAAGAAACTTTCCAGTTAGGTAATAAGGAAATCCACTGGAATCAGCTTTTGTAATGAAATTTTATGTGAAATATTTTATGACCTTAAAAGACCCCTATTGATTTTGAGATCAAAATATTAATGACTTAACACACACACACACAAAATCTTGGATAGTTCTCACCCTCCCCCCCCCCCCCCCCCCCCCCTGAAATTGGTGCTTTGCCTTAAATAATTTCATAAGTACAGTATATAAACAAATTCATATGACTACATCATAATCTTGTTTCCATCAATTATTTAAATGTGTAAATTGTCATGTGTTGGACATTGACTTACACTCATTAACAAATCGAAATCACTGAGGAATTTAAATAACAGTTTGTCAGCATAACTCCTGCACTGAATTTCCTAAAACTTTGTAGGTATTTCAGACATAATGTATAGATTTGTATATTACCAAGAAATTTTGATTCCATTATTTATCTAGAAACTTCAACCCAGTTAAATTTGTGACATACAAAGATTTGAATGTCCTTATATGCAAGAAGTTTTGATGTGATGATTTTTTGCAAGTAATGCCCCTTTTTGAATTATACTGTGTATTTAAAATGCACTGTTCCATTCATTACGTGTTGCATTCTCAAGTTCTGGGAGAGTGTGGGGTATGTGAGCTTGCTCACTCTTTCTTTTATTAATACTGAACTGATTTCTGCTTTTTTCCTAGCCACAGTGCTCAGGTGAGTGACATGGCTGATGGGCCTCTTGTTTTTCTTGGTCCCATCAACTTTGAGGTAACAAGTCAAGTTTAGAATTGTCATTTTTCCATGACACAATCTAATACAGCACAAAATATTGAATACATTACGGATAACAGGCTTCATATTTGTTATACATTCAGTTTGAAAGAACAGCTAGGTATTCAAAGGCATTCAAATGGTTCTGTTAAGTTCTCTCAAAAGGCTACTTCTCCTACAGTTGTAGTCTGATTGCTATAAATCTTGCCACAAAAAGAGATTAGACCAAGGATCATTATTCTGTTTAATGCTGTAGCATTTTCAAGTGCAAGTGCTGCTTTTCTCTTCCTTTGTTATAAGTTTAAACCAGTAGAGCTACAGACTCATCAGAGACTTCTGGTTTTTATTCATTCTGGAATTTTCTTATCCTGTCAACAACTATTTTAATTGCATTAATACCTTCAATTTCAACAGATTTTGAAAATTCATCATTGATGTTGAAAATTTCTGGGGTGAAAAACTTTTCCCACCTACCTACTGGCCCAATTTTTTTTATCTTGAGTAGGGAGAGGGCAAATAAACATTATTTTAAAGTTGGCCCAATGTTCAAGTTTATCTTGGTTGCAAATATTATTGCAAAAAAAAACACACACATAAACTGTCTGTTTTGTTTCTAATCTGAGTTTTTGTTCACACTAAATTATATGATTATTAGAATAATGATGGAATACTGAAACATATAAAAAAAATTTACACTCTCTTGATTCTATAATATAAATCCTTTTCTTTCCTAATCATTTCAGAGACAAACAATTTAATGATTCGGAGGTGGACCAGAAAATGATTGACATGATTCTGTTCAGCATGGAGGAGGACCGGGAACTCTGTGATTGGTCCAATGGGCAACTTACCGTGTTTGGAATAATTGCCACAGATATTCTAACAAAATTTGTCAGTGCAGTGAGTGAACTGTTTTTCATGATGTCTTCCCCCTTATTGTCAAACAACTCCTACAACAGTTGTATGCACTAGGAATTAATATACTGGACTTTGATTAGTGTTTTTTTTTTCAACTGTGACATTAATGATAATTAATGATAATGTACCATATTTTCCCTCAGTGTGATATTAAAACTATATATTCCCATCATTCACTGATAAAACCCTGTATTATCCTCAGAGGATATTATTTTGATTGATTAATGTCATTAAAAGATATAAATTTATTATAACTTTCAATATATTGTAGACCATGTTGAATATTTGATATATGAAATATAGAACTACTGTATGACAGCAAAATCTTGAGAAACCTCTGCTAAACTTAGAAAACAAATGAAATAAGATACAATAAGTATGGCTGATCTTAGGTAATGAGCATTTTCCAGGGACTGTTAAAGTAATATATAGTACACCATAAACTAGGTCAAATATATAGGTCAATCTGTTTCCTCCTCAGAAACGGGACAGCAATACCCTCAGTAAGTTAAAGCCTCTGATCCCAAGTATCCAGCGTTTGATGTCCAATCATGAAGACGAGAGAGTTACTGAGCAGTGTGGGGATATCTTAGTTATGATTGGTCAACAAGCCTCACAAGTGCTGGACTCGGACCACATCGGGAACCTTATTGACCACTATATTGAAAATCCTGATGTACACATCATGGGTAAATTGATTGCATGATATTGATATCGTTATACAGTAGAACATGCTTATAATGAAGTGCCAGGGACAAACAATTTTGATTTCTTATAAATGTAGTTTGTTATATCTGTTTATTTTTCAAAAGGTTTTAAAACCACAGGGAATGAAAATCACTTCACTGTAAGCATGCATTCATTACAAGCATGTTTGCTGTAACCATGTTTTACTGTATACTTAAAAGCATGTACATGATGTACATGTATATGTGATGCATTTATTACTCATGTCTTCAGTTAGTCAGAAAGAGGACTGTCGTGATTCCAGATTCAAATACATGTACATGTAAGTATGAAGTGTTAAACATTCCCATCTTCTCAGCAATGGTTTCTCAATAACCACTGGGCCAGAAAAGATGAATTTATGAAAATTTCATGACATAGTGTATATTCATGTTTGTTCAAATCATGCCCCCCCCCCCCTCCCAGGGTAAGGTGGGGCAACAATAAAAGATCAAAGTTTTACATGAGAAAACAGAGAAAAAGACTATACAATCTTCTTCTCAAGAACAGCAGGGTCATGATTAGTCATGTTAATATGCAAGCATCCTCAGGTAGTGTGGATTCAAGTTTGTTCAAATCATGACCCCCAGGGGTAAGGTAGGGTCACGATAGGAGATCAAAGTTTTTCATAAGAAGCAGAGGGGAAAAATCCTAGGAATCAGTGAATGAAGTGATAACAGAAATAGAGTGATGTTTTTAAAATTTGGCTTATAAACCAGACTTACCAAACTTAACAGGGGTGAGTTGACTCTTAAGGATATTTCAAACATCAATGAGCAGGCTTTTAACATCATTCATAAAGATTATACCATGGTAACTATTTTAGGGCAGGTATTGAAATAGTTGTTGAAAATCACAATTTAGTCAAAAAGCTGAGGATGAATTGTCTAATGAACTGGGTTGGGAGACATATTATTGAACTTGGTGCAATGCCTAAGGACTACAAGCTTGTCAGCTTTGCCAGCACCCACTGCACCTACTTTATTGCATTGGAAAGGAGTTGTTTTCTGTGAATAATCTGCTTATACTCTCAGAAGTGCACACACACAGTCTTTATACAATTTTCCGCAAGGGTGCAATTCATATCAAAAGTGAATGAAGGAAGAAATACAATTACTTCAGGCAAAGACTCATTATTTCTTTGAAATACAGTTAAACCAATAACATCTCAGACATTGGTTGGTGGGACTGTTAGAAAACTTTGAGATATCTGAGAGTTTGTGATTACAAGGTTGAGATTTCTAATTACGTTTGATAAGGTTTGGGCCACTTACCTTAACTTCCTCAGGTATTAGACACAGCAATGTTAGATATACCAAAGTTTAGATGACTATTCTGATAATTTCCCTCTCATTGTACAAATTATGACCGTCTATTGTCTAACAGAGTATGAAGGTCATACTTGATTTGAAAATGCTTAATCAGTGAATGTATCATGATGCTGACTCAATCAAGGGCGATCATTTGAATATTTGTATTATGAAATTTGGTTAGGCCAAATATTCATAGGAAATCATATTGAAAGCTGATGCTGTTCATAGTATTTGCTTGTGGAATGATGGGATGATAGGTCATTAATCTAGGTCATTCGGACAAAATTACAACACTTCCAATCCACTAATATTGAAATAATTTGATGATTCATAGGTAGTGCCTTGAAATTCTCTAAGTACACAAATTTTAACACTACCATCGGCTCATGCATTCACCTCTGTCGTTGGCTCGCGTATATCACAGTGATAAGCACGAGAAATAGTGTGTTAGTTTTAATTCATTATAATTAAATGTCTGGGCTAATGATAGTCCATAAAGATAGACATTTACTTAATAGATCTAAAACTATTAGTTTAATTTGAAATAATCCTTGAAATGTTATATTTTTTACGTTATGTCAAAAGTTTTGACGTGAGCCCATTGCAGAGGTGTCTTGGAAAGGAACGAATGACAACTCTGCATAGGAGATTGAAATTTTAATTGGAAACCAACTACCAAGTTTTCAATTAATCCTTATGAAGATTATTAAACTTTATTTATTTAAAACTATTTCTGTCATTCTTTAAATTATTGCAGTGAATTTAGAAGCAGCATATGAAAATGGGCCTGAAGAATTTGCAAAGCGATTCAGTGATCTAGTGGAGGTGTTTGCCAAGGACAATCAGACAAACTGCTTTGTCATGCAGTGTCTCCTGTTAAAGAAGATTGCGGAAACTCAACCAGAGGTACAAAAAATATTCATAAAGTTCAAATGTTCAAAAGTTTTTACAGAACTGGTAATTGTATAATTATAGAAGAATAGAATTTTCATAAAAGAGTTTAAAGTAAAATAAAATTTGTTCCCTGCAATATATTGATCCATGAACTGGGCACCTGGCATTGAAAAAAGACAGAACCTAAAATCATAACATACATATAGAACATTACATGCACACAATTCCTCATAATCTGGTTATTTGTACACCATATTTGATCACTTGTTGGACTGGCCAAGAATGCCAGATTTTTGCCATCCAAAAAATGAGATAATTAGTGCTTATGGTGAACTTTATTTACAATGGTCGTCCATGGAAATACATCATCTCAAGCCACGGTCCGGAGTCCGCATATAGCTCTCTCCTACCCGTGGCTGCTTGATCACAAAAAGTGTCGTAATCTTGAATATTTAAGCCTCTATATTGTGACGTCATGTTCAGCCAACGACAATATTTGTTTCCATCGCAATTGAAATCAACAATTGTAAATGAAATGTTTCGTGTACTGCGATTGGGTATTGAAAGGTCGCATCAAAGTTCATTATCCGACTATGCTTTACTCGCATTGGTCAATATTTTAATGAGCTACGAAATATTCTTTTCTCATTCAAACACAGCCAGAATGGGAGAGGATGGTACATTTTTGGCCGTGGTTTGCGACGATGATGGAAATATGACCCCATCAAAATAAATACATCTACAGTAAAAGGTTTTGTGGGTTGTGACCACACCCTCATTTATTGTCTTTCTCTTTAGGTATTCACTCCCCATACTATGAAGCTGTTCTTTGATGTCCACTTTATTGTCTCTCTCTTTAGGTATTCACTCCCCATACTATGAAGCTGTTCTTTGATGTCCACTTCATGGACTTCACAGCAAACAGTCAGGTGTTGATCTTCATGGACATACTGTCCAAATCACAACCTGCCCTTTTTGGGCCCTTCATCCCTCACCCCCTGCTGAACCCCAAACTGATGTTGGACACTATGGCCAGCTACCAGATGAACATTGTCACTAGGGCTGCTGCTGTCTGTAAGGTGAGTGTTAAAAATTATTATTCTGTGTCGTAAAGGTATCATGGGGTAAAACTCAGGTTAAAACTCACGCTTTTTAAAAGTTTTGTGTTATGAAAGATTTCCATAGATCAGCATTATCTTCCAAAATGATGTGAAAAAAATAATTTTTGTTTTGTATACCTTGAGAAGTTTTCAAATTTTAACCTTTTTTTCTTTAAAAGGACTGCCAGAAGCCAGTTTTTGACTATTTCATAGAGAGACTAAAGAGTTCCACTGACCAGCATGTGTTATATGCTTGTATAATGGGTCTGAGAGAGATGCTGGAGATTTGTGGTCCAGACTTTTTCACAGAGGAAGTCAAGGCAGAAATAGAGAAACAGAAGACAAATGCTCCTGCTAAATATGTCAAAGATGTGGCTCAGGATCTCCAAGATGAACTGGCAGGAAGAAGGTTAGCTTTCCAGTAAAAATTATCTAGTGGAATCATCAGTTAATTTCTTTTTCTAAAGTTGGGGATGGTTGACCATTCATTTTTTGCTCTCAAGACTTAATTCATTACTGTTGGTACAGATTTATAAATTTTGATCTACAGAAAAATACACATTATTACAGTTATTAGTGTTTTTCTTTTGATTTTGTAGGTCACCTTAATCTCTTCAGTGACAGTTTGTAAATTTATATGTAAACATCTTAATGTAGTTTTTGTGTATTCCAACTCTGATGCCTACATTTTGAAATTTCTACAGAACATATTTCATTGTTGGCTTGATGGGAAGGTTTTCCTCACTTGGCAGCCATTCTGAATTTCTTCTGATTAAAATTTACCGGTAACAATCTTTCCCCATATAATCACTCAGGTAACAAAATCAGAAAGTTGACCTTGTTGGAAAAAGAAATTCAGAATGATGGCTAAGTGATTCATATTTTTAAAATTTTATGTTACGGCTTGTTTAGTACTGCATGTGTTATAATATTTCCTAAGATGTAGATGAGATGACCTTTTCAAAACTAAAAACACTGATAAAAAACATTAATTTTGATTGATTGATTATTTTTTTAGTTTGGAAAAAGTATCTAAGGATGTTGACACCCATAAAGAACAGATAGAAAAAGTGGAGATAGGTGTAGCAGGTACAAAGGTTGTCCTTAAGAAAGTCCACAGAGACGTCAAACAACAGGGTAAAGAGATTGATGGGATCAAGACAGACTTAGTGGAGGTTAATCAGAGGGTGGACATTGTTGAAGGTGACCTTGAGGACACGAATCTGAGGGTCGATGAGGTAGATAAGAAGGTAAGTCTGAATTTTCAGCATCAGTGACCGGCTTGTATAAACCTTTGATTATGATTAAAAAATGAACTCCTATCATAGTACTTGCCCTGTGTCAGAAATTAATCTTCATGGTGAATTTTAATATACATGTATAATGAACATTTTTTTCATGGATAAGCATTGAGTCCTCTGGCCACTGTATAGAAGGGGTATATGTACATGTATTTGTGATTTAGATATAATTTTGTGGTAGCATGGCCTCTTTTTTGGGTGAAATTTGTTCCATTTTACAATGCGGTATAGGTCAACTGCCTTGGAAAAAAGCAGTTTGTTTGTGAATGCATTTTACTTGTTTGCATTGTATAAGTGTATTTACAAAGTTTGTCAATATACATACGATTGTAAGAGGACAACAGTAGTAGCAGTGTTGATTGTGGAGTTATACCTGTCATGTTTACAGTGTGGTATCAATAGCTCTGGGGGAGAGTTGGCAGCTAAGAAAGATGTGGCTGAGTTACAGGAGATTTACAAAAACCAAGACATATCTGCTTGCTTTGCTTTGCTACAATTAAATATGGAGGAACAGATTACCTCTGTTAAGAGAGATGTCCAATCCCTTTCAGAGAGACTTGAGAAACTAGAAAATTCTGTTCAAGTTTTAAATGAGAACCTTTCAGTTGCTCCAGTGAATGAAACGAATGTTTTTAGGACAGATGAAGAAATTCAGGGAGACGAGTGACACAGTTTGCCTGTGTAGCCCGCAATAATGCAAAAAATTCTTCTGTTTTTGATTGTTCATGTAAAAGTTTATAGAAGATATTAGACAGTTACAGGCTAAAAACAGTGGTATATAATTTTCAACACTTTTAAAGTGTGATCATGTGAATGTTGAGGATCAACTCTATGGAAAATGTGTGTAAGACTTCAACATTGAATCTGTAAAATAATTTATGAGTGGGAACACTAAATTTCAGACAATGAGTAATGCACCTACTTGGTCACGAGATGTCACAAAATTGTTGAACCCAGAATCTGAGCATGACTGGAGACTCCTGGCAAGTCGCCTTGGTTACAGTCCAGATGACATCAGAGGCTGGGCCACCCAATCAGATCCCTGCATGGCCTTGCTGAGTGAATGGTATGCCACACACAAAACATTTGAGGCATCTAAAGGTGTGCTGAATATCCTGCAGGAGATGAATCGTTTGGATGCTGCCATTATTGTGGAAAATGCCATGAAAGCTGCAGGTCTGATACACATTTTCAAACAAAATTTAATGTAAAATATTCCAAAAAATATCCAATATACTCATCAGTAAATTAGTATGGTCTATCATGTTGTCACACTCAGTAATTTGAACTTTGTGTATATGTTATTTCTTCTTCCAGAGGGGGTTGTTGCAGATGAACCAGTGGATTACCCAGAACCCCCTGAGATCTTTCTTAGTTACCAGTGGGGTCACCAGAATGAGGTCAAACTCATCAGTAGACACCTGGAGATGGCGGGATATAAATGCTGGATGGATGTGGGGCAGATGGGGGGTGGGGATAAGTTGTTTGAGAAGATTGATTCTGGAATTAGGGCGGCCAAAGTTGTCATCTCTTGTGTGACGGAGAAATATGCAAAATCACCCAACTGTAACAGAGAGGTTGGCTTAAATAATGTATAATTATCAAATTTAGAACAAGTAAAAGATTTAAAGCTAATGAAAACATTTACTATCATATGTATTTAGCCATCAGTAATTTAGGGGAAGAAAAAATATAAAACTTATGAGACAATTTACTACTAGTATCATAAGTTTTTAGCTCACCTCTACACACTCAAGATGAGTTTATGCTATACCCATGGCATCAGCGTTAGAGTCGGTGTTCCTGTTTAAGTTTTATGGGCAAGTCCATTCCCAAGTAACTATAAGTCTTTTGTGACCAAACTTGCATTCATGATATATCTAGGGATGGACACTACTACACACACTGCTGTATCTGACCTACATTTTTAGATGAATGACTAGGTTAAAGTTTTTAGAGCAGGTCCATTTCCAAATAACTATAAGCCCTGCGGTGACCAAACTTGCAACATAGAGATGCACATTATCAGAATTGCTTCAGATTCTGAATGTGACCCATATTTCCTCATATCTTATTAATGATGTTTCAGTTACTGGAACAGGTCCATTCCCTAATAACTACAAACCCTATGATTACCAAACTTGTAACCTTGGATGTTGCATGTAAGAATACACAAACAAACAAGCATTCTGAGAGTATTGCATTAGCAATACTAGTCCTCTACCGGCAAGTGTAATATGGTTACTGTTAAAAATTGAAAATGCCATAATTCCGTCAAAAATCAATGAAGTGGGACAAAATCCAAACTTGATCTAAAACTCATCAAGGTAAAGTCACATACCAATAATCAGCTCAATATCTGCAAACTTGTAGAAAAAAATTGCGGAAAACCCTGAAAAATTGAAAAGGTCGTAATTCTGTCAAAAATCAGTGAAGCAGAACGAAATGCAAACTTGATCTGTAACTCATCAGGATACACACACATACCAAAAATCAGCTCAATATCTGCAAGCGTTTAGGAAAAAAGTGCAGAAAACCAAATGGGACAGACAGACAGAGGGACAGCTAGACAGACAGACGGACGGACAGACTCAGAGGAAACCTATAGTCCCCTCTGGTTTCACCAGTAGGGGACTAACAAGCAAAGGATGGTGGGTTTGACCTACATTTTCCAGATGAATGACCATGTTGAATTTTTTGGAATAAGTCCAATCCTATGTAACTACATGTATATACCTTCCGGTGACCAAACTTGCATGGATGATGCATCTAGGGATGCACACTACCAAAACATTAATTTGATGAGAGACTTTTCTTGATTTATTGATAACATTCATTGAGGTGAGCTTTGTAATCTTCCATTACCTGTGTTTTTTATCTGATCAAATTAAATATTCACTGATTGATTCAAATTTCTGAGGTTCAAAATCACATAATATACAAATGTAGTATAAGAAGGAAGATCTTTACTTACTCTTTGAGTTATCTTAGAGAATAAAAATTGGTAAAGTATCATGCAGATAAGAACTGTTATATCTTTGATATAAGCTTTTTCTATTTATATATTTTAAATTTAGGTCAACCTGTCAGTCAATCTTGGTAAACCTATGATCCCACTTCTGTTGGAGAAAATGCCCTGGCCACCAACGGGTTCAATGGGACCAATCTTCAGTGAGTATCTGTTCATCAGATTTTTCCAAAGACCAGGGGAGGAAACCAAGGATGATCGAATCTGGCCAGCTGCCAAGTTTACAGAACTTCTTATGCAGCTCAACTGTTTAAAAGTGATGCCAGATGAGAAAATAGTATCCAAAGGTGAGTCACTCATGTTTATTCTGTTTCATTCTAAGATTAATAGTCCTTTAAGGCTTTTGATTACCTCACCTTAATTATTGATGGGGTATTTTTTGATACCTTATAAAGTATTTTATTGAGCAATGAGATCTTAACTTCATCTGTGAGTTTACAGCTTTGTTTGTTGATTTTACTGCCTATAGTTCATGTTCTTTCACTTGTACATATAGCTTTTCTCCATGTATAAGTTACATGTATAAGTAATCTTTCTTGTGAATATGTTTTCATCAGAGTACAAGAATTGGTGGATCCCAGTGATAGAGAATATTGTGATCCCAAAGAAGACACAGGACAAAGCCAATAAGACATCTGTACCCACTAACAAACCACTGGTACTATCACTTTTCATATGTCAGTATAACTTTTAATGTTTTTCTTCTTCTTTTTTTGGTATCAAACATGAATATAATGCAAGTTGCTAATTTCGGCATTTTTTTTTTTAGTTTTATAACTCGATGAAAATCAAATAATGTTACTAAGTACATGACTGTATAACATTCTCTGCATTTGATAGGGAATATATAGTACTCATATGCACAAGTGTTTGATTTGGTCATTCTTGTTACCAACATGTATGTGTTTTAAATGTCTCCACTCAGGAAAAGATTACGTCCCCCGACATATTCATCTCCTACCAGTGGGGAAAACAGAAGGAGATATCAGCTCTGTTTCAGAGACTGACCAGTCTGGGGTTTACCTGCTGGATGGACATCCATCAAATGGGTGGAGGGGATTCCCTGTATGACAAGATTGACCGTGGGGTCAGAGGTTGTAAGGTTGTCTTGTCTTCAGTTACCACCAAGTATGCTTTGTCTGCCAACTGTAGGAGAGAAGTCAGCCTGGCTGATGCTCTGAGGAAACCTATCATCCCCATGTTGATGGAGAAAATAGACTGGCCCCCAGGTGGACCAATGAGCATGGTTCTTACACAACTATTGTATGTTAACTTCTCAAAGGATGAGTCCATTCAATTATCATGGGAGGGAAAATGTTTTGATGATCTTTTGAAGAAGATCAGAGAGTATATTCCAGAGGGGTTTCAAGAAGAAAGTCAAGGACGTAATGAAACAGAAAAAGTTCAAAATCAGCAGCTTGTCCAGAACCAGGAAGCATCATCGGATGGTCATATGACCAAGACTGTGACCAATGACAAACCACAGGAAGTAAGGACTGAGCCAATCAGCACTGACTCTGCAGTGGAGGATGTCCCAAAAAAGAAATCATCAACATGTATAGTGCTGTAACCAGGCAAATTAACTATTTTTATCAATTAGTGTAATGAAAGGGTTTACTTAGAAAAGATGACTAGTATCATGTGAGTAGGTTTCTGCAGGATGCTTGCAAATTTTTATGTAAAATCTTATATTTGCAGAATTTGTTAAGTTTTATTTATTTATTCATTTATTTTTTAAATATATAGAATTTGTTAACACTGTTTTTATTTTGTTATGAAATTATTTACATGCAGTATCTTTACTCATCCGTCCATATACACATACATGTCCATTTACAGATGTCTGTACTATAGTGTAACAAATTCCTGTCCAATTGTCTGACACTAGTATCTTTACAGCATGGCTGAGTATTTATGAGCCTTGTGTTTATTTGGAGAAGCTAAACTTCAAGTTTACCAAGTTTCGCACTCTACCTGTTAATTACCATATTTATCTTTTTGTGAACAGGTAGTTTCAAGTTTACATTTTGTATTGTCTAAACTGTATTTTGCGTGATAATACTAAAAGTATAATGCGATGCAGAAAATTGCCCATATTTCACATTTCAGTTCACTACATGTACATGTAAATTGTAGGTTTAAATAGGGCTGATGGGAGTTAGTGCCATTACATATGTATTATAATATTAGCATTCTATCATGATTGGGTGTGGAAATTTAACCAAATCTAATCAAATCAAAATGCATTCTTATTACAGTGGAAGTTGATAGATAATTAGAGATATGCATCAACATGTCATATGTAGGTTTAGTGGTATTAGGGAATAACTGCAAATCTTGTTAAAATCAAGCACATTGTTGTTGTTAATTTCAAAATAAATGTTTAGACATTACCTTGAATTAAAGATGTGAAAGAGTCCTTAAAACATCAAGTCCCTTAGATATTGTTTTCATCAAAATACAAGCTTGTTTGTTTCCCAGGAAGCCAACCTATAAATTTTTGTGTGCTTTACAAATAAACCAAGTACTTTTTTGTTACTACATGTACTAGTTATTTTTTCACAAGAATACTTATACTGTTGTGCATGTAAGCCTTCAGGGGCATTTTAGGAATAAGTTTTGTAAAAGTAAATGGAAACAACATTTCATGTCATTTTTGTTTCAGCTTTGTTAAAATTACACTGCATCAAAGTATTATTCTGCAGTTGTTTCTGATGTTTAGAATTTGACCAAAATGTTGGAGTGTGAGATTCTTGGGCATGGAATGGAAACTGACGAATTCTAACAAATAAGAGGTGTTTTTCCCTTGATTTTAGGATAATACAAACTAAATTTCAAAAAAAAAAAAAATTCAAACGGGGGGGGGGGGGGGGGGGGGGGGGGGGCACGCCTGGCGTGCCGGTGCTGGATCCACCTTTGGTAAATGCAAATGCTATAATAAAATGCAGTGTTTTTTCCAATACATCTATGTTTTAATTCTCAGATAATATGTGATTTTGTAACTTTTTTTTGTTTTCATTCTTTTTTTCTACACCGTTACATGTATTGAATAAATATTTAGTTTTTTTAAAGTGTTATTTTACTTATTTTTACAGTATATAGCGTGTTTCTGAAGCAGTCCTTATAAGAGTTTACCTTATAACATATATGACTTTCTGAAAACACACTTCTTTGTGTCAATATTGCAAGTTTACTAATCTAGTTGGGTGAAATTTTTCAGAATTTTGAATTCCTGATTCCGTGTTTAATTTACTCCCTAGGTTGATTTATTAAATGTTTGACTCAGGTTCAATCAGAGTATTGCTTGAGTAACAGCAGATCGTAACTAACTAAGTAAAATCTGCCTATTTCCCACACTTAATATCTAACTGTAAGAGAAGAAAACTGCAGATATTTAACTTAATATGTACAGCTTAGCATAAGACTGACCTATACAGTACCTAGTTTAAGTTCATGTACAGGTGTCAAGGAGTAAAGATTTTGGGTTTGTTATGCCTCCATGATCAAAGATTTGATTCTGGTACCTCATCTGTCTAGCTGTCAGTCTGTACACAAAAACTATAACCTTGCTCCTAACTTTTGAATGGTTGGTGCTAGGGCTTTCAAATTTCATATGTGTATTCCTTATGACAAGATTCTTTCTTTTTGATTTCTTGACATTGGCGTTTGACCTTCTTTTGAAAAACTTTAACAGAACTTTAACCTTGGTCATAACTTTTGATCTACTTTTGAAAAATTTAACCTTCAGGCCATAACTTTTGAATAGTTGGTGCTAGTGCTTTCATATTTAACATCCATATTCCTTGTGACAATCCTTTTTACCTCTCTTGAGTCGAAGGCTTAAGTGAGCTTTTCTGATCGAAATTGGTCCGTTATCTGTCGTTTTCATCCTTGTAAACTTTTCACATTTTCATCTTCTTCTCCAGAACCACTTGGCCAATTTCAACCAAACTTGGCACAAATCCTTGGTGAAGGAGATTCAAGTTTATTCATATGAAGGGCAACGGCCCTCTTCCAAGAGGAAATTGAGACATAGTGAAAATTGAGTGGGGTAATTTAAACTTCTTCTCAAGAACCACTGGGCCAGAAAAGATGAAACTTGTGTGAAATCTTTCTGGGATAGTGTAGATTTAAGTTTGTCTAAATCATGACCCATGGGGATAGGGTGTGGCCATTTTGGGTGATCAAAGTTTTACAAAGGAATACTTAGCTACTGGACACGCCGACATGTAGCAGTCATTATACTCTCTGCATTCTATCTTTGAATATTTTCATCCATGCACGGATCTGGAGAGGTGGGGTGAGGGGGGAACCCCCCCCCCTTGGAATTTGCAGAGTATTTAAAAGTATATACTGAAGCAAATAAAAAATGACTTTGGCTTTGGACCCCCCCCCCCCCCCCCCCCCGTAGAAAACATGGACCCCACCATCACCACCACGAAGTAGGTGTTTTTCATGTTTGGGAAATGGATTTTACTTCTTTTTTTTTCTTGTCAAGAAATTTTCTGAGTTTAATATATTTGGGAAGGGAATTTATTTTTTTTTTTTTTTGCTTGTCAAGATATTTTTGGGTTAGAATTTTTTTTTTGACTGGGATGCCCCCACCCCCCCCCCCCCCACCCCCCACCCCCAGGAAAAAAATTCCTGGATCTGTGCCTGTCATCTTTTTTTTATACACCAAGACATTAGTCAATTGAAGTTATTAGCTAAGACAACACAAACTTTTTTTGTTGTTTTGTCACATTTTCTATGGAATTCTTTGAATTATCAGCTTTATTTGGGCAATCTGATAAAGAGAAAGCATCTGAAACCATTTTTCAAATCATTATCTATTTCTAAAAATCAACACTAAATTCCTGAATTAAGTCGATCCATTTGAAAAGACATCTTTGTCTTCAAAATAGATGAAGAAATTTTGAAAATGCAGAAATGAAATAATTATATTTGAAAACTACTCACATTATGGACCTAGTATATGCATGCAAGTCATTACATGTCTAGTACTCTACTGAGAGTACAAAAGCTGGGAGAGCACTAATCAGGATTAATGTATATGCAGGGTTATTTTTCCTTCTGGTTATTTTCACACTTGTAAACAATTTTGCCCCATTTCAAATTTGCCCAAATACAGTTGAGTTAAAGAGATAAAACTGTCTTCTTCACATTAATTTGACCTGTTTTAAATTCACCCACTTAATGCAACAAGGGTGAAAGGGGCTAAAATAAAATGGGGGTGAAAAATTTCCCTGTATATAGTGAATCCTCATTATCTTGATAAAGTAATAAGGAACACAGTAGAGTTGTAATGAAAAGCAGGGACCTATATACTAACAGTATGTCTGTGCCCCCCACTTAATGTAGAACAAAATCACAGCTATGTTGAAATTATAGTAAACCTCATTTTATGGCAAATTTATTTTATTTCCAGCAACAACTGAGTAAGCATTTGTCTTGAAGTAATAGTAATGTAATATACTTTATGCGTGCAGCCCTCCGATAATTATATGTTAATTATATATATACATTATATAGAGAGAGATAGATAGATAGATAGAAAACATAGCTACTATATCATTGTGCCCCCTCAATAATAACGTCTTATGACCTTTTTTTTTTCTTTTGTCAAGGAATTTTGGTAAAATATTACACATTTTAGATCTTTCTTGGATTTGAGCCCCTCCCCCCACTTTTAAGTTTGTGACTACGCCTCTGCAGTATATGCTTATATACCCATTGCGTTACTTTCAATGTGTAGTCATTAGCTCAGCTGTCTATGGGATGGAAGCAATGGGGAAAAAAAATTGGTTCAGCTGGGGGTCGAACCCAGGACCTTTCGCGTGTGAGGCGAACGTGATAACCACTACACTACTGAACCCGTTGTAAGATACCGTGCAATAACACCAACTATACAATAATTCATTGAACAATTTTTTTTCCAATACTGAAATTAGTTTACATATAGCATACCATTCCTATAACAACTTTATTATGAAAATACTTAAATAACAGAATCGAAACTAAGTCGTCACACCTTGCGAAATTTTCATTAGCATATCATTACCCAGATTGCATTGCGTGGAATAACTCGTCAGCAGCCATATTTGTTGATTATCGTCTGAGGTGGTTGTGATAAAGAAAAAATGTAAACAATGAAGACCAAAACGGTAAAACAAACGTAATTTTGTGTTCTGAATGAATTGAATTTATTTGTGCAAGTTTTTATAAACATTCAAGCATGTTTTCCTTCGCGGTTCCGTGATATCTGCACGTCTTCGCTTGGAAAAGTGGGAAAGAAGTTGGACAACAATTGCTTGCATAAAGGTTCGTAATTTACCTTCAAAAGGGGTTATTTTCCACCAGATTTTGGACTATATTTGTAAAGTGTTTATTTTTCTGTTTTTTGCATTTTAGGAACACTCATGACGTGAGCATGACACGTGATTAGAAAGGAATTTATGTTCGATTTTACCGCAGTGCAATCCGTACGCGAAGCCATGACACGGACAATGCAACATTCAGTATGAGCAAGGTTTGTGACAACAATTTATTATTTTCTTTATCGAGGATGTTTATTTCCATTAATTTTACAGGAAAAGTTAAGAAAATGGCAGTACATGTTCCAGAAAGTGAGTTTTGCTACGTTGTGCACACTGGACGCCATCTTGAAAAATTGAGAATTCATGAAAGGCTGGTGTGTTTTAACCTTGGTTTGGAAATATTGCATGTTTTTATTCACATATAATGATGTATATCCTTTATTTTAGTGTATCAAGGTTGTTTATTCACAAATTAAGCATTATTTTTAAGACTGTCACGAAAAACATGTTAAAAAATACCTGCATTTTGGAAGGGTTTGTTGATAAATTTATAGTCAAATTTACCATTTTTGAATGCAAATTTGCAAAATTGGCACATAATAACTGTTGAACATGTCTATTTTGTCTTGATTTATGGTCTTTGGAATTATGACTTTGATTTGACCTTCAATAGAAATGAATTTAAGTGGGACCCATTTTAGAAAAATTACCATGCATGTGGACTTAGATTTTTTCAGAGAAATGGTAAAATTATTGCTATCAGCACATGTAATGCCTTCACTGTTATTTAAAGAAACTCATTATCATAGTGAATCTAATTCAAAAATCATTGCAATCTTGTGTATATATTTGCTCTATTTAGATTACTTTTGTAGTAATTATGCTCATTTTTGGGTATTGTTAACCCTGATGCTGTAAGCAACATGCACAGTTGTGAAAACCATACTTTTTCTGGTTTAGTTATCTTTGGAAAGGGTAACTGGGATTAAACAGGATTGATACAATATGAAAATATTAATAGATATGTGTAGAAGTGGTAAAAGGAATGATTTTTCAATAATATTCAAGGTTTATCTTAACTGTTATTAAAAGAGCTTAGCTGAGGCAGCATTGTGACTTGATGATGCAGCTTATATCTATGAATGTTTTTCTTGATATCAGATGCAAATGATTTTTTTGGTAAAAGAGCATGCATTTAGCAATCAAGATGATGGTTTTTGTTAATTGTCTCGTTCTACTCGTTCCTGACAGATCTCGAAATGTAGTGATAGCGACAATGTGATGACTTCTGTACTGATAAAAATGCATTGATTCCGAGATGAAAAATCATTTTGATGAGATTAATACTATTTTGAGGTTACTGTGATTTATTAAAGGCATCCTCAAGTCAAGGGAAGAAACTGTGCGTTTACATTTTATATGTATGGTACTTGCATTTCATACAATTATAAATTTGTGCATCTGTTAATTAAAACTCTTGAAAGTACCAAACTTCAACGAACTAAATTCTAAAAGATTATGTTTAAATTGAAAATGCAAACAATTTTTCTCTCCTTTTTTATACTCTAATCTTTATAATCTAATCTGATCTTTAAAAACACAATTTTAATAAAGCTGAATGTTTAAAATCATTTTCTGTGATCTTCATTAGATTTGAAAATGGTCAAATATATTTTGAATGAAATTTAAGTTCAGAAAAAAATATAGACGTCATTAAAAAAAAATTTCCTATATAAGAATATTTCTTAAAATTTTTATGTGAAATAATTTAATTCTATATACCCATTCATTTGAAATCAAATGGTTAAATTAATACAAAGTAAGACATCTTTCCAAAAAAATATCTGTTAGTAATACAGTTTCTATTTATTGAATTTATGTTGCTTTATTCAAAAAAGGGAGGTAAATGTTACTTTTTTTAAAATTCCTTCACTTCATCTTTTACTTTCATTGAGTGGAATGGAGACATAAAACGATATGTGTGCAGAGGCATGATTTTGTAAAGAAAAATAAGCATGATAAGTAGGTGACCAAATTCACTGTAATGTCTCCTTTATCTTTGAAGGTAAGGGCAATTTTTGTGGAACTTGAAATTGAAAATCTCAGTTTATTCTCTTCAGTAAATTTTAAATCACATATTTGTAATGATAATAAATTACTTCTCTTCATTGCAAAATGATGTTTCTAAATAATTGAAGATAGAGGAATATTTATTATAAAGAAAAATAGTCTAGTGCTTAATGTAAAAAGATTTGCGTGTGCTTGCATTCAAGTAACAATTTGGGAAGTGAACATCAAGTTCTTACTGAAAAGCAAGAATAATCTGTAAACATGATACATGGACTTCAGGAATTTTTCTTGATAAGATGAGGGAAAAATTACTAAGCATTCTTGATAACCAAATAAATATTTTTTATGATTTAATTGCTAGTGTCCTTTTGGGGTTTTAGACACCCCATTAGATCAGTGAAGGGGTAGGTAAAACATTTAGAATATTAGTTGATACATGAAGAAAAAGATGATGCACTTTTGAGATTGAAGTTAACTGCAGCTGTATGTCATGAAAGGGAAAGGCTCACCATTAACATGATTTAATTCCTTGTTTCTGTTTATTCTCCAATACAAATTATATTTGTGTATTTTTACATATAACTGGAAATCATTGATAAAAAAAAAATCCCTGGAAATACTCAGTAGGACATAAAAGATTGGTCTTATTGTTCTTCATACATATATTGGAACCTCTAGTATATCTTAAGAAAGATTTGTTTCTTACATTAATATTTTATGCATTTTTTTTTCTCGGTTGAAATTTTCTTTTTTCTCTCTCTCTCAACAAAATAATGCCGTTATTGTACGCTATGTGATTTATTGTACATTTATATGTAACACTGTATGATTCCTCATACAAGAGGAGATCCTTTTCAGCAATGGTGTAAACAAGTTAGATATAGTTTTATGAAGCAGCTGATTGGAAATGTGAATCATGTTTTATACTTGAAAAATGCAGAATTGAATTCTAATGCTTTTCAATAAGCGTGCAAATTTGTTATAGTAGGGTATATATTAAATCGTACTGTTCTGGGAGAAAGTTATTTTCTAAGCATTGCAATGATGTGCTAAAGAAATAATTGTGGTGATTTTCATCAAACAGACATATTCTGATCAAGAGGAGGTAACTGCAGAAGAACAAAATGGATGCTATGTACAAAATGGCTGATAGGTGTTTTGAGACTAGGCCTTTTGACTTGGATTATTTGAAAGTAGTTGGTTTGTGCTGTCAGTTTACTAACATTTGGAAGTTGCTTTGTTTGTTTTAGTGTTTTTAATTGCAAATAAGTAGTTTGATACAAGTTTTTACGTAAAATTTGAGGTGAAATCTGTGCTGAATGACTTCAATAAAGGATGGAACATCGTTAGATAAGGTGGGGGTTGCAGAAACATATTAATAAGTAAAAAATATTACTGCATTTACTGAAAAATGTTTGTTTTTGTGTTTTGTTGAAAAGAAATTTACTCTGGTATGCTTCTTTTTCCCATTTTAGTAGTGGTTGATTAAACTTGATGTTTTTTTATACTTTTTACCACCACATACTGTAGCCATTACACAAACACACAATGAACACATACAAGATTCAATGCATTATTTGAACCATTATACGACTATGAACCACATTCAAATTCTATCAAGTGATTTGCTACAATATATATTTGTATTTTGAAGTAGTAGTATGAATTTTTTAAGAGGGCCCATTTTCAGAAATTGTTCTTGATTAGTGGTACCCAGTGCAATTAGATGTGGAAAGTACTATTTCAACATTATTTAATGAGACATTTGTCTTCATTTTTTTTTCATTTATCATGTTAATAAGGTGCACAACAATACTTTTTTCGGTCAAAATCTCCAAAAGTGAGCTGTGCACACTTTACAAGAGTGGATACTAAACATGATAAAGTAATGTTTTTCTATTTAATGGAAATTTTTTCATCTGTCTTATCAATAAATTGCATTAAATTTATGGAAAATATTTGAACTTTTTGCAGTGTATTATTTCTCTGTAATTTGCAGCTTGTAGAAAGTCAAATTCTTAAATGTCTTCATAGATAGATGCATCATGTACATTTACATGTAATCACAAATGAAGCATTCTAAAATATTAAAAATGTGATAAATAAAAAATAAGAATAATTAAAATGAATTATGACTATATGAAAAATGGCATTAGGAATTTTTGTTGATTTTGAATTTTGTATCATGACAATTTGAAACACTTTTCAATTTTAAAATTTTATAAACTGGTTCATGCAGATGCTGCATATCCTTACTTCTGCATTTCATTGAATTAATTAGAAGTAACATTTGTTTTCTAAATTTTTATCTGTTGTGGAAGAGGGAGACCACCTTTACACAAAATGGATGACAAAATCAAAATGGCTGACCAGTATATCAGAGCTTAGGACATGTCGGATGATTAAAGAGTTATAAATTCTGGAGGTTTCTTGATGGTTTATTGTATACTTTTTATGATTTATTTTATCATATATAGATCATTGGTTTAATGGAGGGATTTTAAAATTTATGACTTGGGCCAGTTTTCTAAAAATTGCACTTAGCTGGGGGGGGGGGGGGGGGGGTATGCCCATGGAGCATAGTAGCATTAAAGAATATTCCTAAGATTTGCTATAAATGATTTTAATGTTCTTAATTCATTTATATTTTTATTATATGTATACCAAAAGACCCAGAGTTTTGTGTTTAAACTTCAACAAAGTGACAGTTAGTCCCACATTTAGAAATGATAAACTGTTCTACGTGGTGTCCACAACAATAAATGAGTTTATAGAGGAACCATTATACATCTCTGAACCACTCTAAAATTTATTTCTAAGATTTTCCTGATATTTATTCTTGTCATTGAAAGCAGATTTTCAATATTTTGAAGAGGGCCCATTTTTGAGAAGGGGGAAAGGGAGGGATATATGTAATAAAACATTTTAATATTTATTTGTAATAATTTATATATTTGCAGATAAAATTTCTCTTTGTTCTTTGATATTTTACTTGGTGTGTGTTTTTATACATGAACTGAAATTTTTAAATAGAGCATCTCTTATAGTTCATCATATCCAGTCATATTTCACTTTCAATAAAAGTATTTTTGTATTAAAAGGAATTCAATATTATACATCTCTGGACCATGCTGATATTTATTTGTATGCTTTATTAATGAACATACTTGTGATTAATATCAAAATTTTGAATTTTTGAAGAGGGCCCATTTTCAGAAAATTGGATTAAAATTTTGACATCACTATCCAGTGAACATGCATAAGAGGGAAGCTTGGACTTGAGCTCCTTGTTATCCCAAAAATGTGATGAGTCAAGTTTGATATTTGTAATAGGAATATAGATGGTTGATTGCAACTTTTAATTGAATTGTGGACAAATTTTCAAAAAATAATCTGTTTTTTTTTTTCTGTTCCAGGCTTCTGTTGAAGACCCTGCTGACTTTGATAGTCCTCTGTTTGGTCCATTAAGTAATGATAAGAGTCCTAAATCAGCTTCATCTAATAAAGACAAAAAGGATTCCATCAAAAAGGAGGCAGACAATAATGTCAGTGGATCAGGTTCAGACTCGGGCAATTCTAGGTGGGTAATGTAGTCAATTATAACTCTATAAATGAGCTGAGAGATAAGTTTTGCAGTTAACATTCAACCATCAAGTAACCACTTTAAGAGGTATTGACAACAACATGGGAAGTACATTTGTTATTTGGAAATTATACACTGATACCAGAATGTTTCCCCTCACCTACTACTTTCATCAGGTACCATATTAATTTTACAAGTACATTTTTTGCTACCCTCAGCTGTTTTTCCACCTACCCATATTTTGCACTAGCTTATAATTCCAACACATTACATGCTGTCTTACTCTAATTCGTTGCTTACATGTGCTTTAAATATGCACCTTCAGATTACGAGCTGGAAATCACTTTTCAAAATTACCCATTTAAGACATATTAACATATAGTTAGTAGTTAAGGAAGTGACATAATACAAATCTTTTTTATACATCAAAAGTTACCTCGTTATATTTTAGTAGTGGTTCAAGTTCAGATGACAGTGACTCTGATTCAGGGTCAAGGTCGGGGTCAAACTCCGACACTTCATCATCAGAATCTGATGACTCCAAGTCTGAAGTGAAGGAGCAGAATAAAACAGTGTCCAGAGTAGAAGATACAGACTCTCAAGACACACAGAGTACCACACAGTCAGCAAAAAGAGGACGACCACGCAAGACCAGCATCAATGATATCAAACAGGTGTGTTCTTTATATGTAAAGGCTGTGTATATTCTGTTTTAATATTTTAAATTTATGAAAAAATTCTTGAAGCTGTTAACACTATCTCTTGTAGATATATTATTTCTTTAATGCAGGATGTGCAATTAAAAATTTCAAGCACTAGCTCATGTGTTAGTGACATTAAAAAAAAAATCATTAGGCCAAAAGTAATAAAGGTACATTTTTACTTGTCAACTCCTTCTGGTTTCCAATTTCTTTAAGACTTACCTCATTTTTATCAGCAGAGGCCATTATTCTTAATAATGTAAAATATGACATGAATGGGGGAAAAATAAATAAATTGTGAGATTTAATTCCCTTAAAAACACCTGGGTCTGTAGTTCTTTTTTTTTAAGTTCAGTTCTCATGAAGAGAAATGAATATTTGTATTAATCAATAATCATTGAAAATAAAAAGAAATTTAAATTAAGTATTTCACAATCCATTTTTAAAATGTAGTATACATTGTCCTTTTCCTGGACATCAGATGATAGCTAATCCAAAAACATCTTCTTTTTTTTAAAGAAAAAAAATTAAATCAATAAATGCACTAAAAAAATTTTTTTGTAATGCACAGAACACCTTTGAGCAGATTGAGTGATAGGAAATAATTAATTGGGATATCTAGATGTAGTTACCATAAACAGAGGAATGGAGAATTTCAAATTAGGAAAAAAAAAAGATTGCTTTTAGAAAGAAAAAAATCATGTAGTACTGCAAAAAATGTTTGATAATGGCAATTTACGAACAGTAGGACCATGCTGCTCAGAATGTTTTCATAGGTTGAGAATTTGATAGCAGACAATTGGCGAAATTATATGCAGTACTTTTCATGCACTGCAGGAGTAGTTTTGATTTTTCACTAGCCCAAGGGCTACTCCTATGCAGATCACTAGTGTTGGTAGTGTTTGGCAATCCTAATTGCACTCCCCTGCTTATGTTTATATAAATATGTTGTTTATATGATTTGGAAATTTCTTTCATTGTCAGATCTTGCGTGAAATGTCAGATGACCCTGACTTGCTGGGTCTTAGAAGGTCAGGGCGTGCCAAAAAAGAACCTGTCCGATACAATGCCATGGTAAGCAAAGTGATTATTTATTTATTTAAACATTTAAGGAGATGAAATATGGTCAGGGTAAGGTTGTATTTCAGGGTGATTATAAGTCGTACATTTTCTTCTTAATTTCAGGGTGAGAGTGATGAGGATGACAGACCCAGGAAAAAGAAAGGCAAAAGAAAGGGGTAAGGCTGTTTTATAAAATGATATTCATTGATTCATGTATAGCTTTGTGCCAGAAGTATACAGACAAAATGACTTGGGTCAGTGTTAAAATGAAAGTAGAGATTATATTTGGGTATTGAATTTTAGAAATATACAGTATTTACTTTGAAGATTATTCTAGATGGTAGTGTTTTGTAACTCATTTGAATATTGTTCTGGTTTTTCCAGATGTCACATAGCTTTCAAGTTATTAATGTTATGCTTGTTGGAAATTTAGCCTTTATGTTATTTGTTTTTTATTGAAGCCACATAAGTTTACTATAAACTAATTCAAAAATAAATACAGTTGGTAAATACATGTATGTTAATAAATTTGAATTCAATTTTTTTTATTAAATAGGCCTTGCATTTGACCTGTAAACTTTTGGCATTTTGCAGAACATTATTTTTCACCAGTATTATATACATGTACATGTATGTGTATTTATTATATTATTATTAAGCATGACCAAAATGCATGATATTTTTTCTTCAAGTAGAATTTTATTCAAGCTTGTTAGTTTAATTTTGAAGCACATTTATACAAAGTAGAATAATGCTTAAATATTATAAAACCTTGATTCATATCTTAAAAATAGATTAAATTTTAACTTTTAAAAAAAATTGCATTTTTTTTTATAATGCTTATTTAGTATCTCAAATTAACAACATTAATTAGTCAGTAGATTAGATAATTATTCTGAGAACTGTGATCTGTTTTATGTTTTGACTCAATTAGATATTGCATCTCGCATGTTATGCCCGTCTTTACGATCAGTGACTCGTGGGTGTTGTGTGTTGAGTTTACCCTGATTAGTCTTTGTGTACACTTTTTTCAGTTCTGAGGAATGGAAAGGTTCTGATAGTGGCAGTGATGAGAGTAGTGAAGATTACAAGCCTTCTACAAGGGCCTTGTCCAGGTACCACATGATCAGTCATATGACTGACTGGCAAGGCCAGAAGTTACATGCATTTAAAACTTTCTTAGAAAATGAGAGGGAATATTGGGTATCAAAGTGTTGGTTTAAATAGAAGCCAAACCTTGTATAGTTCATTTCACGATATTTGAGAATTTTTTTCTTATGATGATAGCAGAAAGACAATGGTTAATTATTACTGAGTTTCCACTAATCTAATAGATGTATTAATTTTATTTTTACACATTAATGTGCAGATTGTGGCAATGTGATGTTGTGCTATTTCTATCTAATCTTTTAATTCAAACTTCCTTAGCAATTAAAGTGTATAGACTAACATATTTTAAGTATCCTGTCTCTTGTGTTACATTTTATCTTGTATTAGAAATCTCTTTCACAATGAAATAAAAGAATTTATATTTTATCAACAAGTTGGAATTAAATTTTTCTTGAATCCTGTCAACAAATGCGTGGATAAGTACAAGTAATAAAGAAATAATCAGTCATGTATTTTGGCATCAAATACCAATATGAAATGTAATCGGTTAATTTTATATAAAACTGAGATTTTCTGTTTAGGTCTGGAAATAGGCGTGGTGTAAGGTCAGTCCCGCCGAGACGAGGGCGTTCAGCGACTGGTAATCTAAGTGATTCAGATGAGTCGGAAAGTGATGACAATGATGTTGTTTCATACAGATCCTCAACAAAGAAAGTCAGGTAATTGTGTGATTTATGCAGATTTTTTTGTACCGATGAATTATCTTCATTTTCATTCACATTGATTACTCTGTGGCTGTTATGTTTTTCTATTTATTTGATCTGTATTACCTGGATTTGTTTGTTGTAGGCGTGATTACATCATGAGAAGAAAAGGAAGTAAAAGTAAAGTCAGGTAAATCCAAAAAGAAAAACCTCTATGACAGGAGTAGGATGAGTAAACTTCTTGTCAGAACATAACTTTGGAACTAAGAAATTTTACAAGCTCATGTCTGGTAGAAAGCTTGTGACCAGCAGTGTTTCTCAACCATGCTAAGTCATTTGGACTAGGTCACAAGTGTTAAATATAGTTTTATAGCCACAGCTTTTGAAATGGAGGAACATTAGAAGGTTATATTTTAAACAAAGATTGTTAGTGACTGAACTGTCCTGATCATTATCAGGGGGGTAATTTGGACAAGGTCAGAGCTTTCTGTAGTGTAAAAATTCTTGCCTTGGCCTGAGCTTTGAAACAGAGAAACATTAAAAGCTTAATATAAGGAAAAAGGTTGCTTGTAACAAGTGAGTTTGTAACAATGGGTTTGAATAATAAAATTTTTGTCCATAACATAATTTTGTAATGGAATAACTTTAGTAGATTGTACTTGGCCTAAGTGTTGATTATGATCATAGGATGTGTTACAACTCGAACAAAGAGACTGAGTACAGAAGTGTCAAATCCTGATGGTTTCTGAAAAGTAAAATTCCAAAAGTCAATAAGTCGTATTGGAGGAGAATCAGGAGATTATATGACACAAAGTTGCTTGTGACCCAGAGGTCTACTCATAAATCATTGCCATGGTTGGATAAGTACAGGGTCATATAGCTCAAAGAGTTGGTGAAAGAGCCTAAAAATTCACCAAACATTGAGTCCTGTTAATTGTCAAATAATTTCAAAATCCACAGGACATCCTTAAAATCTTCAGGACAAATCAATTAAATTATTTAAAATGAAAGAAAGGTAGTTAGGATACACACTTTACATGTAAAAACATATATAAGCCACTTAGTTTCAAATTGATAAAATATGAAAAATTTTAAGTAGGTAGGTAAAAATTATTAAAAACAAATATTTGCTATATGGATATATATATATATATTTTTGGCAAGGTGTCGAAGTTACTTCGTGAGCTAATTTAAGTTGCTTAGTTTAGTTTTAGTTGCTCTACTGGGTATTAGTTTTAGATCCATTTATATATAGCTATTGTGTTTTGTATGGCATGAGGGGGGTGAGGTAAAACCTGTTCTGTATATGTGTGTTTGTGTTATATAAGGAAGACTTGTAAATTTGAGTATTACTGTTAGTCTGATGTGTTTCTAGTTATAAAGAAGATTCGGATGACCAGACAGATTCGGATGACCTTATTGAGGTCACTCAGGATCAACAGGACGGGGAGGAAGAGGAAGATAACAAGGAGATTATAGAAAAAGTACTGGATGATCGGATTGGGAGGTCCACAGGTATGGAAACAATTCTCAGTGAATTTCTATTTATTTATGTGTTATTGTACTTGTAGATTTTTACTTTATTTGGAAATTAAAAGTTTAAAAACTTAATTATAATTTTTAAGTGTTCTAATTCATTGTTGTTCTTATAGCTAGGTATGTCGATGAATATTCAAGTACTCAAATATTTTTCATACTGTCAGCATATGACTCTCACATGAGCCAAAGGCTGAAGTGAGCTTTTATATTCAAAATTTGTCATCTGTTGTGGCCAATGTTGTAAACTTTTCACATTTTCGTGTTCTCCAGAACAATTAGGCCAATATTTCAGCATAACTCCTTGGGTGAAAGGAATTCAAGTTTGTTCAAATGAAGGACAATGTCTTCTTTCAAGGGGAGTGAAAATCTAATGGCATTTAAAAATCATCTCAAGAACCAATGGGCCTGAAAAGATGAAATTTGTACGAAAGTTTTATTACATAGTGTAGATTTAGGTTTGCACAAATCATGACCCCAGGGGGTTGGATGGGGCCAGAGTGGGCAATCAGAGTTTTACCTTATAATATATAGGAAAGAATCTTTAAAAATCTTCATCTCAAGAACAGCAAAGCCATGATTAGTCATATTTTTATGAAAGCATCCCAAGGTAATGTAGATTCAGGTTTGTTCAGATCAGGAAGGGTGAGACCACAATAGGAGATCAAAGTTTTACATAGGAATATATATATATATATATAGGAAAAAATCTTTCTAAATCTTCTCAAGAACAGCATTGGTATCATTAGTCAAAATAAAATGGAAGCATCCTTAGGTAATGTTGATTCAAGATTGTTCAAATCATGAGCCATGGGAGAAGGATGTGATGGCAATAAGAAATCAAAATTTTACATAGTAATATCAGGGTTGGGGTAATTGAAATAAGGAATTGTAATTTACTGTATTTAAATACATTTTTTCAAAGTAATTGAAAGTATTTGTAATTGAGTTTGTTTTCAATTACAAGTAATTGAATGTATTTAAATACATTCCAAAAATGTCATGTAATTTTCAATTACATTTCAATTACAGTTCAAATACTTCATTTTTCAAGTTACATATTAAAAAAGGTGTTTTATCATAATGCATACCAGTACTGGTTGGCATGAGTTTGTGTTTATTCAATAACTAAATGCCTTATAATGTTTATACAGCATAAATACTCTCTCCAGGGCAATAAGAAAGGCCAAATTTAATTATGCTGCTTCAAAATATTCATGTAGATGTTCTTCAAAATTTTTGGAAATAAAACTAAAGTAATTGACATGTATTTAATTACATTCTTCAAAGTAATTGAGAGTAATTAATTACATTTGTTAAAATCAATGTAATTGTTATTGCAAGTAATAGACAAAATTATCAATATATTTGAAAGTCTTTAATTACATTTCAAAGTAATTGACCCCAACCCTGAGTAATATATAGTAATAATCTTAAAATCCTCAGAAATAACAAAGTCAGTTAAAGTAAATATTCAAGATATATTCATCAAACTTCATATACTGATACAAATTTTCATGTTGCGTTACTAATGAACCCTGGGCAGAGCATTCATGTCCTATGGACATATTTCTAGTAGGTACCGGTACATGTAGTACACATATTTAGAAGCTTGATGAAAATTGGAGAACAATTTGTTGATAAGTCGCTTCTTTTCAGCAACTGGAAGCAAAACAACCATATACAATGTCCAGGACAATGGAGACCCAAATGAAGGTGTAAACCCTGCCACAGAGGAAACAGAAAAACAGTTTCTGATCAAGTGGAAAAACTGGGCTCATATACACAACACATGGGAGTCTTACAAAACTCTCAAAGAACAAAAGGTACATGGACTCAAGAAGTTGGACAACTATGTCAAAAAGCAAGAGGAAATCAAGGAATGGTGTGTATTTTTTTTTAATTAGTGGGAATTAAAATGAACATGCAAGTGTGTATGAACTTGTGCAATATATCATCTTAAACAAATGTTTAAATAAATATCAATTGCTCTATAAATGAAGACTATATTCTTTTTGCCTTAGGAAAGAACAAGCATCACCAGAAGATATTGACTATTTTGAATGTCAACAGGAAATGGTTCAGGAACTGTATCAACAACACATGCATGTGGAGAGGATTATTGGTAATGCATTCTATCATTAGTCCTGTGTTATTTGAACAACTTCAGACATGATCTTAGTAAAAACTGAATGCTCTTGCTGAGCATTTTTGAAATATTTTAGCTCTGTTGGTAAGAAACCAGAAGAGTTTATACATAAGTAAGGTGTCTGTCTCTGTTCGCCCGTCTGTATGTAAACAATTGTTCAAAACTTTACTCCTCCTACAGTTTTATACAAAGTGAACAGAAAATTGTGGGCCCCAAAATATCAATATGGGATAGTAAAACTTGTGAAGTTGGAGGCCCACATGGCCCGTAAGGTTTAAAATGTTATTTGCAATCCTTTAATTTCTGTGAAATTCTTTCAAAATGCTAATTCTCCTATAAATTAGGTTTAATTTCATTGAAGACTTGGTACACAAGTAAACTTCACTAAGATACATAGTTCTGTTTATTATACCCCCCCGCAAACGAAGTTTAGGGGGGGGTATATTGGAATCAGCATGCCTGTCTGTCTGTAGACAAGATTTGTCCGGATCATATCTGGAAACTGTTGCAAGGATTTGTCTGAAAATTTGTACACTTATTATTTGCCATATGAAGGTGTGCACCTGATATTTTCATCATGATTGGATAATTTTTAGCTCAAGTGAGCTGAAAGCTCAAGTGAGCTTTTCTGATCACCCGTTGTCCGTCTTCCGTCCGTCCGCCTGTAAACTTTTCACATTTTCAACTTCTTCTCAAGAACCACAGGTCCAATTTTAACCAAACTTGGTACAAAGCATCCTTGGGTGAAGGGGAGTTTAATTTGTTAAAAGGAAGGGTCAAGTCCCCTTCAAAAGGGAGATAATCAAGAAAAGACAAAAATTGGGTGGGGTTGTTGAGGAATTTTCTTCTCAAAAACCACAGGGCCAGAAAGGCTGAAACTTATGTGGAAGCATCCTGGGGTAGTGTAGATTTTAAATTGTTCAAATCATGACCCCCGGGGGTAGGGCTGGGCCACAATAGGGAATCCAAGTTTTAAATCGAAAATATGTAGTAAAAATCTTTAAAACTCTTCTCAAGAACCACAGGGCCAGAAAAGATTAAACTTACGTGGAATCATCCTGGGGTAGTGTAGATTCTAAATTGTTCAAATCTTGACCCCCGGGGGGTAGGGCGGGGCCACAATAGGGAATCAAAGTTCTACATTGAAATATGTAGTAAAAATCTTTAATAATCTTCTTCTCAAGAACCACTAGGCCAGAAAGGCTGAAACTTACGTGGAATCATCCTGGGGTAGTGTAGATTCTAAATTATACAAATCATGACCCCCGGGGATAGGGCGGGGCCACAATAGGGAATCCAAATTTTACATTGAAATATGTAGTAAAAATCTTAAAAAATCTTCTCAAGAGCCACTAGGCCAGAAAAGCTAAGACTTATGTAGAAGCATCCTGGGGTAGTGTAGATTCTAAATTGTTCAAATCATGACCCCGGGGGAAGGGCAAGGCCACAATAGGGAATCCAAGTTTTACATTGAAATATACAGAAAAAAATCTTTAAGAATCTTCTCAAGAACGACATTTTTTGGTAATTTTTCTGCATTTTACAGGTTTTTTTTTTTTTTTCACTTTTATTGACTTAGTCATTTTGGGTTCATGTCTAAGGTTTGAGACATAGAATCTAGAACATCTGTACAAAAATGTGAACTACAGCTTAAAACTACTCATTAGAACTAAAATAAAAATCGCAACATATTAAAAACAGTTTTTACATTACACAGCAGATAGTGTAAATCCATTTGTCCCTTGGGAGTAATGAGTGGACATGCATCCAGTTAAAGATTAATTATTGAGTTCAGTGTGGGAAGCTGTTAGGGCATCTCTGATCAAGCAGGTCTTATCTATATCTCCAGGGAATTGGGCAGAAAGAAAGAAAGATCTCTGTAGTCTAAGTCTCTTAATTGTAATTTATGTCTGTAAAAATACATAGTTACTGGAACCAGCCTTTTATTTTTAAAATAAGTTTGATATAAAGGTATTAAGATCAATTTGAATTTGTATAATTAATTCTAATATTTTTTTTTCAACTATCAATTTGCAGTGTCATGTCTCACAAAGATGACAGATAGTTGCAAACTATTTTTTCAATGTAATAAAAAACACTGTAATTATTAGTATTGATGATTTATTAGGCTGCACCTTAGTTTCATTTATTAAAAACAAAATATAATGAGTAAATAAATTTTCACTCTAAATGTTTAAGCAAATTGTGAACACCTCTCACATCTAGAAAACAGTAGTGATTTGGTACCTTCCCTGAAAAACCCAGCGGGGGTATTTGTCCCTTTGGACAGTTGTAGTTTGGTTTTGATAGAGATGAGGAGTGTTGCAATGGTCACTAAAAATAGGATAATGTTTTAATTCATTTTAAATGCTGCTACTCCCTCTTTTTACATGTTTTGGTCTGAGTTTAATTAAACTTGGTACACAAGTGATCATAATTCTTACCATTTGGTGTTGTCATACTAAGTTTCAAATCCAGTAGCCCATTTCGCAAATGAGTAAAATTTTACAACATTCTTATTTCTTTGTTTCATAAGACAATGCTTCTTTTTTTTTCTAAAAGATTATGTTCACAATATATACTAATGTGAAAGAAATACAATTTTTTTAATCTACTATGGCTAGGATATTATTTGGAGAAATGGAAATTTTTTGTTTTAGTTGTAAGTTTCATTGGTAAGTAAAAACCAGTGGAGTTACAGTCTAGTCAGAGACTCATTTACATTTTCATTACATTTCAGCTCACTCAAATCAAAAAATGGCCAATGAGAACAATGGTTACCCTGACTACCTGTGTAAGTGGCAAGGTCTTCCATACTCTGAGTGTACTTGGGAGGAGGGGGAATTGGTGTCACGGAAATTCCAGACCCTCGTTGATGAGTACAACCTTAGACACAAGTCACAAAGGACACCTACTCCAGCCAAATACTGCAAGGTTAGGCTTTTAACAAAGATTCTATTGTACAATCAGTTACAAGAAATCTGTGAAAAGGATTCCATTTGTAAAGTCAATTATAAGGAATCTTTGGAAAGGATTCCAATTGTACAATCTCTGTGGAAAGGATGTGAGGTCAATGTCCTAGTTTTTAAAAAAGTTTTGTGAGAACAGAAATATTTTTCTTAGGTCTGTAGTAGAGATTCATTGAGTTCATATTCAAAATTTTATGTTTCAGGCTCTTCGATACCGTCCAAAATTTACTCCAATGAAGAATCAGCCTTCATTTCTTGGTGGAGTTAATAATTTAGTCCTTAGGGACTACCAGTTAGATGGTGTAAATTGGCTTATGCATACATGGTCAAAGTAAGTTAGCTATCATGTTACTATGATTTTAATGATTATTACTATGTGATAAATCTTTTAAAGATGACTTATTGAAGTAAAAACAAAATAAATTGTCTTTCTTTTTTTTTCAGAGAAAACAGTGTGATATTAGCAGATGAAATGGGACTAGGGAAAACCATTCAAACTATAGGATTTTTATCAATTTTGTACAATACATTCCAAGTGTATGGACCTAATTTACTTGTGGTACCATTGTCTACTATAGCAGCTTGGCAGAGGGAATTTAAGCTGTGGGCTCCAGAAATGAATGTTGTTGTATATTTAGGAGACATTAACAGTCGGAACAAGGTGTATATTTTATTTGATTCATAATACTTATATTATTTTAGTGACAATTGTGTGTACATGTGCATTTCTTCATCCATTTACTGTTGAATCCATTGGTTGACTTAATACTATACAGATTAGAGAACATGAATGGTGCCACAGCGGGAACAAAAGGTTAAAATTTAACGTCTTGGTTACAACATATGAAATCCTCCTAAAGGATAAGGTGAGAATGATTCATAATATAACATGAAAAATAGACAATTATATTGTGAAAATCATTAAATAAAGTTGACATTTCTTTAGAGATAGTCATAGACTGGAATACTGGGCTGCACTAATAACTGTATTCATTGTTTAAATTCTCTCCTAGCCTGTGTCAAGTGGACTGTACTAATGCTGACTTTGTTTACAGTCTTTCTTAGGTAGTGTTAATTGGGCTGTACTAATGGTAGATGAAGCCCATCGCCTGAAGAATGATGATTCTCTTCTCTACAAAACTCTTTTTGACTTTAACTCCAACCATAGACTTCTGATTACGGGTACCCCACTACAGAATTCCCTTAAAGAATTGTGGGCTCTTCTTCACTTCATCATGCCAGACAAGTAAGTGCTGGTCTATAACTTTCTTCTCTTGAGGAAAAAAAAGGGTATGATACAAGTATATACAGACAAATTTCTAGACATACTGTACATGTACATTTGTTTTAAGACTTTATCTGCAGGTTAATTTGCATGTACATTTTTTAAATCTTCAGCAATTGAGAGTAATTAAAGTTTATATACATGTACATTTGAAATCTTCAGTATTTTACAGTAATTGTTTAAATATCTATCTCACCATGAAATCATTCCTTAAATGTATACTACAGTTGTTTTGTTATAAAGGTTTTACAAGTGGTCTGAGTTTGAGGAGAAGCACTCTTCTGCTCAGAAAACAGGATTTGTGGGTCTTCATAAAGAATTAGAATCATTTCTGTTACGGCGTGTCAAGAAAGATGTAGAAAAATCACTACCCGCCAAAGTAAGTGATTATTTTAGAGTTTTATAAAGGTAGCTTTTGTTCTTGTATTTAATACATTTAACATGTGTAAAGGTTACTTATTTCTGGACTTGGTTGTTGCATTAAATGTGTGTAAGTACTATTTATATCCCGAAGTTAATAGTAAACAACTCATCTAATTTTTTTTCTAATAAAGTAAACTTACATTCAGTCTATCCATGAACAAAGACTTGATTGCATGGTATTTAAAAACGTGAACATGTATCTTTTCAGACAGAACAGATTCTTAGAGTAGAAATGTCATCCATACAAAAGCAGTATTACAGGTGAACACAGTTTACATGTAAATGTGTTGTACTTAACATCTGTCCTACATTTGTAAATTTCTTTTGGTTCTTTCTTGTAAAATAATGTAGGAGAAAAAAATTTAGACAACATTTCTATCGTTTGTTTGTAGATGGATCTTAACGAAAAACTACAAAGCATTAAGTAAGGGACTGAAGGGCAATGTGTCAAGTTTTGTCAACATTATTATGGAACTGAAAAAGTGTTGTAACCATGCTCAACTTATTAGACCCCCAGAGGAGGAGCCTGCAGACAGATTAGCGGTAAGTTTGACAAAGTCAGGAGTAGAAGACTAGATTTGTTTTGTGACAGTAAGTCTGATATAGAGAGGAATAGATTTCTCATTCATGTGATTGTATCCTGACTTTCTCGTGTTCTGTGTTTTGCAGGCTTTGATCAAAGGCAGTGGGAAACTGATTTTGCTGGACAAACTGTTGCTGAGGCTTAAGGAATCAGGTCATCGAGTCCTAATTTTTTCCCAGATGGTGAGGATGCTGGACATTTTAGGAGAGTATCTACAAATGAGACATTTTCAATACCAAGTAAGTTTTCCTTTGAAAAAAAATCATCAGATCTGATTGTACAGAATAATTATGTTTTAAGATTAGTTTTAAACATTTTTATTATTGTTTTTGCCCTGTCCGTCCGTCTGTCTGTCTGTTTATCTGTTTGTCCGCAAAAACTTTAACATTGCCCATAACTTTTGATTGGTTGGAGCTATGGCTTTCATATTTCATGTGTATTCCTTGTGACAAAACCTTTCTTTCGGTACCACCATATTTGACCTTGACCTTGTAGTTTGACCTAGTTTTACAAAATTTTACCCAACTTTAACCTTGGCCATAACTTTTGAACAGTTAGGGCTTTCATACTTCACAAGTGTAATCTTTTTGACAAGACCTTCCTTTGGATACTAACAACTTTGACCCTTTGACCTTGACCTTGGAGTTTGACCTACTTTTGAAAAACTTTAACATTGACCATAACTTTTGAACGGTTAGTGCTAAGGCTTTCATACTTCACATATATAATCCTTGTGACAAGACCTTCCTTTGGATAACAACAACTTTGACCCTTTGACCTTGGAGATTGACTTACTTTTGAAAAACTTTAACCTTGGCCAGAACTTTTGAACAATCGGTGCTACGGCTTTCGTACTTCACTTATGTAATCCTTGTGACAAGACTTTCCTTTGGATACCAACAACTTTGACCATTTGATCTTGACTTTGGAGTATGACCTACTTTTGAAAAACTTTAACCTTGGCCATAACTTGTGAACCATTGGTGCTAGGGCCTTCATACTTCACATTTGAAATCCTTGTGACAAGACCTTCCTTTGGGTACCAACAACTTTGACCCTTTGACCTTGGAGTTTGACCTACTTTTGGAAAACTTTAACCTTGGCCATAACTTTTGACCCTTTGGTGCTAGGGCTTTCATACTTCACATATATAATCCTTGTGACAAGACCTTCCTTTGGATACCAACAATTGTAGTCCATTGACCTTGACCTTGAAGTTTGACATACTTTTGGAAAACTTAAACCTTGGTAATAACTTTTGAAAGATTGGTGCTTCAGCTTTCCTATTTCAGCAGTATATTTTGTGTGAGAAGGCCTTTCCTTAGGCACCATTATTTTTTACCATTTGACCTTGACCTTGATGATTGACTTACTTTTGAAAAACTTTAACCTTTTCCATATCTTTTCAATGGTTGCTGCTAGGGCTCTCATATTGCACAGGTATATTCCTCGAGACAAGACCTTACTTTGGGTACCAACATATTTGATTTGCATTTGAGAAAGTTTAACCTTTGCTATAAGTTGCCATACGGGGGCATCAGTGTTTCACAAACACATCTTGTTTTCACTATTATAAAAATTTTCAGTGATACTTATAAGTTGCTGCACTGTTTCAGAGACTTGATGGCTCTGTAAGAGGAGACCTAAGGAGACAGGCCATGGATCATTTTAATGCTGAGGGCTCAGAAGACTTCTGCTTCCTCCTGTCAACACGAGCAGGGGGACTTGGTGTAAATCTTGCCACGGCAGACACAGTCATTATTTTTGACAGTGATTGGAACCCCCAGAATGATTTGCAGGCACAGGCCAGGGCACACAGGATAGGGCAGAAAAATCAGGTAAAACAAAATCTTGAGACTGATAGAATTCAGATTTCACAAACAAATGTTTAAAAGGTTAAATAAATACATTATGTACCCTTCTGTAAGCATAAAGTTTGCCATTTACAGTACAGTAGCAGAAATATGTAATAAATCATATAAACATGAACTGAAATTTATGTAGGGTCTTTTGGTTCATACAATGTATGTACATGAACATTGTATAATTAGTTGTATGTAGCTACATGTATACATGTATGTAGTTGCAAAGCACAATCATCCAAATCTTGAAGATAAAATTAGAAAGTAATGGGTATGTTCCATATCTACAGGTCAGTGTATATAGACTAGTCAATAAAAACAGTGTAGAAGAAGATATTGTAGAGCGAGCCAAAAGGAAAATGGTGCTGGATCATCTAGTGATACAAAGAATGGACACCACTGGTCGAACAGTACTCAATAGGGGCATTCCTTCCAAGTAAGGTCTTACACTAATTGTATCAGGTTACTGGGAAATCTCTTTCATAATGTTTCGAGGTGTTGTAATAAACATTTGATTATCAATTGTGTTATAGTAATTCTACCCCATTTAACAAAGAGGAGCTGAGTTCCATTCTGAAATTTGGTGCTGAAGAATTGTTTAAAGAAAACGAAGATGATGAAGATGAACCGCAGGTAAAATTGAGATTTTTTTATTATTAACTTATTTTACACAGATTGATTTTGAGGTACATATGTATTTTTTTGTGATTTGTTATTTTAAATAGGTGGATATTGACGAGATTCTGAAGAGGGCGGAGACCCGGGACATGGAGGAGCAGAACACAGGAGTAGGAGATGAACTACTGTCTCAGTTTAAGGTGGTCAGTTTTGAGAACATGGAGGATGAGGAAATAGAACAGACACCAGGAACAAAAACGGAAGAGGAAGGTAAAGCCTACACTTGTACATACATCTATCATCATACTTCTATTTACTATTATTACATGTATTTACAACAGATAAAACATTTACATGTACTTTCAAGTATGGATCAAGAGATTGCCTCCGAAAGCCATGTTTAGCAAATTAGGCAGATGATATGAAGAGATCTGTATACAAGACATACATTGAATTATATTTAACCTATAGTATAAAATACAAAATTCCAACTAAAGCATAACAGAACTTTTTTTTTTCAAAGATAAGTCATGGGACACAATTATTCCCGAGGCTGACAGGCGGAAAATTGAGGAAGAAGAGGAACAGAAAAGATTATTAGAACTTAACCTGCCACCTAGACCCCGAAAATCAATACAACAGGTAGACATTTCAATTATAATTGTATAATAGAATTATGTTTCCTTTTATAAGGGCTATTATAGAATCAAATGGTAGTGGGGGCAGGTTTGATTTTAACACTGCTCAATAAACTTGTCCCCTCCCCCTTTTCACTTGCATGTATTTATATAGTTACCATTACATGTATATTATTTGTAAAGAATAATACTATGAATGTTATAAAAAAATCAGTTGTTTTTTTTTTTACCAATTTGTCAAGAATGCTAGGATTACTTTTGTTTTGTCAATTTTTACTTCCCTCTTAATGACAACAAACAATGAAAACAATGAATGAAGAGACAATGTGTTAGATTTAAGATCAGATTGTTAACAATTTTAATTCTGACTTGCATGTGAAGAACCATCTGACTTGCATGTGAATAACCATGAATATTGTCAAAAGTAAAACTTGACCCAGGCATACACATAATTAAAAAAAGAAATACATTGTACAGCTGAAAATCACAGTCACCTTTTGAGTAAGTTAGGTTACACACAAATATTAGATATTGGAACAGCTCTTATGATGATGCTTGTAATTGAAAAAGAACTATCTAAATGAAAAGTTTCTAATCTGTTCTTTTTGTTAGCCTCAAGTTGGTGATGATTCAGATGACAATGGTAGGAAGAAGAGTAAAAGGAATGTAGATGATGATGACAGTGAAGAAGATGAGGATGAAGATGATGATGATGATGATCAGCCTCGAAAACGAGGTCGACCAAAAATGTCCAAGACATCTGTTCGGGGCTTCAATGACTCAGAAATCCGAAGATTTATTAAAAGCTTTAAAAAGTTTGGAAGACCACTGACAAGGTTTGTGACCTATTTATCAAAAGAAGATTCAATGAATAGATTGCTGACAAAATGTTTGGGGGGATTTAAATTTCTGCGCAGTAGTGATCCCTAAATCGACAAACATTGATCCTCCACGTTCCAAAAAGTATAATGTTTATATAGTACTATCAGCTGTCAATGTAGTGCATGGATTACTAAAAAAACTTTCACTGATTCCTACCCAGTCAAGCATTCATTGTCTTTACTGCTTCACATCTAATTGATTTTAAGGGCATACACCATGAATACACCATATTCTTTAGATAAATTGATCTCTAACTTAGTATCTTAAATATTGTTTATGCGTGGCACACAGAAAAGCAAACAAATAGAAGATTATTGATACATTAAATGCAATCATGGGACAGACTCTTTGGACAGATTTAGCTCAGTATAGACTGTGAATGTTTTGCTATACTGACAAAATAACATAAACAGTGGAAGTAGATTGTAATATGTTATAAATTCTGAATAGGTCGCTATCATAGATATATAGAAGCTTAGGATCTAAATCTGTGTGCAAATCTTAGTTTCATAGCGTATGTTTGAATGAAGGAAGGAAATATGGACTCCCATACAAATGTTTTTCTTTATATACATGTATGTATATGTAGCTTTGTGTAAATTGAAATTTCAGATTAGATGCTATAGCATGTGATGCTGAGCTTCAAGAGAAGTCAGAGAGTGATCTACAAAGACTGGCACAAGTCCTGACTAAAAGCTGTGAACAGGCTATGGAGGAGACCAAAAATAAAACAGATACAGAGAACAGTGAAGGCTAGTAAAACTGTTATTACACATATTGTCAAATCAGTAACCCATGCTTGGTTCCTTTTGTAAATCTATATACAATATACATGCATATGCAATATTCAGATTAAAAACTTCTTTTTGTCGTATTATGATTTCATGCACCATTGATAGATTAGTTGAATGATGTAACTAATGTGTGGTATGTTTAATTTGTGTAGGAACTAAGAAAGGTAACAGAGGACCTTCCTTTAAGATATCCAGTGTGTCTGTGAATGCCCAGGCCATTGTCAAGGCAGGACAAGAGTTAGAGCCCTTGGCAGCAGTCATTCCTACAGAAAAAGATGAAAGAAAAAGGTAGCAGTCAGAAGTTGTTCCTCGTTATTCTTGGTATTTTTACTAGTAGCTTGTGGAAGCTTGAGAATGCTAGTTTGTGTCAAACAGTGTGATGTAAAATTTCCTCTCGCTGAAATATAAAGCTCACTCTAAAATCAGTCATCATTGATGTCAAATAAAGTGACATGTATTGCCTTATTGCTAGACTCATTGAACTGTTGCTCCAATCCCTTATTTTTTAATTAGATTTTGATCTTTTCCTGCTCTCAATATTTTTTAAAATTTGTTCTTTCCATACTCCTGATATTTAATCAGGAGGATTGTATTTGTTCATTGGTTTATATGGTGTCCTTCAGTTTAGTGGATGGGGCCTCAAATGCAGAAAATATCATGGGGCCTAGTATTCTTTTTCACCAGTTTACTTTCTCAACTTTGTTTCTCTAGAGAACTTTTTTTTTTTAAATGTAAAAAAGAAGTGACAGGAACAATATTCGAACATGTATGTAATAACTTTCGATCTAAAATTAATAATTATTGAAGTTTTATGAGAAATTTAAGCTGATGACTTTAAAAGTTTTTATACAAAACTCTGATTATAAAAATGTGTGAATTTTCTATGAATAATTTATGAAGGTATGGTTGCAGGGTATTTGTACATTATGTCATGTTTTGATTGGCTATTTGTTACATTATGTCATGTTTTGATTGGCTATTTGTTACATTATCAACGTGCCTCTTTGTAAGCTTGGAAATACATGCATTAGGTATACCAGAACTAGAGAATTAAGTAACAGAAATGCCATTAAGAATTTATCATTGATCCAGAAAAAGCTGGGATTGATAAGTCCATAAATGCTTATTGAAAAAAAGCATGTTAAGAGCCCTCTGTTTTTTGAAAGTAATTATGAAAAATCCTCTTATTTCTCAGGTTCCAGCTTCCTTTTAAGGCAAAGGCTGTACATTGGGACTGTATATGGGATATAGAGGAGGACTCTAATCTTCTGAAAGGAATCTATGAATATGGATTAGGCAGCTGGGAGGCCATTAAGATGGACCCGGAACTTCAGCTGCATGACAAAGTAATTAAACAGTCTCAACAATGTTTCAAGTGTTATGTTATTGTTTTATTATTGTTGTTGTTGTTGAGGATATCGTTTTGTTCAAATTTCTTTATACCAATGAGATGTAGTTTTAAAAATCATTTAATTTTTTTTAAGATTTTACCAGATGGAAGTGATCTGAAACCTCAAGGTAAACATTTGTCTACAAGAGCTGACCATCTTCTGAAAGTGCTCAAAAAGAACTCTATTCAGGAAAATGGAGGGGTAAGCACAAATTCTTTAATATGATGAAAATATTTTTCTTACACATACATGTAAATGATGTTTTAGTAAATAACCCCATTTCTATTATGATTTTTAGGACACTGTGTCAACAGGAACAGGCAGACCTAGAAAAAAGAGGAAGGGTAAACCCAAAATTTCTACAGCAGAAATTATTGAGAAAGACTTCAGTGATTCTGAAGAGGATTCTCGTGTTAATTTTAACAATAATAGTGCTACTAGAGAAGAGAACAGTCATGATAGTATATTAGATCACCTGAAAAAGAAGAAAAAGAAAGACACTTTTAGGAGTGATAAAATTCTGGAGGAGGAGGATACAAGGGATTCAGTGGATTTAAAGAAGAAAAAGAAAAAGGTAGTCCAGAAGGGAGGGAAAAATGTCTGTAGTACGGGAAGAATCTTATTGAAATTATATATACATGTATATACTGTGTAATTTTGAACAATTGAAATGTTTTAAGAGAAAAAAGGAATTGTACAGATTTAAAGATCATTAATCATTGTCATGAATAACATTTGTGTTATCCAGGCAGCCAAAAAGGGAAAGAAGAGTGATGCTATGCATTTCACTGCTGGTGCTGTACCTGTACCTGTGGCTCTGGAGACAGAGTTCAGTGGGGAACTTCCAAGTGAGGTGTTCTCCAAGGTAAGTCAGGTTTGCTTTGCATTGGGAGTTTGAAGCATTCTTTAGATGTTTTGAATTTTATTAAGGGCCATTTTAGAAAGGAAGTATTTTCATTTCAGTGTAAAGAAATGATGCGACCTGTGAAGAAAGCTTTAAAACGTTTAGATAACCCTGATGAGGGTCTCTCAGACAGGGAGCAGTTAGTCCACACTCGGCAGTGTCTGTTAAAAATTGGAGATAGGATTAATGAGTGCATGGCTCACTATAATGACCCTGAGATCATTAAGCAGTGGAGAAAGTAAGATTTTATATATCACATACGTGTTCATGTATCATTGAAAGTGCAGTACAGTGTCATAAAGTGATTACTTCACTATTTAATTCTCTTTTTGTCTCCGATATTAAGCCTTTGTAAACTGAGACTGATTTATTGTGCTTTACAGTTTTCTGTGGATATTTGTATCCAAGTTCACAGAGTTTGATGCCAAAAAGCTTCACAAGTTATATAAACATGCTCACAGAAAACGGGAGGAGGAGCAGGAACAAGAGGTAACACACTTGACCAAAGTTCATCAACAAACAATAATGGAGTCTTGTTCTTGTAATGACTTCTGTTAACAAGAGGTAACACTCGTACATTCAAAGTTCATCAGCAAACAATAATGAAGTTCTTGTAATGACTTCAGTTTACAAAATTGCAAGGTTAGGCATTTTCAAGCAAATTTTCAGGTGATACTAAAAAATTTCGTATGACATGACTTCTGTTAACAACATTGCAAGGTTAGGCATTTTCATGCAAATTTTAAGGTGATACTTAAAAATTTTCATATGGCATGACTTCTGTTAACAACATTGCAAGGTTAGGCATTTTCAAGCAAATTTTCAGGTGATACTTAAAAATTTTCATATAACATGACTTCTGTTAACAACATTGCAAGGTTAGGTATTTTCATGCAGATTTTCAGGTGATACTCAAAAATTTTCATATAACATGACTTCTGTTAACAAAATTGCAAGGTTAGGCGTTTTCAAGCAAATTTTCAGGTGATACTCAAAAATTTTCATATGACGTTTATTGGGCGACATTTTTCTATGCAGAGTAGCCCTTAAAATTCCATTGAATTATTATCTTAGTTAAACAATCTTGTTTTTGTCTTAAGGGAGGAAATAATAAACCACAGACCTCGGAGAAGCCTGGGAATCATATAGACCGACCGAGTGAGGGTAAGAAAAACAAGAGACCAGCAGAGTTTGGTGAGGCGGAGAAAGCCTCCAAGAGGCAGCAGCATGAACATAGGACCAAAGAACATAAAAGGTGAGCCAAGTTTTTTTTTATTCATATGTAAAGCTTAGTGTAACTATAGTCTCGGCTTTGTAGTATTTGTATTGGCATGCCTTTACATTTTCTATGTAGAATGTGATACTCGTATGTATTTTTTTTATCTTGTTCATTTTTACAGAAAAGAAATTATTACTATGTTGCATTAATCCAAGAATGCGTAATTTCTAGGAAGTATGTTAATTGCATGAAAGATTTCTAGTTCTTAAATTTTTAATTTGCTTATAGTATCTAAGTAATTTTGTATTCATAGATGTTGTTTTTAAGTAAATTTGCATTCTTAGACAGTGTTTAGAAATACAATGTACATCTAGTTGTCCCTTCACTATCTCAGTACCTTACAATTAAAGGTTTTTTTTGAAAGTAGAGAAATTCTAACTCCAAGCAGTATCAAGAAATATTCGTAGAAATGAACAAGTTGCCACATTGTAATTTTGTTGGCCTGAATTTGATTTTGAGTTTTTGTTTCCTTCTTAAGTTCCACCTCAGTAAGTAATGGTCCCCGTCCTAGCGCCAGCACCAACAGCTTAAGTCACAAACATGGTGTCCTTGATTCTAGTCACGACTCCAACTCTAATGATAGGTGGACTCATGCTAGTCCCTTAGCAAGGGCTGAAGATCAACCTAGAAATAGGCAAGTCATTTGTGTGTGATGTCTAATGGTTCTTGGAGATGGAAGTTCTTGGGGGTCCTTAGGTATTAACTCGGGGAGTAATGAATTGAAATTGTTTTTTTAACATAGACACAGTAGCAACAAAGAAAGAAATAAGAGTGTAGCTTATTTTTCAGAGTTTGATTTGTAGCTGATTTCTAACTAGGAAGAAATCTGACTGTTTATGTGAAAAGCCCTTGGTTACAATGCATGCTCTGTTGTCAAGTTTTATGTTTCTACCAAAAGTAGCTTTTATGTTTCTTTTATTTGCATTCAAGTTACACATACATGTACATGTATTTGCAATTGGAAATAAGAGGTAACCTCTTGTGCGAAAGCTTTGTACAAAAGACCTTGTATAATTAAGTTTTTTCCACCTACCTTTAGGTATGACAGTAGTTCAAATACCTACGGGCGTCAGCAGCATTATCCAGAAAGGAGTTACCATGGCAATGACCCCAGATTTGGGGATTCACACCACAGGTCAGTTCCTTGCCTTGTATGTATGAATAAATAAATAAGAAATTCATTGATCAGAGTTCTAGTGATGAAACTTTACTCAGAGGTATAATCAGGATACAGTCATTTTAATTAAAGGTACTAGTATCTGAAGAATTTAAGATGAATTGTCTTTGTGCACATATGTTTATACACATAGAACAACTTGCATAAATTCAGGTCAAGGATTCAGGAATTGGTCATATACTCATAAATATAAATAGTACAAACTGATTAAATACTTCTTAAGTTGCCTTACAGTCCTTAGTTGAGAACACTTCTAGATACATGTACATGTAGTAATTAGCTATTGATTATGTTACTTACATGTATATGTGAAGAAGGTTTTCACTTAGTTGTACATTGTATTTCAGATTCAACAATGATCGGCGAGAGTATTCTTCTAGTCACACATATCATCGTGACAGAGGCGATCATTCATCTAATTATCACTCTCATCATGATCATCACGGTAACTACCGGTCAGATCACCGGGGTGACCGTCGTCCAGAGTACGGACAGTATGGTCACCGAGATTACGGCAGCACCCGTCCTGACAGCAGTAGGTAGGTGTATACAAGGGAAAAAATATATGTCCTTACAATAAAACAGTATTGATTTTACAGAAAAGTATGTTCAACAGCCCAGGCCTCGAGACCATAAACTGAGAACAGACTTGAGTCAAAATTTCGATTCTTTATTTAACATATGTACTTCAAAATTTGCAGGTTTGTATATTCCAATTTAAACATATGGTGAAAATTGTGTTTCATTATCAAAATTATTTCAAAAGTTATATTGATTTGAATTTTGACTTGAGTCTGTTCTCAGTTTATGGTCTTGGGGCCTGACCTTGTGAAAATTAATTACATGTAACATATCCAAAAAGTAATAGTTTCAGTCTCCCCCAGTTATGGTGTCTGTTTGCAGGGTCTGTCAGAGTTGATGAATTGTTGCCCTTCTTTTTCAGTTACCAGTCGCATTCAGATAGGAAACGTAAAGGTGACGTTATCCCAGACCGTCGATCTCAGAAGGATCCTCGTTTTCACGAGGACACTAGTCGGTCATCATTATACTCCAACTCCAGTCAAGACACCAAGATTTGATCCCATCACCCTTATAAATCCATATCTGGAGTGGAGATTGGCCATTACTCACCTATCAATTCCCAAATATGGGAGCCTTCCATTCAATATCACCAGTCATCGTCTCTTCTGGAAGTCCAGCTTATCAGAATCATGTGGACTGGGCTAACTTTTTAAATCTCACTGCCACATCTTATAAGATCAGTGCATTTTATTTGTGCAAGACACATTCTGGAAAATGTGATAAATTATTTTAGTTTGCAGGCCTCGCTCATCTGTGGATTTATCTTTTCAAATGTGAGAAAGTCTGCCCGTTTTAAGTGTGTCAGTTGTTTTTGCTTGTCAAGCATTGTACTACAGACTGAACCATTTTAAGTTTGCTGTTTTATTCATGTGTATGTCTTTGTTTCATGTTTTCTCCCACTTCTACGTGCAGCTGGTTTGAAGAAATTTGCATGAAAGTAGTACCTGGTTTTATTTTCTTAAGTGTTAATGAACTTTTCATTTGAGAATTCATTTTGATTGTCACACAAATAGTGCTCAAGTTTTTAGTTATATGCAGTGCTCCACATTAGGGTCAAGTTTAAGTTAAAATGCAAAAAAGTGTACATGTACTACATAAGCTGTAATTTATAATAATATTTCTTGATTAGAGTGAATCAAGTACTTTTCAGTGTTTTAATAGAATAAACAGAAAATTAAAAAAAAAAAAATATTTGCAAGTCCATAAACAAAGGAATGATTACAAATTATTTCATGAAAATGATTTATTGTGTTATCAATACTATCCTGCAAAAATTTTGTGACAACATTGGAAATTGGTCTTGTATACAATTCTGCTTGATGCAGCTTCAATATTTCACCTGCAATTTTTCATATTTAATTTATGAAGAAGGAAATTACATGTACCAAGAAAAGACCTGAAAGCAGATATGCTGATCTCATCCTACTGCAAGTGCTTTGTGCTACGTATCTGTCTGATGAGAAAGTCTGTGATAACATTTGGTTAAACCCCATGTTTATGTGTTCATTTGTGAGAGAATGAGTCAAATTCATTCATTTATTATATGATGTACATATTCATTTTGTATGTAAAATATTGTATATATGAAATAAAAGTGGCAAAGATATAGAATTCATTGATGAGTATAATGTTCATTGAAGACCCACTTTAGACAGTTTTGAAGAGGAGGGTACTAGGATGTAGAATCAATATGCCTTTGTCTGACTAATTGGGTGTCCATCTGTTTCCTGTGAAGACTGCATAATTTCTGAATTGAGGAACTTGGCTCATACTTTGCACAGCATTGCTCCAGATGGGATTTATCATGTCCCACAACCAAGATTGATGGGTAAATGTGAACCTCACAGAATCCAGAATGTGAAATTCCTGCCTGGGCTATGTATTGTAGAATTAGTAAAAGCTTGTAGTAAACAAGCTAATTCAGAGAATTTGTGCCCCCCCCCCCCCCTCCTTTAAGAAAAAAAGGCAGAGTTACTAAATATTAAAAATTGCATTTATTGATATGAAGATTTGATTGCTTATTCTTTAAAATGTGTACAGATTTTTTATATAAAATATTTATCACACTGAATAATGATTTTATGAGATGTGTACATGCCAGATGTCATAGTTTCTTCATTTCATATGTTGAATACAATCATTTAGTAATGAAAAAAAACATTTAAAAAAAAGAAGTCAGGATCATCGGGGATTTGAACCTGGGATCTCTCACATCCAAAGCGAGAATCATACCCCTTGACCAGCAAGGCACTTGACATTGGTACATATCAAATGCAAACAGCGGTCACATATACATGTATATATTCACGTTCGATATTTTCAACATTTTACACAACAAATGGTGTCTAATTTAGCCTTTACTAAACAGTTCTAATAGATGTAATTAGAATATTAAGTCTGCAGAAAACCGGTATTATATGTAATAATTCTCCACATGCTCCTGTGCTAAAAATAGTGTTCATAATACAAACGGAGTTACTCTAGAACTTTGCGTGAGATCGATGCCAACAACTTCTGACCAAAATTTTAAAAAACGGGGCAGGGCCATAGGGAGTTACGGAATAAAATTTCATTGCAAAAGCTCAAAAGCTTATTAAGATATAGCCCGGATACGTTAGTGATACACACAGAATGTATAAATTTACGACCTTGACCTTTTGACCTTAAAATCAATAGGGATCTTTCTTAGGCCATAGGGAGTTGCGATATAAAATTTCATTGCAAAAGCTCAAAGGCTTCTCAAGATATCGCTCGAAAACAAAAATGTTAAAACACAAAATTTATGAATTTATTACCTTGATCTTTGACCTCAAAATCAATAAGTCTTCCTTAGGCCATAGGGAGTTATGTGAAATTTTTGTTGCAAAAGCTCAAAGGCTTCCCGAGATATCGCACTGAAACAAAAGTGTTACAGACAGAAATACGGATGGACAGACCCTAATTAATATCCCCCCACTTTCGGTGAAAGCGGCGGACAACAAGCAGGATGATTGTGATAAGAGTGTGAAATGAACCTTGCCAAACTGCATTTCATCATTCTTCTTTTTGTATGAGATTTTGAAATTTATGTCAACGTCCTTTGGCCTCATTAAAAATGCTTGTCAGGGGTGTGCAGTTAAAAAAAATTAAGTACTAGCCCACGGGCTAGTAACAGCAATAAAGTTACTAGCCTCAAGTAAAAAGTTACTAGCCCAATTGTGGGAAGGGGGGGGGGGGGGGCAGTATATTTTGAAAAAAATAGTTTATTGTTGAAAAAGTCAGGGTTTTAAAGTCATTCTTTTTAAGAAATAAGTTCAATTCTCACTAGTAAAATTGAATCATGTATAAATTAATAATTAAGATAGAAAATAAACATAGGTAATCAGAGATTACAGAGCTCACCTCAACGAATGTTGTCTTTAAGTAAGGCAAAGTCCCACACTAAACTAATAATCTAGGAGTGTGCACCCCTAGATGCAACATTTATGCAATTTTGGTCTGATAGGGCTTGCAGTTACTTGGGAATAGACTTATCTGAAAACTTGAAACTAGTCACTCATCCAGAAAATGTAAGTCAAATCCAGCATCCGAAGCAAGTTTTGAGATTGTTCGTCCCTTGATGCATCATCCATGCAAGTTTGGTTCAGATAGGCCTTATAGCTACTTGGAAATGAGATCTGCTCCAAAAACTTTAATCTGGTTACTCATCCGGAAAATGTAGGTCAGATCCAGCATCCGAAGCAAGTCCAGTAGTGTGAATCCTTAGATGTACTAGTATCATCCAAGCAAGTTTGGTCAATATAGGGTTTATAGATACTTGGAAATGACATCTGCTCCAAAAACTTTAACCTGGTCACTCATCCGGAAAATATAGGTCAGATCCAGCATCCGAAAAAAGTCCAGTAGTGTGCATCCATAGATGTATCATCCATGCAAGTTTAGTCAATATAGGGCTTATAGTTACTTGGAAATGAGATCTGCTCCAAAAACTTTAACCTGGTTACTCATCCAAAAAATATGGGTTAGATCCAGCATCCGAAGCAAGTCCAGTAGTGTACATCATTAGATGTATCATCCATGCAAGTTTGGTCAATATAGGGCTTATAGATACTTGGAAATGAGATCTGCTCCAAAAACTTTAACCTGGTCACTCATCCAGAATATATAGGTCAGATTCAGCATCCGAAGCAAGTCCAGTAGTGTGCATCCTAAGATGTATCATCCATGCAAGTTTGGTCAATATAGGGCTTTTAGTTACTTGGAAATGAGATCTGTTCCAAAAACCTTAACCTGGTCACTCATCCGGAAAATATAGGTCAGATCCAGCATCCGAAGCAAGTTCAGTAGTGTGCATCCTTAGATGTATCATGCAAGTTTGGTCAATATAGGGCTTATAGTTACTTGGAAATGAGACCTGCTCCAAAAACTTTAACCTGCTCCAAAAATATTAACCTGGGCATTCTTTAGCTGAAATTGCAGCATCTGAAACCTTGACTGCATGGTACAATGAAACACACTAGAAGCATCCTCCATGTATCTCTGACTAATATAGGCCATAGAAGTACTTTGAAAACAAAACTGCTCCAAAAACCTTAACCAGGGACGCCGACACCGACGGTATTACATAAGCTCCCCCACTTCGTTGAGGTGAGCTTAAAATCCATTTAAATAAATTATCTTCCCTTTTTCTGTGCATTGCACTAGCTCATATAAAATGAAGTGAAAATCTTTTTTTTTTCATCTTAAATCATTAAATACACTGGAAATATATTTTATATAAACCACATAACACTTATCTTTCAGTTGATTGAGTGATCGTAAATAATTTAATGAGATATCTGCATGTATTTACCATAAACAGAGGAATAGAGGAAATTCGGATTAGAAAAAAAAACGATCGTTTTTGGAAGTAAATAAGTCAGGAAGTACTGCAAAATGGATAAGATTATGGAGATTTACGAACAATAGGAGCATGCTCCCTGGAAAATTTTCATTGGTTGGGAATTTAATAGCAAAAATTGAGTGAAAATACCGATAGTGATTTTCATGTCTTACATTGATAGTTTTAATTTTTACTAGCCAAAGGGCCTACCTCCGTGCAGGAAACTACTAGCCCGACCCCCAAAAATGGTAGTCCCGGGCGTCGGGCGATGCTAATTGCACACCCCTGCTTGTACACACTCTAAGCCTGAGATATGAAATCTGAACTGACACAACAAAAGACATTATTATAATTATGTACTAAACTTTATTATTATAAGTTAGTTCCTTATGGTAAATATCAGACAGAGACTGCTGTAAATCTTTACTCCTGTCTGCGTCTCTGATGGAGGTTATGTAAAGCTGTTTTCCATCTTTAGTTTTGGAGGACTTTAGCTGGATATCTTGGTTACTAATTACTGTCATCAGCTGTTGTTTTAACCTCGGATCACAGCTCTGTCAGAAGGAAGAGAAGCTAGTTTACAAATAATGTCTAAATCTCACATTATAAATTCAAGCATACAGTATGTTTTATAAGTTAGACCTCGGTGTTGGAGCTTTGTCAATGGTATGAGTCATCTATCAAAACATTTTAAAAGGGTTTGGACAAGTCTAGCACAATAGACTGTTGGAAAAGTTTTTTTCTTATTTGAGATCCCTTACTTTCTACTCAGTCAAAAAAACAAATTATGATAAAAGATCAAAAATACACGTGTAGATCACTTAACAAAGATCAAATAAACCTACACTGAAGCAATGTAGATCACTTACAAAGATCAAGTAAACCTACACTGAAGCAATGTAGATCACTTAAAGATCAAATAAACCTACACTGAAGCAAGGCAAGTCTAAAATATAACAAGAGGCCCATGGGCCACAATGCTTGCCTGAGTAACTGGCCTTGCTGTTTTTCACCTGATTTCCCCCCTTGTAGTACTTATTGTGGCCCCGCCCTACCCCAGAGGTCATGATTTGAACAATTAGAATCTACACTACCCCAGTAAGCTTCCACTTAAGTTTCAGCTTTTCTGGCCCAGTGGTTCTTGAGAAGAATTTTAAAGATTTTTCTTACATATTTCAATGTGAAAATTGGATTCCCTTACTGGCCCCACCCTACTCCCAGGGGTCATGATTCGAACTATTTAGAATCTACATTACCCCAGGATGCTGTCGCTTAAGTTTCAGCCATTCTGACCCAGTGGTTCTTGAGAAGAAGATTTTTAAAGATTTTTTCTACACATTTCAATGTAAAATATGGATTCCCTATTGTGGCTCCGCCCTACCCCCTGGGGTCATGATTTGAATAATTTAGAATCTACACTACCCAAGAATGCTTCCACATAAGTTTCAGCTTTTCTGGCCCAGTGGTTCTTGAGAAGAAGACTTTTAAAGATTTTTTTTCTACATATTTCAATGTATAACTTGGATTCCCTATTGTGGCCCCGCCCTACCCCCGGGGGTTATGATTTGAACAATTTAGAATCTACACCACCCAAGGATGCTTCCACGTAAGATTCAGCTTTTCTGGCCCAGTGGTTCTTGAGAAGAAGATTTTTAAAGATTTTTACTACTTATTTCAATGTAAAACTTGGATTCCCTATTGTGGCCCCACCCTACCCCCGGGGGTCATGATTTGAACAATTTAGAATCTACACTACCCCAGAATGCTTCCACATAAGTTTCTGCTTTTCTGGCCCAGTGTTCTTGAGAAGAAGATTTTTTAATGACCCCACCCAAATTTTGTCTTTTCTTGATTATCTCCCATTTGAAGGGGGTTTGGTCCTTCATTTTTTCAATTTAAACTCCTCTTCACCCAAGGATGCTTTGTACCAAGTTTGGTTAAAATTAGCCCAGTGGTTCTTGAGAAGAAGTTGAAAATGTGAAAAGTTTACAGACGAAAGGATGACGGACAACGGCAGATCAGAAAAGCTCACTTGAGCTTTCAGCTCAGGTGAGCTAAAAATTGCAGTAAGATGTTACTCTAATGCAGTGAATGCACCATGCAAACTGGCTTGGTCACTTATGTGGAAAATAAAGGCCACACTGAGCAATTGAGGCATGATTGCATAATGAAATCCCTCATCCAAGGAAGAATGAAAGGTAATTATAGTTCTTTCAATTAGCAGTAGCTTTGATCTATATTATTATGGTGTTATATTCTTCATGTACCTTAGAATGTTATGTGTAATTACCTCGGACAAATACATTACAATATGTGTTGTTTTACCGTCTGTATTCACTATCACAACTGCTTTATCTACTTTCAACTTGTTCATTGCTTTTTTTATCTACAAAAGAACATAAAAATTTAAGACAATTAGGCAACGAAATTAAGACTGTCCCTGAACGATTTTAAAATTCAACACAGCGAGATGTAAGTTTCATTACCACTTTGAGATTCCCTTAGTCTGTAGTTAGAAATACCCAATCACATGACACCTGATGAGAATCGATGTATACTTACAACACTGAGATTCCGAAAGTCTATAGTTATATGTACTACCTTATCACATGACCTCTGGTGAGAATTGATGTACACTTACCACATTGAGATTCCAGTAGTCTGTACTTAGAATTATTATACTTTCATGTTAAATACTAAAATCTGATTGGTTTAGACGCATTTAACAATCCGTAATGTTACCCTCAGCGTTAGCAACACACTTGACAACGGGTAACATTATGAAAATATCACATGCGTTCAAATCATGCGCGTACGGTTCACCGTAGAATTCTCAAAACATCGGTTGTGCGTTTGAAAGAAGCCGAATAAACGACGTCAATAAAAGCTTGCGTCCGATGTAGCTTACTTGAAAACAACCAACGACAGACGAAACATCCTTGCGAGTGCAAACTTTAGATGATAAAGGACTTTTTGAGTAGCAAACAAACAATAGAGAGGTTGGTAAATCTTTTCCGGAGCTTTCTTATTGAGAAAAATAGAAGCGGGGAGTTTGAAAGCTTTCTAAGCGTGAACTTAACGACGATCTCCGAATTTTTTTTATGACATCCGAAATCAATAAGACATTCAGTATAATAAAATAAATAGTGCACGTTTTTGAGGGTAACAGTTGAAATTGACACCACTCGGTAAACCATTGTCAACCTCCGCTGACGCGTCGGTTGACAATGGTTTTCCTTGGGGTGTCAATTTCAACTGTTACCCTCAAAAACGTGCACTGTTTATATAATACCCAATCACATGACCCCTGGTGAGAATTGATGTACACTTACCACATTGAGATTCCCATAGTCTGTAGTTAGAAGTACCCAATCACATGACCCCTGGTGAGAATTGATTATTTCCTGTAAGAGAACATATTAGTGATTATTTGATTGATTGTATGTTGTTTTACGTCCCATTTGAGAATTATTCACTCATATAGAGACGTCACCATATACCGGTGAAGGGCTTCAAATTTAGACCTATACTCGGCACTCAGGGCCACTGAGCAGTGAGGCTTCTTTATCATGCCAACACCTACCTGGTTTTTTCAAAGGTCTCATCCGAAAGACCCGCACTTCAAAGTGCTGAACGCTAGGCGAAGGAACAGTTGCTACCTTTTTTTATCAACTTAGGTCTGTTGCTGACTGTCCTTGAACCCACTAAGGTCAGTCATGGCCGTGATTCGAACACACAACCTTCCGATCAGGGAGTGAGCGCTCTATTGTGATTATTTGAATGTTCTTCAGAATACATATTTTGTATGCACTGCACAATACAGTACAACAGATTTACTATTTTACGAAACCAGCTGTAGTTCATATTTTGACAAATCATTCAACTTCATTAGTGTATTATGTCAGTGCTTACTGTTAGAGGGGATCTCAGTTAATATAAATTATTTGTCAAAATACCCTAGAATTCAATATAAAATGCAGAATAATTGGTGAAGAAATGGGTTTTGTCCAATGCTGAGTTCCTGTTTGCCCTTCCTATGATTTGAAACTCTAGCCAATGACCATCAAGGCAATTCATTATTATTTGTCCTACCGATCAGAACCCTTTTCTCTGTGAACGATTCCAGCTTTGTTTTTGGAGTGCACCTGTACTTACCTTTCTAAGTTTCTGCTCATGGATTTGATTAAGCTTGGTTGTGATGACATGTCCTATTTGATTCAGTCTATTCTCTACGTCCTCTCTCTCTAGTTTAGGTAGCAGGTCTCCCCACATCATCTATAATCCACAGGAAAATTATTACCTCTGACTAAACCAATCACAAACAAGGTACATCCTCCAAATGTACCAGGTAAACACTTCAAATTTTACACTTCAAATTGCTCACTTTGTAAAGTAGGTATATGTATACACTATGAAAGTGAGTTAAGGCTAGGTATGGGCTATGGTGGCATATTTCTGCCCCCTACATGCAAGGTAAATTATGTCAAAAACCGTCTGCATTATCTCATTTGATCAGAAACTTACAACATACATGTGATAAGTCAAAGACCACAAAACTGTGCAGGAGCCATAAAAAAAACTGGAATTTGGGTGAAAAAACTGTACACTGCCTATCAAAAAACGGTACAAAAAAAAAACGGTATAAAATATCGCTTAAATTCTTCTGATAAGGCACCTTATTTCTAAACCAACAAATATATATTGTTGCAAATGTCTTATTTTAAAAGTTGTAATGGAGATTTGAATGCTTTAAAATTTCATATATTGTGTTTTATAATCACAATATTCTTATGAATCGACTATAAATTAAGCTAGTTTAGATAATAGTTTGTTTGCCAGCTTTACATAGTATTAACGTGTCAGTCTCCAATTTACATCTTGTTCATATTACTGATATATACATCAGCAATGCTAAATAACAGCAGCAAATACAATCATACATAAATTTCAGCACATAAAAACTTAAAAACTATATCCTTTATTTCAGCGTAATCATGGTAATAAACATCATATATTTTATACCTACGGAGATCTGGGTCAGATTCAAGTATATTAAGTCATGTATATCAACTTTAGAAGTTGGCTTACCGGTAATTTTTTTCAATCAACAGCTGATCAAGTTACGAAAAATTAACAATCCAACAATTGGATTACATGTATCAAAGAAGAGTTGGGAAGACTAGGTGTAAGTTATTTATGGGACTCTAACATTATTGATAATTGTATATATAAAATAATTGAGCAAAGGATGACTGATGTTTATAGACAAAATATTTTTTCAATTGTATCTTCTTCTTCAAAAGGACAACTGTACCAGTACCTTGTGAATAATTTTGTATTACAAAAATATTTAACAAAGCCTATTGATAAAAAATATCACAGAATGCTTACTAAGGTGAGGTTGTCAAACCACCAATTAAAAAATGAAACTGGTAGATATAATAATACATTAAGACCTCAAAGAGTTTGCACTCTCTGTTCTTCTAATGATATTGAAGATGAATTTCATTTTATATTAAAATGTCCATTTTATGAAAGTCTGAGAAGTGTGTATATTAAAAATATTACTATGTTAAACCAAGTGTATTTAAACTTATAAATTTAATGTGTAGTCAAAAGGTGAAAGAGCTATCTAATTTTGGTAAATTTTAATAAAAAGCCAAAGCTCTTCGAAAATCCAATTTGTAATTAATATTTGATATATATATCCTTGTTTTGTATATTATGCAGTTGGAAAATGCTTTATTTTGTATGCTTTATATTGTGTATACATATGTAAAATCTGATGAGCCTTTGGCTTAAAGAAATAAACAAGCAAACAAACAAAGTTATAATTAAGTACCCCTTTAAAAATAAAGCTACCTAAAGGGGTATCTTGATAAAGAGTTATAGCAAGATAATTATCCCAATTGGCAGTTCACACCTTCACATGCATGGTTTGTGTACACTACACAATTATCAGAAGTCAAGTGTCAAACACAGGTGACTTTTTCCAGTGTCTTGTGAGCAGAATGAGAGGAAAATGGCGGCATTTAGCGAGAAATTCAAAATACTGTACAAATTTTCATATTCCATGAATTTTGGTGTCCCACCGGTACACAATAAATGGGCTCGAAAAAACGGTACATTTTGTGTACCTCCGGTACATATCACATGTATGTTACAACAGACTATGCACAGATAGTAACTTAACAAATGAATTGTCAACATTTGATCAGCAATACCATCAATCTTTAGAATATTCTTCTTATCATTAAATCTTGTTTTTGTAAAATTAAATAAGATATGCCCTTGCACCAAAGATGTTCTGTTCATGGTATTTTATTTCTCTGAGTAGTAAAGGACAATGACATAATGTGCATTGGCTATAACACATCACAGGGAACATGTGTATATATAAGTAAGTCAGTTTAAATCTTCTCTGAATGACAGACAAAACCTCTTATGCTTTTAATTTATTAGCTTAGAAATGCCCATACCTTGCCCTTATTTACTTAGATAAAATTCTACACTTAAAATTGCTCACTTTGTAAAACTGAAAAGGAAAATTAATTTTTATGAAAGACAATCTGGAAGTAAAAATATACCAGGTAATCAAAAAGCCTCCATTTAATAAAGATGGCTTTTAGAAATTTTACATGCAGCTGAAATTTACATGAAATGACACCCTGATAGTGTTTACTGTGTAATATTACCAGTGCCAGCAAAATGAAAGCATACATGTTCCATTTACAGTTTCTTCATTGCTGCATACATCAGGTATATACACTCCCCATGTCACAATCACTATCTTTTTTACTGACTTGATCTCATCTTTCTAAATATCTCTATTTACTACATTATATTGACTGCCTGTGTTCCTGTACTACATGGATAACCTCTCCTTATTATGTGGACTTCATTCATTTACCTGAATTCACCTTTTTAAGGTTCACTGATCATCTGATATGAGAGATAACTCAAACCGGATAAATGTTTATTATTGTTTAATGTTTATTATTCCTTTATAAAATTGTCAAGTTAAAAGGCCTTTTAACTCAAATTTTGTCCTAATTATGCTGAAATTGTGTGCATTTTCATGCAATACTGTAAATTTCTTTTTGGAAAATCATAAACGGGAAAGCAAAAATTAAATCTGTGAAAAGAGGGACTCTGAACCTAACAATATTAATCCCCTTAACCTGCATTGTTAATTGTCTTGACCTTCATAATTGTCTATACCTTACTTATTAATTGTCTTGACCTTTGACTTCCAGTCCTTTGTTCCCTGACCTGTTTGTTCTTACCTTATTAATTACCTTGACCTTTGACTCCCACTCCTCTGTTCCCTGATCCTCTTTGTTCTTACCTTGTTAATGGTCTTGACCTTTGATTCCCACTCCTTTGTTCCCTGATCCTGTTTGACCTTACCTTGTTAATGGTCTTGACCTTTGACTCCCACTCCTCTGTTCCCTGATCCTGTTTGACCTTACCTTATTAATTACCTTGACCTTTGACTCCCACTCCTCTGTTCCCTGATCCTCTTTGTTCTTACCTTGTTAATGGTCTTGACCTTTGATTCCCACTCCTTTGTTCCCTGATCCTGTTTGACCTTACCTTGTTAATGGTCTTGACCTTTGACTCCCACTCCTCTGTTCCCTGATCCTGTTTGACCTTACCTTATTAATTACCTTGACCTTTGACTCCCACTCCTCTGTTCCCTGATCCTCTTTGACCTTACCTTGTTAATGGTCTTGACCTTTGACTCCCAATCCTCTGTTCCCTGATTCTGTTTGACAGCCCTCTCCAGCTCATTCATTATATTCCTCAATGTAGCACCATTTTCAAGAGCCTTCAATAAAACCAATCATTGTGCATGTACATGTATTGTTGTTTTCTAAATAAAAATGACATGTAAATTCTTTATGTTTATTGGACACACTGATGGTCAAGTCTTTAAAGCATAATATTAAGTATTAAAATGATGTTTTATAAAAACTTGGACTCCAATCAATTCAAATACCCACTCCCTTTGGATCATTTGTATTAATGTTGAATACTTAATCCCCTCTGACAATACAATTAATATGCACTGGCAAGAAAGTAGCACCTTTTTGTCTGTTATGATAGGTAACTTACTATAGTGGCTAGTTTTCCTGTGAAGCAGTATACAGACTTCCTACCCTGGCCTACACCTTTTAATTTCTCTATACAAAAATCTCCAATCTCTCCAGTATTATGAACATGTCTAAAAAAGAAAATTTTTATTTCTCACAGTTAGTAACAGTGCTAATACATGCTATTAATGTCATGATGTAAAAACATCACATTTTTACTTTTAATTAATCTTAAGACTAAACAAGGCTGTGTATGAAGCCTTACTACTTACGTTCCTCCACATAGCTCTACAGACACAGGTTTTCCTGCTCCTATAGTGATCACATTTACCATGTGTGGATATATCTGAAGAGATAACCTACGTGTCAAATGTAACTTACACTTTATCTTTAGTTATTCTCTAGATATTTGACAACTGATTCTGGTCAGTACTAACTACCTCATTCTGCATATATACGACACCGTCCAGTGACTGGGCCTGACTGAGGGGCAGATTCTGACAAGTGACCTGTAACCTCCTCTCTATGACCTCTCTAACCTCCCTCTGGAGTTCTGTCACATCTACCACAGTGTCCAGTTTTTTCTTTTAAAACAAAATATTATACAATACTTTAAGTTTTAGCAAGCAATTGTTTTACTGATATTCCTTTAGAAATTAATGACAAAACTAGCTTGTTCCAACAGGATCAATATCTCTCAAAAGAGTGCAGTCACACACCCCTTTGACAAGTTTCACATAATCTTCCTTTAGAGTCATACTTTTATTTGGTAAGTCATACATGTACTTGTATTTGTTAAATCATACTTGTATTTGTTGAGTATAAGCTTCTACAATTCCTGCATTTTAAAGTCATTATCTGGACAATATTTACATGAATGTATAGAAATGTGTGAATCTCAAGTAAAAGTGTCAATTTTCATGGGCTTGGAGATGAAAAAAATGCCAATGTTTTCAAAAAACGTTAGTCTTCAAAAACATTTTGTATCCATACCGCTGTAAAAACTTCAAAATAAAGTCTGTCCTCCTCAACATGTGAACCATTCTGTCTGGCATCACTGGCCAGATGTCGCAGTGAGTGATTCAGCAGGTGTGTAGCTGTGTGAGCTCTCATGTTGCCTAGTCTTCTCTCCTGACAAACAGAGGGACACAAATGTTATCCTCTCATACACAAAGCAATTCTCTTTTTTAGAAACATGATAAAAATGGAAAATTACATTTTAATTACTACTATTCACTTGAATTTTATATCTCCATAGCTTTTTTTTAGAACAAAGAACAGTACCCAACCATGTTTACTGTATGAATTTCTTTTTCAGTACCTGATTAATACTAGCTGTAAGTTTGTCACCGATTCTTATCTCCCCTTCCTCCACATGACCTATATGCTGTACGTAATCACCCTGTGTCTGAGTATCTGTTACTATGAACACTCCTGTCTGAAAAATTTAGAATTTGAAACTTTATCTGTAGACAAGTGCATAAAGAAAAAAACATATCACTGGAACATGTAAGTCCTTGTAACAAAACAAAAAGACCAGCAAAGAATGTGTTAAAGTGATCAGTAAAATACAATGCAAGTCTACAGTTCTCCCTCTCTATCAAAATTCATACTACCCTGTAAAGTTAAACAATGATCTTACTGATCTATTACTTGAGTCACGTTACAGCATTCTGCAGTGAAGTGATGAAAAGGCAAGAAATAAAGACCTGTACGATTATTGCATATGGTTTTTATAATGCCCCAATATGACCTTCACTATTTGAGCTCACTTTCAGAATGACCTTTACTAATGTGCAATGTAGATCACTCAATTTTTGCTACCCCTTATTTTTGCAAGATTGTTGTTTGGTATTCATAAGAGAAAACAAAAGTTTCACTAATTTTGGTAACTGCTCTATATAATCTTTCAAATAGAGTTATATGCCAGAATGAAATTTTCAAGAGCAGATAATCTTGCGTAAGAATGTGAAAATAAGGTTCTCTCAAATAAAAAGTGATTTTAAAGTATTTTACCTCCTTCTCAGTGTGACCTTCTCTATTTTACTTCTTTCTCAGTGTGACTTTCAATATTTTACCTCATTCTCAGATCGATTTCACTAATTTACCTCATTCTTAAGGACTCCTGTATCCCCCACCTGTCCTCCAGACTCAGCGTAGAAACAGGTTTTATCCAGAATCACGATGCCCTTGTCCCCGGACTTCAGGATCTCTATAGATTTTCCTGACAGTATCCCCACTACTTTGGTGTCCGACAAATCTGGAAAATCTACAAAGTCAAAATGAGTTTTCACAAAGTATGGATGTTTCTGGAGCTCAACATTTCTGGGCCCCAATGTTTCAGGACCTAACAACACTTTTCAGGTTTTGGGTTAACACGTTTTGAGGCCCATAACACATTTTCAAAAATAATGTATACATAAAGTGATAATTTTAAAAATGTCAAATGTGTGCAGTTATGTAGTTGATCAAAATGTGTTCCCTAAAAGGCCAACATTCTTCGAATGCTTGAAGAATTCTAATGCTTAATGGCAATTTATATTTTCTTTTCTTGGAATATAGTATCTACATGCAGATTTAAAGAATACATACTGATTAAGGTATTTTAAAATCTTCTGCTTTGAAATACATGTATGGTCTGCGAGGAAAGGAGCTGAGTCAATATTTTAATTAAATACACAATCTTCTAATTACGTGGTTATGTAAAAAAAACCAGATTTGAAGCTATGTGAATTACTGTCAGTTGTAACAAGTGCTAAATAATTGTAAGAACCAAATCAAGTTTCAGTTAAAAGAAATATAAGCAAATTTTGGAATTGATTTCAGATAAGAAATTTTGGTTGTAAATGATAGAAAATTTGAGAATGCATTGGTCTAATAAAATATCATATGCCCCACTGACTTGTGTGGATTTCTGCATGGTGTATTTTCTTCACTTTTATTTCCCATCTCAAAATAACATTTTTTGTAATTAGCTGTCGATTCCATCAACAGACTTTAATTTCAAATTGCTACCTGGTCCCATTAAATAGATTAAAATGATTATGATGACATGTTTTAAACAAGAGGCCCAAGGGCCTTAACGGTCACCTGAGTACAACAATTTAGAGGATCCATAAACTGATAAATGAAGCTTTGTTGCCCAATAGCAAGGAAAACAGTATGATGAAGATCAACAAAATAACTGTTCAAGTATCTTTCTATCTGTTCCCTATTTATCACTATTACCATGCAGACTTTTAACAAAATGTCTATATTATTACCTCTCACATTGGCCTCACTTGGCCTTTGAAGAACATTTAAAAAGAAAAGTTATTTTTGTTTCATTTTTATTGATCTATTATTTCCAAGTCTACCTGATCATTAAAACTATGAAAGTACTTTTTGTATTATACAATAAATGTTATTGCATAATTCTCTTATTTTATTAACCTTTCAAATACGAGGGTTGTTCGGAAAGTTCGTGGACTAGCGCCATAAAATTAAAACCGCTTAAGATACATCAATGAATTAACATCATCTTTTTTATTTATGTAATAAACTATAGATCATTAGTTTTATTTTTAAAGAAATTGTTGATGTTTTTGAAAGCAATGGTATGTCCAGGCGGCGCAACCTCAAAGATCATGTTTTTTTCTACCTAGTTGTAACTTAGAAAAAAACTCTTTTTTTGATATGAGCATTTGTCATTCAAAAATCCTGTTAATTCACTCATGTGGTATGACACAATTGTACCATAAAATTTGCAATTTTTACCCCATTCTGTAAGTTCTATGAGTTTATTATGAGTTCTATAAGTTTATCTTCCAATATGCCCAGGAGCAGAGGAGATTTTCAAAGAAATAAAGCATGTTTGCTTCCAATATGCCCAGGAGCAGAGGAGATTTTCAAAGAAATAATGCACTTTCACTATTTTTAAAACACAGCCCTACCCTAACACCAGAACCCATGACCTAGGGTCACGGAAATTTACAAATTTGGAAGAGGTACCCTCATCATCATAACTACGCAATTAGTTGAAGATTTTCAAAGAATTCACACACTTTCATTATATAATCAAATAGAGCCCCCCCCCCCCCCCCCCCCCCCCGAGAAACAACAGAACTCCTGGGACCACAAGTTTTAAAAATTTTGTAAAAGCATCCTTGCTCATCATAACTATACACTTGTTTCTTTGCTTTACAACCAGGAGTAGAAAAAAATATTTTGAAAGAAATTATGAATTTTCACTAGATAATCAATAGAGCCCCCCCCCCCCTTTCACCAGAACCCCTGACCCAGGGGCCATGAAATTCAAAATTTTGGAAGAGGCAGCCATGCTCATCATAACTATGTACTTAGTTAGTATATTTCATACCCAGGAGCAGAGAAGAAGATTTACAAAGATTTAACGCACTTTCACTATATAATCAATAGAGCCCCGCCCTAACACCAGAACCCCTGACCCAGGGGCCATGAAATTCACAATTTTGGAAGAGGCAGCTATGCTCATTATAACTATGTACTTAGTAAGTTTATTTCATACCCAGGAGCAGAGAAGAAGATTTTCAAAGATTTAATGCATTTTCACTATATAATCAATAAAGCCCCCCCCCCCCCTTTCACCAAAACCCCTGACCCTGGGGCCATGAAATTCACAATCTTTGTAGAGGCACTCTTGCTCATCATAACTATGTACTTGGTTAGTTTATTTCATACCCAGGAGCAGAGAAGAAGATTTTCAAAGAAATAATGCATTTTCACTATATGATGTATATAGCCCCACCCTAGCACCACAACCCCTGACCCTGGGGCCATGAATTTCACAATTTTGGTTGAGGCCTCAATCCTTATTACAATCATGCCAACAGTTTGACTGCTTAATGTCCAGGAGTAAAGAAGAAGATTTTTAAAGATTGCATTAATTTTGGTGGTTTTAGCTCCACCCCTCAGGCCCCAGGGGGGCAGGGACCAAGAAATTCACAATTTTTGTTCCCCTTCACCCATGGGTGCTATATGCCAAAATTGGTTGAAATTGGTTGAGCGGTTTCAGGGAAGAAGCTAAAAATGTTCAAATGTTAACGCACTGACGCACGACGAACACCGACGGACAAAAACAGATAGCAATAGGTCACCTGAGTGACTCAGGTGACCTAAAAACATTCTTAAAACTATACAAAATGATGTCATTATAACAATTAATGAAACTTTTTTTTAAAAAATTCAAGAAATTGTTCTTAAATTTGCAAACGTTTGGTGACTATATTTTAGAAATATTTAAAGTGTTTTTCAACATTTTAAGTTAATGTTTCTGACAATATTATGCTGAAACATTTTGAAAACTTGGAAATGTTTTTATGATATTTGGAAAAGTACTATTATAAAGAACCATCTTATTGCAAGTCCTGAACCATCCTATTAGTCAGGTCCTGAAACGTTGTGCACCCATTTTTACATCATCAGTTCATATCAAAATTTACAGACACTTTAACAGGGTTGTTCCTAAGAACTAAAATAGCCTGGGACATTTAAAAAGTAGAAGGGGTTTTTGGCTTCCTCTCCTAACAGAGGGTTGAGGGGGAATACCAGAATAACTGGGGGTTTACATCATTATAGGTGGGGAAATTCCCCAGCCCACGGGTCTTAAGGACAACCCTGCTTTAAGTAATATATCAATCTTGTGAGTTACTTGTATTCATTACAAGACTTCATTGGACTTCATTACAAGAAAAGTCCAAACTGATGAATTCATAAGTAAGAATGTTCATATACATAAAATGACATTTACAAGCATGATGATTCCAAATCTTTGAAGAAATAAAACATTTACTATAACAGAATTGCTAGTAATTATTAAACCAAAAAGAGCACTGCTCACCATAAGGTGATATTGTCCCTTTGTACATGTATTTATAATGGTCATCTGTTCTTGGTATATTCTTTTCTTTCAGGTTGCATACATTGTAGATTTGCTCCTAGGAAAACATATTGTTAAAAATGTTAACTCTAAGCTAGGACGTAAACCCTCAACTTAGCTAATATAGAATTTTGATATCATACAGTTGGGAAGTTATTCAGAAGTAACTAGTAAAAAAAAAAAGAAAAATTAATAAAAATGACTTACATGCAAAAACATGCACAATTTCATACACACAGTAGATAAAGGATTTTGTTTGAACAATTCCTTTCAAAAATATCAACAGTATGCTGTACCTCTTGGATTGTCTGTTTGTCTGTCTGTTCTTCAGAGCCTCTTTTTGATATTGGTATAGACAGATGATGCTTTTGTGCCAGATCCTCCAAGATCTCCATGGGAACAGGAGCTCCATAGTGACCAGACAACAAATCATGGTATTCTGAATCTAAAAAAATGCAAGCTGATGAGCTGCAAATTTTTTTTTTTTTGTGGATGTACTATTGAAACTTTAATTCCCTGGAAAAAAATTATAATAACTAGAACTGTCCAAAATTGACAAATACCCCCCGTTGGGTTTTTCAAAAAAGGTCCCAAGTCATTAAGCATATTCTATGGATCTAAGAGGTGTTCACAATTTGTTTAAATATTCAGAGTGAAATTTAATTGCTCATTTATATTTTTTTAAAGGAGTGATGAAGTAAGGCAGAGCCTAATAAAACATCAATACTAATAATTATACTGTTTTTTTTTTATTTTGTTTGCGGGGGTATAATAACCTTTCTAATTCATGCATTCAGTAAATTTTTATTAAAACCCTAAAACAATCAAATTTAATTGCCATTGATATGTCCGGATTGCTTTCTTTTCCTGAGGAATTTGTTGAAAGCCCTGGTTCCCTGTTCTTGTGTTTTGTGATAATGTTCCTCGGATTCATTGATCACGTCCTTCACCTGATCAAAGATAGACAGAAAAAAATCAAATGTACATGAATATAGAGAATTGTATTATACAGAATTGGTAGAGATCTTTAATACCGGTACTTACCCTTTTACAACTGGCATTCAGCTCTGGATGGGCAGCTCCCTACAGTGTACAAAGTCAACAGAATGTAAACAGAGTCGTTATGTTTATGTTGTACTCATTCAATTGTACTCTGTTTAATGTTTATGTTGTACTCTATCAATTGTACTCTGTTTAATGTTTATGTAGTACTTTGTTTAATGTTTAATCGCAATTCCCTCAAGTTATCTAACTTAATGCTACTCTTTAGGTCAAGAAAGCTCTGAATCTCGGGTAATTTTCTGGGCATAACCTACCGGTATTGTTTACGCTAGTGACAATTGAATGATTCAAACAATAAGTATGCCAAAAGTATAATACATTGTCACAATGGTTGCACTTCAGAAAGTAAGTCACATTATTCGGAATGTTTGGACTTCCAAAAGTAACGTTTATCAGAAAGTAATGGTTGAATTTATTATTAGAAGAGTCGGCTTAGTCGAAAATATCTACGAAAATGTAACACAAGAGAACTAGAATCTCCTAAATTTCATCAGTGTGGAGCACCGATCATTTAGCAAAATATTTCACCAAGACTTCTTTTTTATATGCCCTTTAAAAATCTACAGTGATCGATCTTATAGTGTGTTCAATAGCACATTGCCCGAAGCTAATCAATGTTTCCTACCTCCAATGCAAAAGAGTTCCGTTATGTTATGTAATCGCTATACATGTATCAAGTATTACTCCATAAAGTGTATATAAGAAAGGCACACTGATGTAATACTAAGTGACTTTATTTGACTGAAAAAGTGAAAATAAGAAGAGTTTATTCTGAAGAAATACATATATTCTATATACTGACCAGACTGTCCACAATAAAGTCCACAAGGCTGGAGATGTAGCCAGGTCTGATGTCCAGAACTTTGGACGACTGGAGACAGCGGTACAGTACAGACCTCACCTTGTGTCTACCAGAAAAAAAAATCATACAGACTTCACCATGAGTTTATAAGTAAAAAATATCTAACAGTACAGATGTAACCTTGTGTCTACCAGAAATAAAATCATAGATACCTAACCTTGTGTCTACCAAAAACAAATCAAACAGTATAGACCTCATCTTGTGTCTATCAGAAACAAAATCATACCATATAGACCTCACCTTGTGTCTACCAAAAAGAAAATTATACAATATAGACCTCACCTTGTGTCTACCACAAACAAAATCATACAGTATAGACCTCCCCTTGTGTCTCCACAAACAAAATTATACAATATAGACCTCACCTTGTGTCTACCACAAACAAAATCATAAAGTATAGACCTCACCTTGTGTCTACCACAAACAAAATCATACAGTACAGACCTCACCTTGTGTCTACCACAAACAAAATCATACAGTATAGACCTCCCCTTGTGTCTACCACAAACAAATCATACAGCACAGATCTCACCTTGTGTCTACCACAAACAAATCATACAGTACAGACCTCACCTCTTGTCTACCAGTTAAACACATTTATAGCAAATAACCTTATAATGAATCAACACTTACAGGGAAGTGATTTTCATTTGTCATGATTTTAAAATATACATGTATTGTTAACTGTATGGATGTAATGAATTTTGCTTATAATTAAGCAAAGTCGTCCGTCCCTGGCACTCCCTTATAAGCATGTTTTAGTGTACTAGTAAAAATTATATAGTTAAGACCTCACCTTGTGTCTACTAGTGAATATCATACAGTTCAGAGGTCAGTATGACTACAGAAAAAGAATCATAAAAAATATAATAAGAAGTCTGTGAGCCAATGCTCACTAATAATACCCCCGCTCTGATGTGAATACACAAGTTCAGTTATGGACAAACACAGTGATAATCAGGAAATTGACATCGGATTTGTAAAAAATTAATCCCAAAATATGGCATCCCTAAACAAACACTGTGTTAAAATTTCAAGCACCTGTGATGAGTAGATGCTGAGAAAACTGCGACCAAAATTTGTTATGTATGTATGGTACGGACAGACGCACGGATAAACAGGAAGTTGACATCGGATTTGTACCAAAATGATTCCCATTATATGGCATGCCTAAACAAAGATTGTGCTAAAATTTCAAGCATCTGCGATGAGTAGTTGCTGAGAAAACTACGACCAAAATTTGTTATGTATGGCACGGACAGATGCACGGATAAACAGGAAGTTGACATCGGATTCGTAAAAAAATAAATCCCACCATATGGCATGCCTAAACAAAGAGTGTGTTTAAATTTCAAGCACCTGCGATGAGTAGTTGCTGAGAAAACTGCAACCAAAGTTTGTTATGTATGGTACGGACAGACGCACGGATAAACAGGAAGTTGACATCGGATTCGTACAAAAATGAATCCCATCATATGGCATGCCTAAACAAAGATTGTGCTAAAATTTCAAGCATCTGCAATGAGTAGTTGCTGAGAAAACTGCGACCAAAATTTGTTACAGACAGACAGACACACACACAGACGGACAGACAGACAGACAGACACACAAGGGTAAAACAGTATACCCCCCTCTCCTTCGGAACGGGGGTATAAATACAGAACCACCAGATAGACCAATACAAAACTTGTTCCTTGTAGATACGAAACCTACATGTACATGTACTTATCTTGTAATTTATATGTTGTGAACAAAAAGTGAGTAAAACATGAGGATAAATATAAGGTCTTGTGAAAAAAAGGCTACTTGATGTCAATAATTCCTTAAATGACTTGTTTATAAACAATCCAGGAATTGCTTTTTATAAATTTTTATTAGAATCCTGCTGTCAGTGATAAAGATTTTAAATTAAAAAAAACTATACAAAATTACAGCACAGTAATACTTGAAATACTCGTAATTTCACATTTATTCTTATGAAAAATAATGTTTTTGGAGACAAGTAATCGCACTAAGGATAGGTTGTTTTAAAATAGGACTTTGTTACTGTCTATCTAGCAGGATTTTCCCATACCCTTGATGGACTCTTTATCTTGCAGGATTCCCTCTTACCAATAAGGGTCTACTTTATATGGCAGGACTCCCCTTTACCATTGAGGGTCTACTTTATCTGGTTGGATTTCCCCTTACCTTTGAGGGTCTACTTTATATTGCAGGACTTCCCCTTACCTATGAGGGTCTCTGTAACTGGAAGGAATCCTCTTACCTGTGAGGGTCTACTTTATCTGCTAGGATTTCCCCTTACTTTTAGTCTACTTAATCTGGCAGGAATACCCCTTACCCCTGTTGGTTTCTTCATCTGACAGGATTCCCCCTTACCCAGGAGGGTCAACTTTATCTGGTAGGATTCCCTTCTACCAATAAGGATGTACTTTTTCTGACAGGATTAATGCTTAGCCATGAGAATCTGTTTAATCTGGCAGGAGTTCCCCTTACCTATGAGGGTCTACATTATCTGGTACGATTCACCCATAATTAAGAGGATCTGTTATATCTGGAGGATATTTCTTACCTGTGAGGGTCTGCTTTATCTGGCAGGATTCTGCTTACCCTTGAGGGTATATTTTATCTGGTATGATTTTCATTTACCCATGAGGGTCTATTTAATCATCAGGATTCACTCTTACCCATAAGGGATTGCTTTATCTGGCAGGATTTCCCCTTACCTGTTAGGGTCTGCAGTATCTGGCAGGATTTCCCCTACCCCAAGAGGGTCTATTTTATCTGGCAGGAGTTTTCCATACCCATGAGGAGCTTCTTTATCTGGCAGTAGTTCCCCTTATCTATGAGGGTCTGCTATTTCTGGCAGGATTTCCCCTTACATGTTTGGGACCATCTTATCTGGCAGGATTTCCCCTTTACCATGAAGGTCTACTTTATCTGGCAGGATTTCCCCTTGCCAATATGGGTCTATTTTTTATGGCAGGATTCACCCTTACCTGCAAGAGGGTCTATTTTATCTGGCTGGATTCACCTTTACCCATGGGAGTCTGCTTTATCTGGCAGGATTCACCCTTATCCATGACAGTCTATTATATCTGGCAGGATTCATCCTTACCTATGAGAGTCTGCCTTATCTGGCAGGATTTCCCCTTACTCGTGAGGGTTTATTTATCTGGTAGGAGTTCCCCTTACCCGTGAGGATCTGCTTTGTCTGGCAGGAGTTCCCCTTACCTGTGAGGATCTACTTTATCTGGCAGGATTTTCCCTTACCTGTGAGGATCTGCTTTATCTGGCAGGATTTCCCCTTACCCGTGAGGGTCTATTTATCTGGTAGGAGTTCCCCTTACCTATGAGAGTCTGTCTTATCTGGCATGATTTCCCCTTACCCTTGAGGATTTATTTATCTAACAGGAGTTCCCCTTACCCGTGAGGATCTGCTTTATCTTGCAGGAGTTCCCCTTACCCATGAGGATCTGCTTTATCTGGCAGGACTCCTTCAGAGAGACAAACAGTAAGCATCCGCATGTGATCAGCTACAATCCTGTAAGCTGTGTCTTTACCAAGAAGATCCTGGGAGCCAATCTTTCCTTTATATGATGGTATACCACAGTCCTATAGATATAAACTTTAATAATAAACTTTAGCAAAGGTACAGCTCATACAATTTTTTGGGGAAAAAAAATATGTAAAATATGAGTAAATTTGTGAACTTGACTTGTCACAAACTAAAGGTATTGTGACAAAACAAAAGGTACTGTGAGCGAGCTCACAAAAAAATACCCCCCCCCCCCCATATAGCTCCAAAGTCTATTACCAACCTGTATATTTCATCCACCTCCTAACCCTTTACAGTCTTCTCTACAGACCAATAAATTCACTTGTTTTGAATTTTCTGTCATCCGACAGCCATGTTAACTTACTGATATCTCGCTAAAGATGTCTGTAGATATGACTATAAAGGGTTAGAAGATGGATAAAATATACAGTTTGGTAAAAGAATATGTCTAGAATTAAGGAATAAAAGGTACTTGAATGATGAATGCTGGAAGTGGAGAAATACATCCCCAGTCATGCGCAGAAAATCTTGCACAGTAAATCAAACTTTATTTGCATTACGGGATCTGTAGCATTATTGTCAAAAACTACAATGTAAAACCTAACACTACAGTTCTGCATCTACCTCAGGTCATAAACAATTTTGTACTAAGTATCAGCTTCCAATAATTCTCCATTACAAAGTTATAGCCTAGACAAGAATATTATACTTTTTCTGTCAATGACCTTGAACTTGCAGAAATAACCTTTGGTTCAAGGTCATGACACACCCTCTGGTCAAAAAGAATCTCTGTACCAAGTACCAAACATCTTTTTCTGCTAGTGACCTTGAACTTGCTCAAATGACCTTGGACCAAGATCACTACACAGTCTCAGGACATAAGCAATTTTTGTGTCAAGTATAAATTTCAATGTTTCTCCATTACAAAGTTCAGGGCTGGACATGATTGCATGGACAGATGGACAAGGTGATTTCTTTACACCCCCACCCCCCCACCAATTTCATTTACTATCTTACATAAGCATTGAAGTCTTATTTCAAAACTTAACAAGTTTGTAATCTGAACTTGCACATATCTTTCTTTTTGAATATGTGCTACTAATCATACTTTGTGGATGGCATCAAAGATTGGCCTGAAGAGATCGGTGTCGTAGTTAGAGGTGGAGCCCTGGAGGACCGCTGTGATTCTTTCTAGCCCCATTCCTGTATCTACGTGATTCTTTAGGAGTGGAATCAATGCCTTGTCTCCTTGTCTACAACAACAGTCAACTCCACTTATAGTAAGCAACAACACAGTCAACTCCACTTATAATGAGCAACAACAAGTCAACTCCACTTTCATTGATATCAAATGAGATAGTATCTATGTGAATTACTGTTTTAAAACCCTGGCTTATGTCCAGACAATGATTTTAGGGGAAGAAGGACCTTTAGCAGAAAAAAAAATTGTCATTCAATTTTTTTCATATTTTTTTATATTACTAATTTAGTATATCCCACTTATCTTACAGCAGTTCTTTCATTAGGTTTCTAACCTTATTTTAGAGATATTGATTGACAAATACTATGCCCTAAAGTATATAAGTGGAGTTTTAATTCTCCATGTTTAAGAGCCCATTATTCTGTCCATAATGGGAATTTTTAAGCATAGACAAAAAATGGACATGTATCTTTTAAAATATTTCAGAATTTGAAAAGAGTTTAAAACTGTTTCCCTGTTTCACAAAATACTTTCCCATGTGCTGATTATGACCTGTTTTTAGATCATAATACTGGCCCATGTGTTCACCGAGTATGATCTTGGTGTACTAACAGATTGTGTGTGATGTCATCAACTTGTTGGACATGCAGTGTAGGGAAAAAGAAGATTGGATCTATCTATTTCATAATTTGTTAATGTTTACAAGAATGTTAAAACTTTTTAATATTTTTAAAAAAGATGGTATAATAAAACTTATTACATTTTCAACAGTGAAATACTGTGATTTATTTATTGAATAAAAGTGATATTCTTTCACACTGTGAAAGGATACCAAAATGATATTCTCTCGCAGTGTGAAAGGATATCAAAGTAAGTAAAAAATAATTTCTGGCCTGTCATAAGATAAAGATAGTAACTAACCATCTTGATAGAGCTAAAACTGCACATTTCTCCCCAAATATGTTGCTAAAATCCCTGCTATGTAATGTTTTCAATCTCACAACTGCTAAGCTATGATGTCTCAACCGCTCAACTATGACGTCAAGCCTATGACACTGTGTTAAGAAAAGACAGAGGCAAAGGGAAAATCAAAGAAAATGTAATAAACAGAAAATTCAATGTTTTGTAGATGAATATGGAATTTATTTCACTCGTGAGACAGGATTTTTTTTTGTATTTTCACTCGTGCTTTGCACTCATGAAAATATCAAAAAATCCTGTCCCACTCGTGAAATAAATTCCATATTCATCTACAAAACATTGAATATCCTCTATAAATTGTCAAAAATTTATACAACTACTGATGATTTAAATCATGTTTTGTACTTATATTATCAGAGACTATGACATAATTAAACTGAGTCATGTGACCATGTGTCCTTCATCCCCTTAATAAATCAAAAATTGACTATCACTTTAATGAAATGTTCATTATAAAAAGTTATACATGCAATCTGCCTGAAAAATCTTACTAGATTTCAGTGGTTACAAAGTAAAAAGAAATACTCTATGAAAGGATATGCTTAGCAACTACCTGCTTAACAGGTACCATCACCTGGGTAAAAAATATTGAAATAAAATATTCAGTATCATTCTGTATTATGTTTTCAACATTAAAATACTGAAATTTATCCATTGACTAAAAGTGATATTTTTTCAGTGAAAAAATATCAAAAGTGTGGCAAAACACTAGCTTTTCATTCCCTTCACAAAGAGTGTTTGAAGGATTAAAATACTCCCCATTATAAGAAATCAAGAGTAAATGAGCCATCCTGACACAAACTAAAACAACCAAAGTTTCTCAAAAATGTTGTTTATAATATACATGTTTACAACTGCTCAACTATGATGTTCACAGCCTACAACACTGTGTCAGGAAGATAGATGGAAAAGGAAAATCAAAGAAAATGTAATAAGCAAAAAATCAATATCTGTAGTGAGATATGGAATTTATTTCACTCAAGAGACAGGATTTTTGTTTAATATTTTATTTTAAAAAATCCTGTCCCTGGCTCCAATTGTGAAATAAATTCCATATACATCTAAAAACATTGAATATCATCTATTTATTCTGTGTTTATCAGTCTTGTAGATATCATGTACTATTTCTTTTCTCAAGATCAATTTATGGTCTTTACTCTTGACATCTGATTCACAGAACTAGGATTTAAACATTTTTTAAAAATGTATTTGTCCAATTTATCCAGTGTATGTGGTCTATCTTTACCTGTTAAACTGCATAAATACAAGATTCCAGATCTCCACCACCTCAGGGGAGTCAGCGTTCACTAGATGTGGAACCTCACGGTATCCTGGGTGGTGGTCATAGTGGATCTCTGTACAGGGTCCACACGGACCGGTCTGTCCCATGTCCCAGAAATTATCCTTCATTCCAAATGGCAAAACATGGCTCCTATCAACTCTATAATGAATAAAGGTATTACAAGACTACTGAAATCAAATTTGTTAATTTACAATCTATACACTAGCTATTTCAGCTATAAAAACACATAGGTAAACATAAATGACAATCTTCAGAATCATTTATTTATTTTTACAGCACACATGGAAAATAATTTTAATAGTGTTGCAATTTCCAATACAATTGTATTATTATACTCCACATGGAAATATTTCACAAGCCATTATGTAATATATAAAATAATGCAATTACAAATATCAATCTATTTTTTACCCACACTACCCTAAACTTAGCCATATGTCTCTTGTTTCTAAATCCTTCGGTAACTGCATGGAGTCGTCCCCCTTGAAGTATGTGAAATAGAGTGAAGACAGAGGAATTTTATAGACATCTCTTAAAAGTTCTAGGGCCAAGGCACAGGCATCTCTCTAGAATAAAATGAACAAGAAGTATGTGAGCCAATGCTCACTAGTAATACCCCTGCTTTGATGTGAATATATGCTCTCATGAATCCTACAATATGGAATGCCGAAACAAAGAGCATTCTAAAATTTCAAGCATCTGCCTTGAGTAGTTGCTGAGAAAACTGTGACAGAAATTTGATAAAACAGGAAGTTGAAATCAGATCCGTAAAAAATGAATCCCACCGTATGGCATGCCTAAACAAAGGGTGTGCTAAAATTTCAAGAACCTGCATTGAGTAGTTGCTGAAAAAATGTGACAAAAATTTGGTACAGACAGATGCACAGATAAACAGGAAGTTGACATTGGATTTGTACAAAATTGAAACCAACCATATGGCATGCCTAGACAAAGAGTGTGCTAAAATTTAAAGCATCTACGATGAGTAGTTGCTGAGAAAACTGAGACGAAAATTTTGTTATGGACAGACAGACAGCCAGACAAACAACTTGAAACAACTCTCCTTCGGAGTGGGGTTATAATTAATGAATCTATACAGTTACAGTTTTACTATGCTACAAGTAATAGTTATTGAATATTTATTATGGTGTATCCTGATTTATTTGGACGAAGGGCGGTGACGAGTGCGAAGCACGAGTCTCCGCCCCTCGCCCAAATAAATCAGGATACACCATAATAAATATTCAATAACTTTCTTGTATCATGGCCAATCAAAACATCAATAATTGTCATGTCACACATTTTCAAGCATGATTTTTAATTACACCAATAAAAAATATAGTTTTTGTCAGGTGACCGCATGGATATTCTCTCCTTCCCGCCGGAATTTTTTAATTTGCACATTTTATTTGTGTGTTCATGAGAAAGGACGTCAAATTGCAGCTTCCCAACGGATTGCATCTTCGCTAGCCAAGGGTTTCTGATACGCTACTCTCCTCATAAACCCTTGGCATACGGTGCTGACAAAAGACGGGATTGTTTTCGTCACATGATCACCATTCTTACCAGGTACGCACAGATTGCGTCATCGACAGAAATAAAAAGCGTATTTAAAAAAAATAATGTTTTTAAAGAAGGTATTTAGTTATGTTAATTTGTTATTTAAACATGTTAAAATGCAAATCTACATCTTCAGTATAGATTCTTAATCACATATTTTGCACGTAGCTTAAGATATTGGATATGACACCATATACACTGATATAGCTATTCATAGAATGACATTATCTTAAGGATCGTTGTTTACTTGCGTTTTTCATTCCCGATATTAAAGAGTCAAGATATATCCCGAACGCAAATATCGTCATTTACGGAAAACAATTGCTGATTGGTCGAACGATGTCGATCAACTCCAATCACAACTTGAGAAAAAAAATCCCAACTTTTTTTAACACCGTATGCCAAGGGCTTATGAGGAGAGTAGCGTATCAGAAACCCTTGGCTAGCGAAGATGAACGGATTGTTAATGAAATTCATAAAAAAAACCTTTGGATATCTAGGATGAAAAACTCGAAGTTGAAGAAAGGAAATTCAGGTGTTAATCGAAAATCAAGAAAAAAGATACCCGTTGATTATTTGACATATTCGAGAGCTGTTGCATGAACAAAAACGCTGTGTCACGGTCAATAACTCTTCGTCTATGGATGCAGTGCAGCTGAATTTATTCTAGTTGAGCAAAGAACACAGCACAGCGAAGATGGTACATCCTGCTAAAACGCTCTATTACAATAGGTGTGATATTTTAAGATATTTATTTTTGGAATTCATGTCAAGAACTTGATTTCTCGTTGCGATGGATGGAATTTTTGCAGAGTTCCGTAAAACATTTCGTATTTTGGGATACATGGGCACTGTAATTTATGTGAAAGACCTTTATTTCATGGCAGAAATTTTGTCTTTGTATAGTTCAAAACCCATTTAATTCTGTAATTCAGATTCAATATACATGTAATCTAAAATGTTGAAATCGCCTTAGTGTTCAATAATTTATTTACACTGCACAGTTTTTGCTGACTCCGCCCATCGGTGTATCTCCAGTTATTGTACACTTTACTTCAAAGGAAAAACACCACAGCCATGAAACAAAGGAAATTATTTCACTGATAACATGAACAAAATAAACAAAAGTGTCTTCACATTGATTTACCTTGAAATAATCTCCAAAAGACCAGCTACCAAGCATTTCAAAAAATGTGTGATGAGTGAGGTCAAGGCCAACATCCTCAAGGTCATTGTGTTTCCCTCCCACACGGACACATTTCTGACTGTTAGCCACTCTTCTGTATGAAGCCATTGGACTACCCTCCTCCACATCATTCAGAAAAATTGGTTTAAACTGAATTAAAAATGAAGTTAACATCTTGCATAGAGCTGTAGTGCCATTTCATAGAACATTTTACATTTTACATACATTCATTTCTACTCCACTGCTTTCAAAGACATTCCATTCTTCTGTGGTACAAAATTCGTAAGTACTGTATCTAAGAAAAAACATGCAGGAGTCTATCTAGCTTTAGGTTAATTTCATCATACAGATTATAGTATCTTGGTGAGATTCTGTTCATTAAAAAAGCAAGTGAAGAATACTCTTGTACATTTGTGAAATTGTTCTTGATTTGATTGAATTTCTTGAGTTTGTAACAGGTACAGTAAAAAATGCTTTAAGCAAAGTGTAAGGGACAGACATGAGCAATGTTTGACATAACCATGTGCCTGACCCCCAAGAAGCACAAATTTTGCTGCAAGCGAACAGATTTGCATTAATTGCAGCATTGCTGGATGTGTTAAAATGTCTGCTATTTAAAATTAAGGCTGATAACTCTGTCTCAAATCAACTAAATGTACTCAAAAGACTCAGATTCAGGATGGTTAATTGTTCTTCTCTGTCCGAATATGATGTTTAAAATTTTAACAGAAAAGACTGTAACATATTTAAAAAAAAATATATATTTCAATATGCAGTAAAGGGATTTAATTGACACTCACCATCATGGACTGGGAGGGGGTGGGGGTGGGGGGGGGGTGTTTGATTTTCACCTGATTTTAATCAATATCTACACTTCTCCTACCTATATCAGGTGAGGTCTAGATTGATTGAATGATTGATTATATTTTCTGACCATAGGTACATCTCGTTTTAAATACGCAGTGAACCAAATCATCTTTAATATCTACCACATAAATTGTCGTAATATTGAAAGCAATGGAAGCACAGTGGATTAATACATAAAGAAAAATATTCCAAATATGCATAAAGAGTCTAAGGAGTACAGAAATTCACTCCCAACTTGTTCTCTCTTGGCCTATAAAGTTTTGTATTTCTAATAAAAAAAATTTTAAAAAGGCAATTATTTTCTCAGAGCAAGTAGATTTTCTGGCAGGGCTGACAACTTTTGCTGGCAGTCAGCCCTGCATGTGTAAAAATGTTATCACATGTTTACTCTTTCGTACAGTGGACAAAGCTCATATATCTTTTTCATATCAACAATTATTGTGACATCACAATGGTTTTTGCATAAAAATGATGAAGTCAAATAATTTATAAAGTGGATTCACATAAAAAAAAAAGAAAATAAGCTGAAAACAGTATAAAACATATGACTGCCGTCATGAGAAAAGGGCCCTTAAGGTCAAAATTTCACAAATTGACTTTTTGATCAATTTTGATAGTCTGACTCTTTCTGAATGCAAATATACATCAATTTTTAAAATATCTCACGTTTTCAGTATTTTATGAGCATTTTAGTAAGGCTGCTTCAAAACAATGTTGACGTTACTTATTGAAAACCTAATGACCTAATGACGTCGCGTGCGTCAAATTCAGTTTCCAAACATTCTTTAAAAAACATTTTTAAAATAACCTTAATCTTTTTGACACATATAAACTGGAGATTTTTTTCTTTCAAGCAACAAGTATGTTATTATTCATGAGGGAAGTCGCATACTATTTTCATACTATATTAGAGCAGATCTAGTAATTTCGTAAAGGGAAGGGTGGGGGTCTAGACAGGCTCTAGGAACGATTTTATTCAGTCGAAAAATTAATACTTGTTGAATTCCACACAAGGTATTCTTTTTAATACTCTAACTCAATTTATAAAAGATATAAAGCACTTGTAATATTAAAAGTTCTATATAGATGTCTCAAAAGGGCACCTGTGCAATTAAAGCGGGGTATCCCCTCGCAAAAGAGCACATCGATCCCAATATAAAAAATATATTTTCGTATATAAGCACGCATTCACTCTTCCACATACACGCACATTACTTCATCCCCTATAACTTTGTTACGAAGGGATAATAACACCTCATGTCTTTTCTGGATCACCGAAAAATTCTAATGGGAAATAAATTCAGATATGCCATGATGTATGAACTTTTTTTTGTTTCATGAAAAAAATCATAATTAATATATAAAAAAAAATCTCTTCACTACTTCCAAGGGGATTTTTATTGAACTTTTTTTTGAATACTTTAATAAAATTGTTTAATAATTAAGTTTCCATTGTTTATACAATTCAATTTCTTCGCCTGTCTTAGTTATGGAGTAGAAACATAACAAACAGGCACATAATGATGTCGAAGGATTGAATTGTCTTATGAATGTTTATTCGGATTTCCATACATGAAAATTTAAATTTTTTGTCAACTTACTTCTTACTTCTTCTTACTTTTTAAAGTAAATCATACTTAAACAAAAGCGGTTATAAATGTTTCTGTACATTTTTTTTAAATTTTGAGGCATTTATGCCGTCGACGCAATTGCTGTATCACTTGAACTGAACAATTTTCGTTCATCATTTCTTAAAAAGGGCCACTAATCTAAAAAAAATTGTTTTATGTATATAGTGTATAGTTTGATCAAGGAAATGGTTGTACTGCTCTTGGCTTTATATATATATATATATATATATATATATATATATATAATTTATATACATACTAAACGGACTTTCTGAGCGAAATGAAATACAGTTGCGTTACAATTTTTATGAAACTTATTTGAAATTGAAACCGATATCTTGCGAGACTTAATAGGCCAGTAGAACGCAGGGGTGGGGGTGGGAGAGGGGGTCTGCCTCCACTTTTTCTGAGTGTAGTATTTTGCTTTACCAAATTTTCCTTTTATAGGTGCTGGTCAAACCCCCCCCCCCCCCCCCCAATTTTGTTTTGTTGTTGTAAGGTGAAGCACTGGCAAATTCCAGGATTTATACAGATAAGTTTTTCCCTTTTGTCTGCTTGTTATTTTGGGACCCCCCCCCCCCCCCCACACACACTCTTTGGTCATTATAGGTTTTTGCTTTTGTTTTTGTTTTTTGCTTGTCCGAATTATGGAGGAAGTTGCCTCCCCCTCCCCCCCCCCCCCAACTTTTGAAACTGTAGCTACGGATCTGCTTGAATAAATGTATTTAACCAAAAGAAAAAAAAAAGG